AAATTTTATTTTATTGATATTTCAGTGCAAAATTGTGCCAAAGATATTAGAAAAATAATACTTAAATTGTATAAATTTTGTTCATCATTTCATTGAGTTATTTGGAACAATAAAGCGTTATTTTTTGTAATTTGAGTTCATTCCTTTTTTAAACCCATGAAGCTTTACAATTTGTAAACAATAAGTAAAGATAAACATGAAAAAATAAGAATAAAAAACATTACAAATGTTATTTCACCTTTTTACCAATAATGCGTTTCGATTTTTAAAAAGTGTCCAACCCTGACTAGATTTTTTTTTTAAATGTTTATAACTTTTTTAATTTTGGACCAATCAATTTACGGTCCACAGCAAAAGTGTTCCTCTTTTGTAGATCTTTCCACCCATATACCACAATTGACTGAATTTATCTAAACAAAATATTTATAAACAAAAAACCAAAACTGTGTCCAACCCTGACACTATTCCCCTATATAAATAAGCAAAAACTCACCAATTTTCAAATATATTTTCAAAAAAATTTATGTTTTATTTAAAATTTTTGTGTGTAACTTTTTCTTTCTTTACAAAGTCAAGTCAAATAGTTTTATTAAGATTAAACATTTGTACACTTTTTCTAAAATTATTATATATCACTTTACACTGTTTACTATATGAGAACAGCTGTCACTAGGCGCAGCCATATTTTGAAAACTTCTAAGTACACCGCTTTACCGCTAGAGGCGTCATAATCGGAGATCTCACTTTTCACACAACATATTTTTTACTACGCTAGTGTAATAATAAGTTTCTGCTCAATTACGAGAGCGACAACTTCCGAACGTCGCACGCAGCGTTAGCAGACGTTTCACAGTAAATAAAATACGAAAAAGAAAACAAACATTGTTTAATAAATTGTGAGTTAACTATTCCAAAATACATTATTTTTCTTGTGCGGTATTAAAGCTTGAAAAATAAGGAAAAATTTGATCTTTAAACCAATTTATTTGGTGATGCAGAAAAAAAGTGAATTTTTTTTCATTATTTATTGTTGTATATTTTAAATACACAATTCTTTTTACTTAAAAAGTGATTATTTTCGACCTTTATATTAATAAATATATTATAAAAAAAATGTTTCATTTAATTTGGAAAGGTTACTCCGAAAAGTAATAAAAAAAAAAACTCATGGAATAGCACAAATAAAGAATTGTTTACTTTCAGTGAATTTTAATTTAAAAATATTGTTAAAAAAATCCTTTTTTTTAATATAAAAAAATTTTCTATTTTTTACTACGAAAAAAAAAATTAATTTATTTCATGTGCTTTTATTTTTTTAATTAGAAAAAATTTCAATTTTCGACTACGATACAAAAACTAATTTAATTCAAAAATGTAAATCTCTCTCTATTAAAATTAATATAAGTTTATTATTTAAATATAAAAATTTATTTATTATTTATTTTAATTAATTTTAATTAAATTATTTGGAAAAAATATTTCAAAGTAAAAATTCAAAATGTAAATATAGAATTGTTTACTTTTAGTGAAAATCAATTTAAAAAATGGTAAAACAATCTGAGTAAAAATATTTTTAAAGCTCGTCATAAAAGTTGTCAAATTGTATTGTAAAAAAAACTCTTTTGTAGATTTAATTAAAAAATTATTTATATAGTTTTGAAAAAAAAATTTATAAAAATTCAAAATAAAATTGTTTACTTTCAGTGAATAGGTATCAATTTAAAAATATTGTTCAAGAAAATAATTTTTTTTTAATTAAAAAAATTTCAATTTTTTACGAGACAAAAACTAATTTAATTCATACAATCTAAATATCTTTATATTAAAATCAATAGTTTCTTTTATTATTTGAATATAAAAATTAATTAATCTATTTGGAAAAAATATTTTAAAATAAAAATTCAAAATGTAAATATATGTTTACTTTCAGTGAATATCAATATCAATTTAAAAAATAAACAATCTGAGTAAAAATATTTTTAAAGCTCATCATAAAAATAGTCAATTGTGTTATAGAAAAAAAAAAACTCTTTTGTAGATTTAATTAAAAATTATATTTATAGTTTGATTAAAAAAAAATTTCGCTCATTTTATTTGGCAAAAAAATAAATATTCATATATAATTTAAATATTTCTATGGCATTAAAATTCAACTAAGAGCAGAAGTTATTTTTTTCTATATCAGCAGGATGCACTCGCTTTTTTTTGCCCTGCGGATTCAACTCTGAAGCAATAACTGAAGTTACGCGCTGCTTGTACAATTCTTGCAGTTGAATTGCAACCAGTGTTTTTCTTGTTATTCATTTGCGTATTTCTTTTGGCTATATAGATGTTTTAATTAATTACCACAAAATACAAAGATTGTTCTCTCTCTCTCTCTCTTTCTATCTTTTATTCTCCACTTTCAAAAGTTTAAGTGGAAACAATGTAAAATTAAAATGTCTTTTTAAGTTCTCTATAAATACTCATTTTTGAATGTGGCCGTTTGCATGAAATGACACTTTGTCGATTGCAATAAGGATTATTTTTGCGTGAACGTTAATGGAAATATCACTTTTATGAAAAAAAAACCAAAGTGGTATTTTACGACAACATATATATATTTTTAATTTAAACTAAAACATTTTACTATAAAATATTATATACATAGTTATTGACATTATAAAAATAAATAATCCAAAATTAACAAAAAATATTAACGTTTAAAAATTAAAAATTTTAAAACCTTAAATATTAAAATATAATATGAAATTTTTGCAATTAGACAGAAAAAAATAATAATAAAATAATTAAAATAAAATTATATTAAGAATTTCAGGCATATTTTTTTACATTCAATTTTCTATATTCTAAATTTTTAAATTCATCTTTTTAAAATCTATTGGTTGCTACCAATAGTAATTCAAACTATTATTATTATTTAATTATTTAAAACAAAATATTGTTCGACAATTTTAATTCTCAATTTTCAAAAATTTTATTTTCTTTAATAAAATTATAAATATTTCCTTATGCTTGTATTATTAAATTTATCGTATAAGAATTTATTAAAAAAAAAAAAAAAATTTCTTAAAAGCGAACTTTTGAAAAATGTTACGCAAGTAAAAATAAATTTGATTTAAATAAAAAAAAAAATTGAATTTTTGTTATTTTTGGCAAAAAATACAATTGTTTCTAATAAAATGTTACCTAATTAAAAATTCGTTTAAATTACTAGTTTTTTTTAAATAATAATTCGAAATTTCGAAAAAATAAAAATTCAGCTAAACGAAAATTCTATCAAATGAAAATTTTAACAAATAAAAATTTAGAACTTATTCATGCATCTCTATAATTTTTTGCTTCTTAAGTTCCTTTTTTCAGAGCGCGTCACTTATCGTTTTTTTTAGCCAAAGTTTCAATATAAATCAAATCATGAATTTTTTTTAGTAATTCTTTTTCTTTTTATTATTATTATTATTATTATTTCTGATTTTTATTACGTTTACGTATTACTAAATTTATCGTTTATGTATTCAGTAAATAAAGAAACTAATTAAAAACGAACTTTTGAAAAATGTTACGAAATAAAAAATAAATTTGATTTTAATCAAAAAAATCTTTTTTTTTAAATTTTTTTTAAATCATGATTTTTATCACCCGTGCCCTGAATAAAAAAAGATTTTGAATTTTAGTTTTCTGCAAATATTTATTTTTATAAAGAATATATGTGAATGTACTTGTCAAAAAAAAAAAAAAAAAAATGAGATTCAAAACTTTATATAATTTTTAATTTACGGGACAATGATTTCTAGTTAAAAAATTTTTTGAATCATTTTATTTTTAACATTAAATTAATTTACTTGAAAATAATATTCTTTAAAAATAAATTTAAAGGAAAACAAAGTAAAATAAATCACGTACAATAATATTATTTAAAATCTTTAGAATTTTAAGGAAATTTAAATTTTATTTTTGAGTTATAGTAATTTTTAGAATAAAAAGCACATTTTGAAATGTTTGAATTGACATTTAATGTCGATAGTTCTCAAAGCAGTTCAGCATGTCAAACTTGAATATATATGAATTTCAATAAAATCACACCAGGAAATTAGAAAAGTTTACGTCCTTTTCTCTTAAAGTCGTTAAAGTTAATCCAAAAGTTCGTTTTCATTTCAAATATCGTTTATTTATTTGAATGCAAAAAATTTTAGATTTTTAACGTCAATTTATTATTATGAAAATAAAAGTTTTAAATATTATTTTAAAAATTATAAAAATATTTTTAATTTTAGGACTAAATTTTTTTTTTTTTGAAAATTTACTTTTGTTTTTTTGTTTAGTTTTATTATTAATTATTCAATTATAATTATTAATTTTTTTTAATTTTAAGACTAAAAATTTTATATTTCTTTAAAAATTTAGTATTATTGTTTTTGTGTAATTATTAATTATTCTATTACAATTAACATTAATTTGTTTTAGGGCTAAAAATAACGATTCTGATGTTTACAATTTTTTATTATCAACGATTTTTAAAGAAATTTTTAATTTTTTTAATCTTAGGACTAAATTTTTTTTTTTTTTTAATTTACTATTATTTTTTTATTTCATTCTATTATTAATTGTTCTACTATAATTATCGTTAATTTTTTTAATTTTAGGACTAAAAATTTTACTTCTTTAAAAATTTAGAATTGTTTTTATTTAATTTTTTATTATTAATTATTCTATTTTATAATTATCATTAATTTTAAAACAAGTGGCAAAAGATAATTCTTTTTTTTTCGAAAATTCAATTGATTTTCTTAATATTTTTAAAAAATAAATTTCGTCTTTTTTTTTTGTCAATTTCTACGAAAATAAATAATTATATAAAAATACTTTGAATTGAAAAATACCATAAATACCTAAACTGGAGAACTTTTTGAAATTAATTATTATTGTTAATATAAAAATATTGTTCCAACAAAATATAATCAAAAAATATATAAATAATATATTTATACAATAAAACTCACCATAAAGTTTAATTTTTCCATTATGGTTCATCAAAATGATGATATATCCTCCTAAATCGACCATTTTTGCTGAGGATTTTTATTATAATTCTCGATGATGATTTAAAAACTCCTTCATTTGCAATAGTTTATTTGAAATGTAATAGACAAAAAAATAAAAAAAAAAATTCTTCTTTCAACATTCCCTTTAAAAACCGATAACAACCCGGCAATCACGAACTTTTCTTCTTTTATATAATTTTCCAAATCTATCGCCTCGAGGACAGTTTTTGTTTTCACCGGACGATTAAAACAATGACCATCCTTCTATCTTTTCACTGTTAAACATTTTTCTTCTTCTTTTTTTTTCTCTTCTTCTCTATCTTTATATTTTATCTCCCTCGAATATTCCAATTACTAAAAAGTCAAATTTGAAAAAAGTTCCAATAAATTTTGTCCTCTGTATAAAATTACTTTATTATTATTATTTTTCTTTTTGGCCACTTTGGGGCCCTGGCCATGGGCCCCTTTACATTTCAACAACACTCGAGAATTAATGTTTCTTCTTTCTTTTTTCCCCTCTAACAAAAATTCAAATCCTCATTCAAAAAGTCTTCTCTTATTCATTTTATTGATCAAATTGAGATTAAGCACCGGCTGCACATTTATAAACATCATGTTGTCAAATTATTCTCTCAATTTGATAATTTGGAAAAAAAATTTCACCATTGCTTATTTTTTTGTTTGTTTCCTATTTGATAACATAATATTGAAAATTAGGTCAAATTGAAAAAATAATTTTCACTTTCAAAAAAATAATATCAAATCTTGGCACTTGGTATTTTTTTGATGATGATGATGATGAAAAAATTGAATACACCATAAATATGTTTTTTCCATTATTAAAGCTTCTATGAGGGAATAAAAATTATCCCTCGGCAGGAGGATCGTCAAAGGATGAATGATAAAAAAAATAAAGAAGAAGAAGAAGAATAAGAGGAGAGAATGATTCTCTCAGTAATGGGTGTGAACTGCCGATTGGTACGCGCCCAGGTTACTCTCGGCCTCGATCGGCATCTCGAGGCTCTGGATTCCGGCTTGTCCTCGCGACTTTTCGTTCTCGTTCGAGTATCACAACCGACGACCACGACGACGTCGACGACGATAACGACAACGGTTGGTGAGGTTACGTTTCGCGCCTGCTCGCCCTGGGTTTAGTAAAGAGCGCCCTCGGACCCGGTGCAGCTTTTATTCTTCTTCTTCTTTTCTCTCCTCTTTTCCTTTTTTTTTCTCTCTATTGTTCTCTCTCTCTCTCTTTCTCTTTTTTCTATCTATTTCTCTCTCTTTTTTTTAAACTCTCTCGTCAACAAGCGGCTTCAACGAGGAGCCTCGCCTCCACTGGTCCATATACCTTCTCAACATGTTCTCGCGGAGGATAATTCACGTCGACACGACGACAACGAGGACGTTGCGTTGATGATCCGTTGCGCAGAGAGGGTGGCTATCCAAGAGAGAGTGAGAGAGAGAGAGAGAGAGAGCCTTTTCCCACCCTCGCTAATATTCTCTCTCTCTCTCTCCTCCAGCTTCCCACTTTATCCTCGAAACAGAGATAGAACTCGCCTACTACCAGTTGACTTGATTCAACCAACGGAATAGTAAACTTATTCTTACAGGAAACTTTTTCCATCCTTCCTGTAAATGAAAAATAAAATTATTTTAGAGTCTCGTACTTTTGAAATAAAAAAAAAAAATCAAAATTTGTGTAAATTTTTTTTTAAATAAATTAGCTATTTTTATTATAATTTCTTATCATTAGGAAAAAAAAAAAATGGTAAAATTTAGAATGTTAGAAAAAAAAAGAAAATAGAAAAATGAGGGTGGTTAAAGAGAGACTGTAACTATATAGTGGAAAAAGAGAGAGAAGGATAAAGGGCGGGACGGAGTGAAAGGAGAAGGAGAGAGTGACTTGGATATATGGCAAAAGAAGAGAGAGAGAAAATAGCGAGATCAATATAGGGGATGCTGTCTGCCTGCCTAGATTTCTCTCTCACATACAGGGCTGTAATCGAACGGGGTGCATCTCATATTCTCTTTATTTATCATTCCTTCTTTTTCTCTCTCTCTCTCTCCTCTCTTACAAATATTGTATATATATATATGTATGTATATTTACTATTTTTTTTTCTTTTGCATAAAACTATACTTTTTTTTCTCCCCCAAATTATTTACAAATAAATAACAATTCTTAATTAATAATAAATAATATAATTTATAAGAAAAAAATAAATTCTAATTATTTTTATTACTTTACACTCACCCCCCCCCCCCACCCCCACTCCATCCCTTCTTAAAAAAAACACGTGTTTAATGCGGTCAAGGTTAAGTTTCATAGAAAGAGGCTGATGAGTGTGTTTTCTTCTTTTTTTTTCATACATAACTTCTTTGAGAAATTAAAAAAAATATATTATATAATTTTGTGAAAATATTAATAAAAAGAAATTATATTTGAAAAATTTTACCTTTATCCATTACGATAATTGCACACAGATTTTTTGAATACAGCTCTCTTATATATCATCGACTCAAATATTGATACACTGAAAGAAAAAAGAAAATTAATACAATTTCAAAAAATCATTTGCGACTATTATTAAATAAAAATATTTATAGGTACTTGAATCAAATAATTTTTATTTGAATTAAATAAATTGTATTTCAGCACAATAATTTTTGTATTTGAAACAAATATCATTTAGTTAACTCAATAATAATAATTAATAATAATAATAAAAATAATAATAGTAGTAATAATAATTAACAATAATTAATAATTTAATAATAATAATAATAATTGACAAAAAAAAATATATTTATTTGAATCAAATAAATTTTTTTCAATCGATTTTTTTTTAATCAATAAGAAATTTTCTTCGGTACATAAAAAATATATAATTTCATTACAATATGTATATAAAATTAATTTGTTCAAAAATATTATTTCAAAATAAAAACCTCCATGATGGCGTCAATGCTCAATGTCGAAAATTATTTTTTCACGGGACCAAAAATATTAAATCATTTTTAAAAAGGTTTTTGGGTCCGCACATAATTAATTTAAAAAGTATTTCTCGTGGCAATTATTATTTGTCTGAAAATCTTAAAAAAAAAAATAATAATTTGATATTTTTGGTTCTGTGTGAAAAAAAAAAAAAATTTTTCGACGCTGAGCGTCGAGGCCAACTTTATAGCACTTTGTGGAGGTAAATAAACAATGACGTTAAATGTTTTTTTTTTAAACATTTTTTTTTTAAATATAGAAAAATTAAAATTTTTAAACTTTAAAGGTGATTTTTGGAAAGTTGAGAACTTTAATGTGGTGTTATCCGTTTTTTGATCTATCCTATAGAAAAAAATAATTTTTTTTTTTTTTTTTTTTTTGAAAATTGAAAATAGCAGTTGGTTAAAAAATAATTAAATACAAAAAAAAGACTTGAAATTAATATACCCTGTTACATAAATTAAATATAAATTTAATTAACTAGTTTTATTATTTCTCATTTTTCTACATAATACATTAATTATATATGACACAAAAGATTAAATTGTTAATCCAATTTCAAAAAATTGTAATTAACAAACAGGATATTTCAGAGGGATTTATAAGATTTTTTTTTATTTGATTTTTAATATGGGTCATTCCACGTGAAATTTACATTCAAAAAAATTTTTTTTTGACTGCAACATTTATTTTCTAATTAATTTTAAATAATAATAATAATAATAATAATAATAATAATAATAATTTTTGTTTTTGTATTATTTTCTGAAATAAATAATTTTAAAAAAAGTAAAAAAAATTGTAACTAATATTTTAACGGAAAAGAATAACACTATTTTCGCAATAAAGGAAAAAAATTTCCTTATTTATCAGAGACTGGATTAAAAAAAAATGTCAAAAATCGATTTATTTGGTTTTGAGAGAAAAGTCACTTTTTAGACTTAATTTCAATTTTTAAAATTCGTGCGTTGCAGTTACATTAATTTTTTTTTTACTACATATTTAAAACATTAAAGAAAAATCGATCAATTTTCATAATGTAATATTATTTTTTTTTATCTATTTGTGGGACAGAGGAAAACGAATTTCAAAAATATTCGGCATCTGAAGTTTCTAAAAAACAAAATTAATACTTCCATAATTTTTATCAACCCGTGTGGAAATCTTCCCAAAGTTGCTCAAAGTGAGACTGGGCGCCAATCTGGGCCCAACTTGGCTTCCCAAAGTTTGAAAAATGAAGAAATAAAAGAATTAAGTTAATTAAATTATATATTATTTAAATAATATGCTGAAGAAATATACAAAAAAGCGCAACTGTGAAAAGCTGAAAAAAATGTTTGTTTTTCATTTTACTTGGACAAAGTTTGGATCAACCCAACCTGGCCCCAACTGGGATTTCCCAAAGTATTCCCAAACTGAAATTTAATTTAATATTCTGTTATAAATAAATAAAAAACTTGAGAAATAATAAAACTAGTTAATTATATTTATATTTAATTTATATGCCATTTGGAGATTTTTCCAAAAGCCATAATATGGGCAAAATTCACATTTAAGGAAAAATAAGGAAATTGAAAACTTTAGTTAATTATATTAATGCTTAAATAATACCTTCCCTGAATAAATAAAATGTATGTAAAGTTCTTAGTTTTTAATTTATTCAACATCTCAATCATTTATTTCCTATTTTGATTCAATTTATTAATAATAATTGAACATAATTTTCTAATTTAATAAATTATTTAAACAAAATTTTGACTTCAACGACAACTATACTTTGGTATTTATTAATCCAAATTACTACTGGTAAAAATGTTAAATTAAAATAAATGAAATTAAGTAAATGATTATATTTTAATTTATTGTCTAACCTAATCATATTTTTCACATCTTTGATACTGAGAAATTAAAACTTGTCTGCAGGTACGCGTCGTTAGCATAGTGGTTAGAGCGTTAATCTATAAGTCCGTAGATCGTAGGTTCGATTCCCCTCGTGCGCAGTTTTGTTTATTTCATAGGTTTGCGTTATTTCTAGATTTTCATTTATAAGTTGTAGCAAAACTTGAAAATCTAATACATACACTATTATTTAATTTTTAAATTATATAAATATTTTTTTTACTTTTTTTACTATATATACATTGTTTGTTAGTCGTCATCTTTAATACAATTTAATTTAAAAGGAAATTATATTTATTCATTTAATTTACTCTTTTGTTGTTAAATTATTTATATAATTATTAATTAACAATTATTATAAATAAAAATGGAATAACTCAATCTGGCCCCAGCTGGGATTTCCCAACCTTGGGAAATCTTTGGGATCAGCGTAACGCGCCCAGTTTGGGCGTTGTCTGGGTTGCCCACTTTGGACATTGGGAAACCCAGTCTGGCTCAGATTGGGGCCCAGTCGACTTTTCCACACGGGAAATAAAGAAATAAAAAAAAATACATATTTTCTCATTTTTTTTTTAATATTTCGAAAAAAATGTTCCAGTCAAAAATAAATTTTTGAATGAAAATCTCACGTGAAATGTCCCATATATTATTATATTTCTTGTATACGGATTAAAATTTTGTTCCAAAAAGTGAGAAACGAAATACAAATTTTAAAGTAAGTCAGGGCCATTTTGCTCAAGTGTCAGTTATAATACATATATATATATATATTAATTGTGTTGAAAAAATTATATAGTTTGAAAATACTAGATAAATTTTTATAAGAAACTCGGGAAATATTTTAAATAAATTTCTATAAATATATATATATATATATATATATATAAGGAACAATATTTGGTGACGGAGGGAGGGGGGGGATATAAAACGGAAGGTGAACGGAACCGAGTAACTGATTGCAAGCTTCAACCTAATTATAAATAAATTGAGAGTTAAATTAATTATTATAGACACGGTTACTGAACTCAATTCAACACAATTATTATTTCACATTCAGTTAGGGCCGTAGTATTATATTTTGATTCTCTTTACTTATATGATGTGGGCAGCAGCTTTATTTGGAGCAGATCTATACAATATTTCATTTGGAATCGAATCTTTTTTTTCTATGTTTTATATGAAATTGAAAATTTCTTTCTTTCTTTTTTTTTTCTTTATAATAAATCTTTTGTTCAAAATCCTCTGAAATATTCTGGTATCCATTTTTCTGAAATCAGATTAACAATTTTTTAATTTGTTGTATATAATTAATTTATTAAGGCAATTTAAAAATTAAATAATTTTAAATAAAAAAACAAAACAAATATATAATATATAATAAAAACAAATAAATTATATACTACACGAAAAGAAAATAGATATCAAATTTTGTAAAAATATTTTCAAGCTGTTGAAAATATATGATAAAAACCGAAATTTCCATTTAAGAAATAATTTTTTTACTTCTATTGTGATCCAAATAAGTTACAATTTTTTTTTGCTGTTTTAGATACAAAAAAAAAAATTTTTCTCGAGATCCAAATGACAAATTTAAAAACAAAAAAATTGATTTTTTTCGTCTTGGAACGTAATATTAGTATTCAAATTCATTCGCTTCATTATTATTTATAATAAATAATAATTATTGTCATTATTTAATTATTATTAGGTAAATAATTTTTTTCTAATTGAGTTGTCAACTGGATCTCGAGAATTTTTTTTTCTAACAGCTAAAAATTTTGAATTTTTAATAACTTTAAAAAACAATTTTTTTTTGTTTAATATAATTTTAAAAACTTATTTTAATCATAGTATGAGTAAAAAAAATTGAAAATTAAATTTGTTAATTTTATGTTGAGAGAATTTAAATTTTAATATAAATAAAAATAATAATAATAATGAGCCAAAATTTCTGAACGTTCAAAATTTTTGCCTCATTAATAATAATAAGAATAATTTTTAATATAATTTAATTTTTTTTTAATTTTTACCCTATAAATAAAGCCATATTTTGTATATATTATATTTTTAAAAGTTCGTAAGTAAAAATGTATTATTAAATGACAAAATAAAATAGTGAAATTAAATAGAGTTTAGCTGAGTTTGTTAATAAAGTTAATTATAGTTTTAACGTGATAATCAATAATCAAGATTGATTCAGAATTGTATATGTTATAGGACGATTTGACGTTTGGCCTTAATGTTTGACCTTTGGTTCATCCTATTCTTACTTTTCAATTCGAAAACCATTTTAGAAACTCGATTTTAGTTTTCTCGACAGTGACATTTTCCTGTTCCATATAATAATATGATACAATTAGTTTATCTTTTTACCTTGAATTGTCTGTTTCATCTTTTTAAGTAACCATGTCCAAATGTTGATAAAAATAAATACTCAAATTTAAAAAATATTGGCAAAAAAATTTACAAAATTAGATTTTATATCACATGAAAAAAAAATATATATATATGAGAAATAGTACCAAAAATTATTAATTATTTATTAGTATTATATTATAATTATTATATTATTATTAATTATTAATATTATTATTTTTTTTTACTATTATTGGCAATTTATTTTTTGTGAAAAATTATTTTAACATGTTTTTTTTTTTTTAAAGTTTCCTCTCATCTACAAAACTCAATATTTTTTTGAAATAAAATGGAGGAACTTGTTTTTTATTTTTAAAAATAAATTTTATTTTTTAAAAATTGTTTTTTATTCCGTAATAATAATTATAAACTTTTAGCAATTTTTTTTTCACGAGTCTATTTTAATTGATCAGATCTTGAAAAATTTAGTAGTAATGAATTTTCAATTTACTCGTTATTAATTAATTTGATTAAAAATGTAAAATGTCATTGATAAAAGCTATTAATTCATATACACAGTAGCGATACATTCTGCAAAATGTCTCTTATAAAACAATGTTATTTTTTTTTTGGACAATTCTTTTAAAAGGTATAAAGTATATTGTTTTTTTTTTTCTTAAATTTTCATTGTTCATAAAATTATAATATATCCAGAAAATTTTTATACAAAGTCAATATATTTGATATATTATATATGAAATAACACATTTGTTATGAGATGAAAACAAAAATGTCTGTCAATATATATATATATACTTATATAAATAAAGTCAAAGTTCATTAACTTTTCTTATAAATAACTGCAAGTTAGATAGTTTGGAAAGTGTAAAATATATATATTTCGCGCTTTTAAGTTGAAAGTTTGCTCGAGTTGCTTAAAAACAAAGTAACAATGTTTCAAGAAAATAACAAACAAAAGTTACATCTTAGATATATATAATTTAAATGTCTACGCTTCTTAATTTAAAATATTATACTTTAGAAACATTTCTCATTGAAAGAATTAAAAAAAATAAATAAAAAATAATCTAAATATTTTTTTTATCAAGAAAAATATAAAAGAAAATTTATCGGGAGAAAAAGAATAAAAAAAAAAATATTTCTTGTGAAAAAAAATACCTCGAATATTTCACGCGAAGGCAAAAAAGTATCAATTTAGAAAAATAAAAATTCTTTTTTGACAGAATTTTTTTTATATAAAAATGATATTTTGTATTTGACAAATTAATTTTCTTGTTTATTTAATAATTTAATCATGAAAGCAAATAAATCATTTTGCTTTTCCTCTTATATATATATTTATGACATAAAAGTTACATAACTTTATGTATATGTGAATGTATTGGATTGCATAAGTGTAACTTGGTTTGCCTATATATTTTGTCTAATACAAAATGACAATCGACTTACTATTATGCAATATTCATATTACCGTGACCTAATTAAAACAATTCGCTTTGCTCTTATTAAACATATAAAATTATTTATGCATGCTTTCTACCTTTATGACCAATTCAATTAAAAAAAAAAAAAAAATTTACACATATTTATATTTCAATAAAATTAAAGTGCATTAATCATTTTTATAATTCATTGCGTTTGCAAATAAATAGCAAAAAAAAAAAAGTTTAAAAAAAAAATTCAATTTAGAAAAAATACACAACAAAATATAAAAAATATTTTGTATATTAAATTTATTTTATTTATTTTTGTAAATTTATTTTGTTAATAAATGTATATATATTAAATAAATAATAAATAAATATTTTTTTTATCTATGTATTTTAATTTGTAATCTTTCTTTTATGTGAAATTTTGAGAAAAAAAATCCGATTTTTCAAATATACACAACATTTGTATTTTTAGAAAAGTACATTTTTCTCTTCAAGTTCTTTTTTTTTCGCTAAGTAGAACTTCCAAAGCGCAAACTTTTAGAACAATAAACTTTGAGAAAGGGAAATAAAAGGAAGAATCGCAATGTTACTTTGCCTTTTGTCATGTGTGGCAGATACTTCAATTTAAGTACACTTGGTTGAAACTTGTTGCTTTATGAGGCATTTTTACTAATTGCGTGGCTTAAGGCACTTTACTTTTCAGAAAATAAAAATAAGGAACATTTGATTAAAAATGCGTATTGAGTGATTATAAATTCAATTCAACTGTAAACTGTCGTAAATATTTAATATTTTAATCGATGATTAATTTTTACATTTTAACAGTTAAAACTGAATTTATCAATTAAAAATTAGATTTCTCAAAAAGTTATTAAAACGTATATATACATGTTACAAGTAATAATAAATTAATAAAAATTCAATTAAAAATTCAATAAACAAAAAATTGTACAGAAAAATTATAGGTTATGTTAAAACGTGCTCACCTGCTTTCAATGTAAACGTCATTTGCTCAATCAAAAACAAGAATTTTAGAAAAAAAATCATCAACTAAATGATTAAAAATAACAATAAAACTACTCAAACTTGTTGTCTTTAATTATTTACACTTTAATTTGATAAAAAAAAACAACCGGCACTTGAGAAAAAAAACCACATTTGTTTACAGACATAGAGTCGATACCTTGCGGCGAGTTTCTGCACTACTAGCAACTCTATAATCAAATGACTCGACTTTTTGTCGATTTTATTAATAAAAATTACTTTCAATTAGATATATTTAAATTTGTTTTTTTACTAAATGCAAAAAAAATTCTAGTATTTTAATTTTGTTGTTAAACTAATACTCGTATTTATCGAGAGTAAATATTATTTTCAAGAAAATTGTTTAACGTAGTGAGACACTATTTTGAAGCAATCAACAGCAATTCGAAATCCTATTGGTTATTTGCTCTGACCGCGAAAAAATAAATAAATTTAAATTAATTATCTAATATCTTTTATTTTTAATTAAATATTATTGCAATTGAAAAAGTTTTAATTTTTCATTAATTCAGAAGATGATAAAAATTATCGGTTTTTAAAAAAATGGGTTTACATAAACTTATATGTTAAAAAAATATTGTAATTGAGAAACCTAACCTACAAATATAGAAACAAAAAATACAATGTATAATAAATTTAAGTTTTAAATTTATTTTAAAATTATCTTTTTCTCGGTATTTTATTTAACTATTTTACATTTACTATTTCTTTTTTGAATTTTTTTCAATTTTTTCGAATTTTTTTCTGCAATGACATGACGCGTCAAAAATGACATATATTTCAGTGCTGTGGTGGAAGTATGGGGGATGCGTATAACAAAACATCAGTTTGACAGCAATAACAAAGTGTAGAAATAAATGATGACACTTATAACATGCTGATAAACTATATATTCAATGACAAACTGAGTATATTAGTGAGTGATAACATTATCATGTATTTGTGATCTCGTACATAAAGGCCAAAGAGTATATAGAAAAAAAATTTTTCTCATCGCATCTATTGATGCGTATAATTTCCTCTGACTTGAATGTTATCCTTTGTTAACGAAGCTTGACGTTTTACAAAAGTAAGTCAAATTTATACAAAATATACTAAAAAAAAGTGTTTAAAATAAAAAAAAAAAACTAAAAATCGTGTCATAAATTTGGCACTATTTTGCAGTTTTTCAATTATTTCCTCTTTTTCAAAAATCAGTAATTTTATTAATAATTTTCATAAATTTTTTCAGCCTATCATGATGATTATAGCAACAATTGCTATAACGCTTTGTTTATTTAATCCTATTTTTGGTGTAGTTAGATATCAACCAGAAGCAGTACATATCGCATATGGAGGTTAGTAAAAAAAATAAATTCGATAATTTAAAAAAAAAAAAAATTTAAACAATATATTTTTTAAATAGAAATTAAATTTTTTTTTGGTTCTTTTTGCACGTAATTATTGTAAACATTAAAATTAATACGTAAGTAAGTTTATTATAATTAATTGTAATATTTATGATTTAATATAATAATAATAATAATAATAGTAATAAAAAATGAGTTTGAAAATATGAAAAGAAAATTTTTAACAGAAAATATTCATGACATTGTTGTAACTTGGAGCACAAGGAATGACACAACGGAATCTATTGTTGAATACGGAATAAATGGTTTTATTTCAAGAGAACATGGAAATTCTACGCTTTTTGTCGATGGCGGTGAAAAGAAAAGCAAACAATACTTTCATCGAGTTTACCTAAAGAATTTAACTCCCAATAGTAGATACAGTAAGTAAATTTCGTTTATTTATGGGTCAGACCATTATATTTCGACCAAAGTCGTTGCGGCCTAATTTTAAAAAAAGTTGATACTTGCAGTACTGATTCTTTATGATATGCTGAGAACGAAATAAAAAGAATTATTACAAAAATTTCTTTATTTTTCTCAAAATATGAGATTAAAGTGGAGAAGGTCCGGAAAACTGTCACTTTTTTAGCAATTATAAAATATATAAAAAAACATATAATAATTGTTAAAAAGATAAAAATAATTATTGTTTCTTGTTTAGAATGAATTGATTTATTATTTTCTAATGATTAAATTAGTGAAAAAATTAAAATAATGGATAAAATATGTCTTTAAAGTTAGTCTGTCAAATAACCTAATTTTTCGATTTTTATCAGTTAATTACAATTAAGTGGAATTATTAAATTAAATTTGAACTTATCTATAATATGAAGTAAATGGATAGGACATTCAAATTTTCTTGGCACTTTCTATATTTTCATACTAAATATAAAAGAAATATTGAGTTGAAAGTTCGCAATTTCTGCATTTTTCCGAACTTTGCAACTGAATATCTCCGTTAGAGAAAAATAAAAAAAATTGGCACTTGCACAGCAGCTAAATCGGATCGAAATCTACGCGCACCATAAATTCCGTTTTGGTCCCGAAACTATTTTAGGAGATATAGGCGATTAAAAATTGCACATTATTTTCAGGTTAAAACTGTATTTGGTTCTAACTTGAAGTTGGTCTACTCTCAGCGATCGCGTTCAATGTTTAGATTTTGAAATTGATTGTTTATTTTCGTTAATTATTTTCATAATTTATTAAACAATAATTGATTGACATTCAAGATTGATTAATTGTGTTTTGAATCACTTTTTCTTTTTAATTTATAATATTTGTATCTAACAGAGATTTTACAAAAATCACAAATAATTTTGAAAAGTATTTTAATTTGCGTTGTGACTAAGTTGTCATAATTTTTAAGATTTATTTTTAGCTTTATTAATAATATTAGCAGATTATTATAGTTAATTATTGATTGCATTGCGAATTATTTTCTAATTTTGAAAAATATTTTAATTTTCGCCGTTATATCAATTTCAAAATCTAAACATTGAACGCGATCGCTGAGAGTAGACCAACTTCAAGTTAGAAGCAAGTAAAGTTTTAACCTGAAAATAATGTGCAATTTTTAATCGCCTATATCTCCTAAAATAGTTTCGGGACCAAAACGGAATTTATGGTGCGCGTAGATTTCGATCCGATTTAGCTGCTGTGCAAGTGCCAATTTTTTTTATTTTTCTCTAACGGAGATTTTCAGTTGCAAAGTTTGCAAAAATGCAGAAATTGCGAACTTTCAACTCAATATTTCTTTTATATTTAGTATGAAAATATAGAAAGTGCCAAGAAAATTGGAATGTCCTATCCATTTACTTCATATTATAGATAAGTTCAAATTTAATTTAATAATTCCACTTAATTGTAATTAACTGATAAAAATCGAAAAATTAGGTTATTTGACAGACTAACTTTAAAGACATATTTTATCCATTATTTTAATTTTTTCACTAATTTAATCATTAGAAAATAATAAATCAATTCATTCTAAACAAGAAACAATAATTCTTTTTATCTTTTTAACAATTATTATATGTTTTTTTTATATATTTTATAATTGCTAAAAAAGTGACAGTTTTCCGGACCTTCTCCACTTTAATCTCATATTTTGAGAAAAATAAAGAAATTTTTGTAATAATTCTTTTTATTTCGTTCTCTGCATATCATAAAGAATCAGTACTGCAAGTATCAACTTTTTTTAAAATTAGGCCGCAACGACTTTGATCGAAATATAATGGTCTGACCCTTATTTATTTCAAAAAAATTTATTTAAAAAAATTAAAATATAATAAATAAATACTGCAAATATTATCAAAATAAATAATAAAAAATATATGTAATATAATATTTGAAAATCAATGTAATGACCTACTAAAAGGTTAGCAAGAAATAAATAATAAATAAAAATATAATTATATCAATTTAAAAAATATATAATAATTATTGAAGTAAAAATTAAAATATTTCAAATTTTTCACAGCATATCATTGTGGAAGTAATTTAGGATGGTCGGATGTATTTTATTTGGTAACTGCACCCGATAATTCATCACCATGGGCACCTCATATTGTTCTCTTTGGTGATATGGGCAATGAAAATGCACAAAGTTTAACACGTTTACAAGAAGAAACACAAAGAGGTGTTTACGATGCTGTAATTCATGTTGGCGATTTTGCCTATGATATGCATACAGACGATGCTCAAGTTGGCGATCAATTTATGCAACAAATTGAAGAAATCGCCGCCTATTTGCCATACATGACAGTACCTGGTAATCATGAAGAAAGATATAATTTTAGCAATTACAGGTGATTATTTATCAATTTTATTAATATAGTACATATATGGGCGATTCTCTCAAAAAGGATAAATCACGCTTTCATGATAATTTGTTCAAAAATAATAAAATTGATTGAAATTATTAAAAATTCTGTTAGCCATATGTTAAGATTTAAAAATTTTCAATCGGATTACTAAAGAAAAATTCAAAAAAAAAGGCCAAATAACTGAAATATTGAATAAAATCTGATGTTACGGAGGGGAGTTTTAACACTATTTTGTTCATTGAATAATTCAATTATTTGACCTATTTTTTGAAATTTTCATAAGTGATCCAATTGAAAATTGTTAAATCTTATTGTATGTCTGGCAGATTTTTATTAATTGAAATTAATTTTATTATATATTTTTTAACAAAAACATTGTCTAAAATCGTGCACGTTTTGATTTGCCCTTTTTGAGAGAATCAACCATGCAAACTGATTTTTAATATAGAATGTTTTAAAAATTAGAAAATAACAATCCATAGAACATAATAATTATTTATTTTTTATATTTGAGTGTATCTCTGAAAATTTTAACTTTCCAATAAGAAAAAATAAATTTTTCTTCGCAACAAAATATTCATACTTTGATGATATATTCCACGCCAAAGTGTAAGTCCATCTGCAATTGCATCGCCGATTTTCTTGAGATTTTTTTTTCTATTAGTACTATTTGAGACTAGCTTCCATGAATTTTTTAAAATTTTTTTAGCAAGCCGTTTTCGAGTTATGGAATTTTGAAAATTGGAGAATTTTCATGTCTTTTAATTTTTGAATGCTTATAACTTCCTTAAAATTGCATCAATTTTAAAAGTCTTTTTTTCAATATGTGTGTTTTTAAACGTACTTTTCAAAAAAAAAATCGAAATTTTTTTTTAAACGATATTACTATCAAATTTTTGAGTTTTAATGATAAAAAGTCATTTTTCTCATTTGACGTACTGATCGATTTTTTTCAAAATTTTTTCAAAAAAACTACTTCTTTTTACCAAACTTTTAAGCCTAGGCCGATAATGGGCAAACAATTTTTACAATATTTTCGTAATTTTTCAAAAATTTTTGAAATTTTTAAAAATATTTTTGGTTTTTTTTATAATACGTACCTACTTTTATGTATTTTGATGCGCTAATTACGAAAATCATAGTGACAATACCCAAAAATTTGATTTTCATGGTGAAAACCATAAAAAAAAGTCCCAAAATTTATGGTTTTTTTCGTTTATTGGGTAAAATATGCAAAACTGAAAAAAAATCTTAGATAAAAGTTATCTTATTAAAATACATTTTTTATATAAGATTTTTTTTTTCAATTTTGCATATTTTACCCAATAAACGAAAAAAAGCCATAAATTTTGGGACTTTTTTATGGTTTTCACCATGAAAATCAACTTTTTTGGTATTGTCATTATGATTTTCGTAATCAACGCATCAAAATATATAAAAGTACGTAGTATAAAAAAAACCAAAAATATTTTTAAAAATTTCAAAAATTTTTGAAAAATTCCGAAAATATTGAAAAAATTGTTTGCCTATTATCGGTCTAGGCTTAAAAGTTTGGTAAAAAGAAGTAGTTTTTTTGAAAAAATTTTGAAAAAAATCGATCAGTACGTGAAATCAGAAAAATGATTTTTTATCATTAAAACTCAAATATTTGTTAGTAATATCGTTTAAAAAAAAAAATTTTCGATTACACATTAAAAAAAAACTTTTAAAATTAATGCATTTTTAAGGAAATTATGAGCATTCAAAAATTAAAAGTCATGAAAATTCTCCAATTTTCAAAATTCCATGAATCAAAAACGGCAATTCCCCGATGGACTTACACTTTGGCGTGGAATAAATCTTATATAAACTTCAAGTACCAAACTTTAAAATTTTACAAGTTGACAGATAAAGCGTACCTACTGTCTTCAAAAAGTTATTAATCATTTAAAAATACAAATTATTTTTAATCTGTAACAAAAAAAAAAATCCAAGAGGTGGTTGCTTGTTACACTAAAAAATAATTGAAATTGACTTAGCTCTTAAATTTTCCAAGTTTCTTTTCTCGTTTTTCATAATCAATTTTTCTTTCATCACGCATTTTATCTCTCTTTTTAGAAATAATTTTTTTTCTTCGTCCATTTTTGATGTGTAAATAAATAATAAACACTACAATTGAACTATAAGTTTGCAATAAACAAAATATTAATTTTCATACATAAATGTATTCTCCGTTTAATAAACTTTAAATTAATGGTATCTTAGAATTAATAATTTTCATTCTTTACAAAGTTTAATTATTTAAAGTGTGAAAAAGTATGGTTAAGGAAAAGTAGACATTGTTGAAAATCACAAATGAAAAATTAAATAATTCTGTCTCTACACAATAAATTTATACCTTTTGTAAATGATTACTTGTATTAAAAATGAATATCTGCAACAACAACGAGGTAAAATCTTCTTGAAATTAAAAAAATATATTTAGAGGGACATAAAAGTTAAAGATTCCAGAGATATGTCCATTTATTTAATAAATTATGTTTAATTGGATTTTTTTTTATTATAGAGCTCGCTTTTCAATGCCGGGTGATTCCGAAGGTTTATGGTACAGTTTTAATATGGGTCCAATTCATTTTATTGGCATTGAAACGGAAGCTTATTATTTTATGAACTATGGAATGAAACAACTCGTTAAGCAATACGAATGGCTTGAAAAAGATTTAGAGGAAGCAAATAAACCCGAAGTGAGGCAAGTTTTTGAAATTAGAAAATTAATTTAAAGATTTAAAAAATATATATATATAGAAAATTAATCAAGGTTTCTATACAAGATGGAAATGTAAATTAATTTGAATTATATACTTTTGAAAACAGAGCAATTAGACCTTGGATAGTAACGTTTGGTCATAGACCAATGTACTGTAGTAATTCAAATGCAGATGATTGCACAAATCATCAATCTCTAGTTAGAGTTGGTTTACCTCTTCTCAATTGGTTTGGACTCGAGAAACTTTTCTTTGATTATCAAGTTGATCTTGAAATTTGGGCCCACGAACATAGTTATGAACGAATGTGGCCGATGTACGATTTCCAGGTAATATTTTTTTTGAAAATGAAAAATAAAAAAATAAGAATTAAATTAATAATATATAGAAATCAATTTATATATGTATTTGTTCGTTTAGGTTTATAATGGAACTTATAAGGAACCATATAGAAATTATAAAGCTCCTGTTCATATTATAACTGGATCAGCAGGTTGCAAAGAGGGAAGAGAAAAATTTGTCCCTGAAAGGCCAAACTGGTCTGCTTTTCGAAGTTCAGATTATGGATATACAAAAATGAGAGCTTTTAATAAAACCCATCTCTACTTAGAGCAGGTAAATAAATTATTTTCTACGCATATCAATTTAATTATAAATATTTACCAAACAAGTTTTCAAAAGACGATAAATCCATTTTTCTCAAAAAAAAAAGTGAAGATAAACACAGATTTAACATATTAAAGACCTTACTTATCGATCTGTCACTGTTGAATTTAAGAAAAAAAAAACTTTATTAACAAAGAAATTTCAATTTAAAAACATCTGGGTTTAACCAAAATGATTTATAATTTTAATTCTTTTTGATAGAAAAAATTACCAAAAACCTTAAAGTTCTCCAATTATGATAGACTTTAATTAAAAACGAGTAAATAAAGTATATTAATAAATAATTTATTAAAATTTTTCTTGTTTAAAATTAATTTAAATAGTTATGTGACAAATGTACATAATTTGTTTAAATTTCTTGAAATAGGTAACAAAAAATAGATTTATCAATTTTTAAAAACTTACTCCTCATTTAATATTTATCATATTACAAAATTTGGTTGTCTATTAAAATTTGGGAATAAAATTTCTGATTTTTTTCGCGGTTTTGAAAAATATTTTTAGATATTCTAAATTAAAACTTTACTATAATAGAAAAATAAAAATGAAAATAATATTAAGAAAATATTTATTTTGCTAATTTAATTATATTTAAAATAATTTATTATTTTAAATTTTATTGTTATTAAAATTCATTTATTAAAGACTATAGGTTTTTACAATTTGATAACTTTTAAATTCATTTTTTTTTTATTTTTTTATTATTTAACCTACGTTATTCTTATTTTTATTTAACAATTGAAAAAATTTTAAAAAGATTCTTGCTGTAAATGTAAAATTACTTAAAGATTGTATTTTTCTAAATTTTATTTTAATTGTTATGCATATTTAATTATTATTATGAAATACAATTATTGTGCATTCTAATTACTTTTAAATTCAAATTATTTTGTAAACACGGATCAGGAAAAAGTCAGAAAAATTAGAAAATTTTTTTTTGTAAAGTACTGGGAAAAATATCAAATTTATAAAAATGTTATTAAAATTATAATTTTTGAAATTTTCAATTCAAATTTTTCCTTCTAAAAATTGTCTTCATTTTTTTTATAATTGAAAACCTTTTAAAATATTTTCTTTAAGGTTCAGGGAAAAAATTTTAATTATTACGGGAAATCAGGGAAAAACGAAATAAAATTTTTCTGGCAACTGTGAATTGATTGTAATTTTTTTTTAGTTTTGAAAGTTTTAAGTAATTTTATTTTATTATATTAACTTAAAATTGCATTAATTAAATTTTATAATTGTGTTGAATTAAATAAAAAAATGATTGAAAATATTCTTTTTTTTTAATATTAAAATTTGGAATAAAATTCGGAAAACAAATATTAATTGGAACTGATTTTTAAAAAATGCGAATAATAAAAAAAAATACCCAAGTTTTGCTAAATTTTAGAAAAATATTACAATTTTGTAAAATTATATAATCTGTTGATTTTTCAAAATTTTAACTGGAAAATTTTAAAGTTGTTGTATTTGTAAGAAAAAATCAAGGTGAATTTTTAATTTTTCAAGACATATAGATAACTAAATTCACGTTTTTATAAAGATTTCAAAATTGGATGTCCATCCTGTAAATGATTTTAATAACAATTTTTTAATTACTATTTACTATTATTAATTTAATTATTGAAATTAAATTATTAAAAGATTATTGAATTAATATTTCCAACAACAAATTATGTTTCAGATTTCTGATGATAAAGACGGTGAAGTTATAGATCACTTTTGGCTCATAAAAGACGAAATCTATCCAAAATTTATAAATCTAACAAAAAGGAATTAAATTTCTAATTTAATTATAATACGAACAAAATATGTTTCAAAATTTCTTGAAATTTTCTTTTCTTTATAATACTCTTAATTTTTAGGAACAAATTTTCAAATATCTTTTTAAAAACATAATTTAAATTTCTTTTGATATTTAAAAATAAAGATAATAATTATATGTAAGTAGCGAAAATTATTCGTTATAACTTTTTTATGCAAAAGTTTCTAAATACTCAAATTTTTAATATTAAAAAATTCTATCACCCATTTACGTGATAATTCTAAAATTAAAAACATGGACGAACAAATAAATAAAAAATATATTTACAATCAAAGTATGTCGTATATTTTTTTTTTTCCTTTCCAAAAACCTCTCAATAACGATTAAGGTTTTTGTAAATAAACGAGCTTATAGCCATATATTTATTTAATTGTTAAAATATAAATATATGTGTATAATAATATTATTATTACTATTATTATTATTATTATTATTATTATTTCTTAGTGGTAGTGTTTTTTTTTCTCTCGCATTGCGATATATTATTAATAATAATAATAATCGACAACGTTTTAATGCCGGATGTCTTTATAATAATAACAACTTCTCAGCACTTAAATTTTCATTTACACTTTCTTCTGTAGTTCTGTATATTTTAAACTAGTGACGCGCAGTTATAACTAGGAAGTCAATAGAAATAATTTATAAAATTACAGAAGGCGATATTTTCCATATTTTCATTGACTTAATCCAGTTAACACCACTGTCTTTGTAAATATATATATATATATATTTATATATTTATTTTACAATTGTAGTATTATTTCTAAAAACTTTATTACAAAAAAAAAAAAAAATAATAATAATGAACTTCTGCTGCTTTCGACGGTGGTTTCTATATATAACACAGATGAAAATGAATAATGAATCCTTTGAGCAAGAGAATAAAGTATGATACTAAAAAAAAGAAAACAAAAAAAAAATTACAATTAACTATTAGAAAGATCTACTTTCTTTAAAAAAAAAAAAAAAAAATCTTTTGAGAAATTTCCCAAAGATTTTTTTTTTCACTAATTTTAGACAAAAACAAAATTATTTAATAAGGAGAAAATTTTTTTTTTTTTAATTAAGAATAGAAAATGCTTTATAATTAATAAATTCGAAGGGGATTCGAACAAAAAACAAAATAAATGAAATGGAACGTACTTTTCGTTAAAGGCTTTCATAGCCAAAAACTTTTTTTTTTAAGAGTATACCAGTTGTCAACACTTTTGGAGACGACACTTGTAAAGTAGAGCGCAATAAGCACCGAAAAGCATGAAAAGGCGATTTTTTTTGTTTGTAAACAATAAAAATCATATTCTATTATAGAAATCATTTTTTGTTTTGTTTTTTTTTTTCTGTAGAATGTGTTGAAAATTTTTGAAACGTTTCGTTTATAATATAAAGTAGTGCTTGATTTCCCCCATTATTTCTTTTCTTTTTTTTTTTTGCGAAAAAAAATTCGCCACTTTACTAATAACGAAACGTTATTATTCATCTACTGACACTTTCCACAAAATTGAAGTCAAATGGCTTATTGTTGTGTCAGTGATTGATTGAAACAATGGAAGAAGCAGCAACTGAATGACTTTCTTGATACGAAAATTGTGGAAAATGTTCTTGTTCTTCGGCAATGGAATTTAAACCACTTCCACTGCTTCGACAATTTTGATCAGGTGGCGTTAATTCAACACTTTCACCAGTGAACATTCTATCAAAATAACGTGTGTCCGTATCTGAATCAACTTGAGGTTTAAATGGTGGTGGAATTTTCTTTTGCACCAAATCGGACCAATCTATCGATGAGAAAAATGCATGTTCCATTATATCTTTTGCGTCATTTGGCCCACCGCCGAGTCTTCTGTTTGGATCCTTAATCAATAATCCTAGAATAGAAAAAAAAAGAAGATTTTAATTTCTTTAATTACAGTATTGAGACAGGAGTAAATTTTACGTCGGTGAAATTCACAATGTTTATCATCAATGCAATGATCTATGCAAATTATTATTATTTTTTGTCTAAAAAATTTTTTATAACATTTCTTCATCAAAGATTTTTAAAAGAAAATAAGTAAGTAAAAAATTTTATTATTTTTCATTTTTTTTTCAATCGTTGATGATAAACTTTGTGAACTTCATTAACGTTAACTTTTTCAATTACCCTGACTTTTCTCAAACATTAAAAAATTTTTTCATTAAATTTTCATTTAAAATTAAAATTATTTTTAATAAATAATTAATTTAATTTAATAAATAAATTTTTTTCACGAGTAAAATTTCAATCTATCGAAATTTATACTAAATTATAAATTTATTTTCTGATAATATTCAGTATTTAAAAAATATATGTTATCGGAAATTAAAAAAAAACACAAACTATAACTCAGTTAATAATTTTTTAAATAGAACAAAAAGTAAAATGATCAAAAATTATTTTTTTCCAATTTTTTATCATAAAATACATTTTTAGGTTCCAAAAAAAAATATCGAAAATTTTTTTTTTTGATAATTTGATACTAAAATCAATTTACATTAGAATAAGTTGAAATTCGGATAATTTTGAAACTTAAATCAATTAAAATTTTTATAAATTAAAATCCAATTAATTTGAAAGTTAAATCGATTAATCTTTAAATAGATTGTTCAGTTTCCCTTATTTCCCTAAAAGAAAATTTTTCCTGACTTTTAAATAAACAGAATTATTTATTATAAGTAACTAAAACTAAATTACATTTATAATTGAATTTAAATTTGTAAATTTAACACTTACCACTCAACATGTCCTTTGCTTCGTTAGAAATATTTCTTGGAAATTTAACGTCCTCCATTAAAATAAGTGTGAACAATTTTTCATGATCAGTATTGTAAAATGGAAGCCTGCCACACATCATTTCATACATAACAACTCCAACTCCCCACCAATCAACAGCTCTTCCATAATCATTATCTTCGAGCACTTCGGGAGCTAAATATTCTGGTGTTCCACAAAACGTCTTTGTTGTTCGTCCTGTTAAAAAAAAAAAAAAAAAAACAAATAATTTAATTCATCTACATTATCATATACAAATTTCACAAATCATTACGTATTATTTATTTATCTCTATTTTAAGAATGTAATATTTTATTTTATTTCTACTTGAAATTATAATTTTATTCATTATTTGAAAATGTACTTCTGACAATTTATTTACATAAATTTTTAATTTCTGGTAAAATTTTCTAATTTTATATTAATTTATTTCTATGTATTTCATTTTTGTATTTGATATTTTTATATATTTTTGATAAATTCAGTAAAAATGAAATAATTTTGATTTCAAAACTTTAATTTTTTTTTTAATATTTAATTTAATTCTATTAGTTATTTACTAACCATAAGTGATGTCCTCTTTGCAAAGTCCAAAATCAGCAATTTTAATGTGTCCCTCTTTGTCGAGAAGCAAATTTTCAAGTTTAAGATCTCTGTAAATAATTCCCTGAGAGTGAAGATAACCCAAAGCTGATATAATTTCAGCTCCATAAAATCTTGTACGTTCTTCACCGAAAATGCGAGTACGACTTAAATGGAAGAAAAGTTCTCCTCCGTTCACGTATTCCATTACAAAACATAAGCGATCTGCTGTTTGAAAGCTGTATTTTAAAGACTGAAAAAAATTTTTAATTAATTTTCAAAAATTTCATTACATTTGAAAAAAAAGTTGAATAGATATTTATAATATTTTACTTTTTACAAAAAAAAAACAAAAATTAAAATCTAATTAAAATTAAGTTCCTTTTGAGGGGATGAAAAGAAATTGAACCATTTAAACTACATTTTTTAAAAAAATTACTACCTTAGAAAAATAATTGCAAATTTTTAACTTTAATAATAGTAAAATTATTAAAAAATTGAAATTATTCACAGTTTTTAATTGACAAATTAATCGCTATTGATTTTTAACCAGTTTTTTAAAAGTATTAGTTAATAATAATTTTTTTCTGTTTTTTTTTTAAGAAAAGGAAAAATATTTAAGAATAAACTTACAATTAAAAATGGATGATTTGTGGTTCGTAAAACTCTATTTTCAGTGAGTGTGTGCGCTACTTCATCCTTTCGAATAATAACTTCTTTCCTCAAAATTTTTATCGCATAAAGATGTCCAGTTGCTTTTTCTCTGCACAAAATCACTTTTCCAAATGTTCCCTTACCAAGAACTTTCAAGAATTCAAAATTCTCCAATGTCTGAAAAATTATAATTATTACTCTTTTTTTTTACTAACAATATTCATTTTTGTTATATAGATGCAGGGTGTTCATCAATTTAAAAAAAAAAAAATTCAATTTATTTATATATATTTATATATATTTTTTATAATAAAACAAGCTTTGTTTCATAATTTTTCCCAATAAATATAAAATGTATAAGTACAAATAAAGCGTAAACAATTTTATAATTTCAACATAAAGCATGTTTCGGAGAAAAAAGAATTTGTTAATTCTAAATAAACGAATTTAATTTTATTGTTACAGGATGTCCTAACAACTTCGCGAGAAAAAAATACCTGAATTTTTCTCGATTTATATTAAGAATTTAAGAATTGAAAAAATTAAATGATAAATAAAGAAATACAAGGATTAATTTGAAAAAAATTTGAAGGAAAAATTTTTAACACAAACAGTTTAAAGAAAACATTGAGAAAGAAAAAAAAACACAACAATTGAAGAAAAGAAATTAAAAATTAAAGTAAATACAAGAGAAACTTTGAAGGAAAAATGGAGAATTTTTGAAATTCACAAAATGAAAGGATTATTTGTCAGGAAAATTGAGAGTTTTGAGCTAGTTTTTAATATGAAATAAATAAATTTTAGAATTTCCCCCCAAAAAAAAGAGAATTAAAATAGGGAAAAAATGTTTCATAAAATGAGAATTTTAGAAAAATTTAAGAAAAATAAAAAGTTGAAGAAATTGAAAAAAATAAATAATTTTAGAAATTCTAATTAAGAGAATTTAAAAAATTAAAAAGATAAGAATTTTATAAAAAAAAAATTAAGAGAAATTAAATTTAATGAAATATGTATAGTGTGGAAAATCGAGAAATTGATAAATTTTCAGAATAAAAAAAGAAATTGCGAGAGAATTGAGAATTTCTGATTAGTTTGTAAAAGTAAATAAATATATATATATATTTTTTTTAAATTTGAATAATATAGAATTTACAGTGAAAACTTACGACTTTCTTTTTGCCAGAAGTTTTACTATTTGAAGTTCCTTGAACACTGAATTTAGCTGATAATTCATCAATACTGCCAACATCAAAATCGGCTTGAAAAACTCCAAGTGAACCACATGAATTTGAACGTGTACTTCCAGTTGGTTCCATATCCACGTCCTCTGACGACGAGGATTGTTGCATTTGTGTTTGTATTTGTTGTTGTTGCTGTTGTTCTTGTTCCACATTTTCTATTCTATCAGCGACATATCTGTAAAATGTTTTTTAGTATTTATATATATTTTAAAGCTATATATATTTATTTAAAAAAAAAAATTTTTTTACTAATTGTAAAATAGCGAAAAATTAATAATAAAATAAAAAAAAAAACGAAAAACTACAATTAATGCAAAATTAAAAGAAAAATAATTTTCGAAAAATTTCCTATTACTGAAATTTGAAACCAGGGAAGCAATTATTTAAATCATGATTAAAATTAAAAATTAAATCGAAGAGTTACTTACATGTAAATCATGATTTAAATCAAAAAGTTGTTTACATTAAAATGTTTTGAACATTTTTTTTTTATTTTATATTAAATATATTTTTCACATTCAATTTTGTATATTCTAAGATTCTAAATTAATTTTTTAACCTATTAACGAATATTCAATTGATATTTTATTCAAAGTTATTTACGTTTTGAAAATAGATAATTTTGTAAACACGACATTTGAAAATATTTGTTTAAAACTTTTTATATTACTATTATAATTAGTTAAAAGAATATTTAAAAACGTATTTTTGATTTATTTTGAGTAATATTATTATTAAGTTATTAAAATTTTAAAAATTAAAACATTCTTTAAAAAAATTTCGTTTTGGGTTAATTTTGATTCAAAATTTTTTGATCAGTTCTAATATTTAAAAAAAAAAAAAAGTTTCAGTAATTCAAACTTTTTAAGGTATAATATTACAAAATTATTGACTTTTTCGAAATCAACAATTTTAAAAAGATGATATTCACTAAATATAATGAATTAAACGTAATTAATTAAAAAATTACTCACTTAAACATTTAAATTACAATTTTAATTCATTCGAAAGTTATAAACAACATTTTTTATTTTTTAATATCTTCTAAATGGAGAAAAATAAAAAATGAAAAATCCTTTTGAATTTAGTTTGTATAAAAAATACATAGTTATATTCTCAATGAAATTTTCATAGGATATAATTTTACAAACATTGAAAATATGTAATGCAAATTTAATCTAATTTACATCCAATTTTTATTTAATATCTAGAATAAAGTTTAAACTGATAGTTGTTGATATTAAATAAAAATTTAATGTAAATTAGATTAAATTTGTATTATTTTTTGAAGTTTTTAAAATTATTAAATAATGAAAATTTTACCGGAAATAATTTTTAAACAAAATAAACTGAAAGGGATTTTTCATTTTTTCTTTATAGAAGAAATTAAAAAATTAATTAAACAATTATTAAATTAATAACTTCTTTTTAGATATCATAATTGTTGGACAATTTTGGTTTTTAATTCCAAAAATGTTATTTTCTTTGATAAAAATATAAAATATTTCTCTCGATGCTTTTATTATTAAATTTATCGTTTAAATATTTTTAAAAAAGAAAATTGATTGAATCGTAATTTTTATCATTCCCCATTTAAAACGAACCTAATAGCCGCTACCCAGTCTTCTCGATCTTGTTCTGTGTAAACGTGAAATGTCCTCTCAATAACTGTCGTCCATTGTAATCCTCTGATTACAAATGTATAAGGCTTAGGCTTATCCATTGACATTATTTGACAACCTCGAACAGTAAAACTATTTTGAGGTTCAGCTGCTGCTGCCATTTGACGATCGGGTTTTGCCTTAAATCCAACCAGGGTGCCATCGTCTCTTAAGACAAAATATCGAGGTCTCCAATTTTTGATATGTTCACCTAAAAATTACAAAAATCAGAAAAAGAATCAATAATTTATTTATTTACATCTGTATAAGGGAATAAAAAAAAATAATCTTTGTTCAATAAATTTAAAAAGTAATAAAAATTAATAATATTTTTTTTAATTAAAACAATTAATCGCCCTAATGATATATTTCAAATTACAATAAAGAATAAATTTAAAAATTTTAATAATAGTCTTAATTGATTTATATTAATTATTAAATAATAAATCTGTAATAAATATTTGTTTAAAAATAAAAAAACAAAGATTAAATTAAATTCTATTATAAATATACATATTTACGCGTGAAGTAAATACAAAGTATGTATACCTGTTATTTTTATAAATTTACTTAACAACAAAGAGGTTTTAAACTAATTACATTCTTTTCGTGTTAATGAATGCTAAAAATAGAATCGTGGATCTAACATAAATAACACGATGGGCGTATAGATAACTAACATTACAAGTCATTCTGATTTATTCGATTAGCTAAAAAGCCAACAATTTATTGTTAAAACATTTAAAATTTTTTTTTTTTTCTTAATACAATAAAAAGAATGTTACGATTATCCATTTCTGTTTTTTTTTTTTAAATCCAAAAATAAATTTTTAAAGAAAATAAATACACGTGTTTTCAATTAAAAAGAAATTCACTTTTATTTAGTAAACATTATTTTTACTACTGAAATAAAATAATATTTTGAAAATCATTGTTATTTTTTATTTCGATCTAATTAATAAAAAAATTAATTCATTATTAATTTTGTCTAAAAAAACTATAATTACATTTAATTATTTCTTTAATTTATTATTACTAAACATTTAATTGAAACGATAAGGTTAAGTGAAATTAGAGTATACATTAACAATTTTTAAAATAAAAATCCCTTGTTTTGATTTGAACACATGTTTACTTCCTTATTTTTATCTCGTATCAAATTTATCGATGTTAATTAGTTAAAATATTTCATAATTTACTCCAAAGCTATGATTATTTTTATTAATAACAAAAAAAAAAAACAAAAACAAAAGAAAACATTTTTTTCATAAAAAAAAATTGCGCATATCCTGTAAACAATTATTTTTAAAATTTTGTTTTTCACTTGAAAGCCATAAAAAAACGATCAGTTAGGTAAACATTAAACTAAACATTTGCATAATAAACAGTCACTTTCGCAACTCATTGAAAGACCCAAATCATAAGGCGCAAAAGCATCAATTTCCAATAAAAAAAAACGAACAATATATATATATATATATATATATATACATATCTCACGGAAAAAGAAGAGCAAGCATCACAAAACATAAACTAACAAGTTATCAATACGATGATCACTTAATGTGTTCTAAATTAAACATTCTTTGACAAGCGAGAAAAAGTTACAGCGATTGTGAAAACAAAATATAACTTTCAATATTTGTTAATCGCTATCTACGTAGGCACAAAAATTGGAAAGTTAATTTGAGGAGAGAGAGAGAGAGAGAGAGAGAAAAAAAACAAGAGAGAAAGAAAGAGAGAGAGAGAGAGAAAAAAAAGAGAGTTGCGTAATATTTTTTTTCTTCTTTATAAACCCGAAAGTAAAAATTATCAAAGAAATGAGGAATTTTTGGTAATATACCCCGTTTCTGAACCCATCCTTCCTTGACGATACGAACAACACTTTGACTAGTGTTGGACGCTGCGACGCTCATCGCTGCGTCCCCCATTACTGGTCCACCAGGATTTTATATTAAGCACAATTTTCAAGATTAATAACAAATTATAATTCGACAAATTAAAAACAACAAAACGACAAAAATATATCAAAACGCACTTAACGACGTAAACGAGTGGGCACTGATGGGCACTGAGGTCACACACCACGACGAAGTAAATATACATATATACACCAAAAACAATTGTTATAACTAACCTATAGAGGTCACTGTTTATGGCGGAAAATAAATATTATACACATAAAAATAATATTATTAAAAATAAAATACTTATGTTTCGAATTAAAAATTTTCGAAATTTTCTCCAAAATTTACACTTATTTACATAATAAATTGTACTTTAATATTGTAAAATATAGAAATTTTTCTTTTAAAAAAATGAAAATTATGTTTACTTTGTTATTTTAAAGATTTTTGAATTTTCTCCATGAACAGCGACATCAAGCGTTTATATTTCGAAATAATTGTCTGACACATTATAGAAGAAGAATCTGTCAAAAAATTTGTATTCTGGTGAAAAAAAAAAATTCTAATAATAGGTAATGTTTACAATTATATACAATTAGACGATATTTAAATTTTAAAAGTTGGTAATTTTTTTTTTTTTATAAATCTGCACGATATTGTGAAGTTAATAAAAGGGTTTTCGTAATACAAGTAGTTATAGAGAGGTTATGTTTCTGTATTTTTATTATTGTTTTTTTTCAGTTTTATAATATTTACATTATATTATTATTATTTTTTTTCTGGAAGTGTACATTTTTCAGTTATTTAAATTTTAATTGTTAAAACTTGCTAATTTATTACGAATCAGATATTCAATTAACATTTTTTTTTGCTTTTACGAAATTTATGAAATTTCATAATTTATTATTAATATTATTTTTATATTTATCATTATTATTATTATTAAAAAACGAAATTTCAGTACTTCTGGATTAATATAATTTATTGAAATAAAAACTCAAATTTTAACATTTTAAATTAAATAATGATTTAATTAAAAAAAGTCGTTTACATTAAAATTTTTTAAATATTTTTTTTTTTAAATATTGTTAATATATTTTTTACATTAAATTTTGTATATTATAACAGTTTCTCTCTATTCTAAGATTCAAAATTAATGTTTTTAACCTTTTGGCGAATATTTTATCTAAAGTTATCGAATTAAATTTTTAAGAATGAAAAAATTTTTTAAACATGAATTTTTGAAATATTTATTTAAAAATCTTTATATTAGGACAAAATTATCATTACCAGTTAATAGAATATTAAAAAAAAATGTATCACTTAAATTTTTTGTGAAATTTTACTGTAAATTATTATAAAGTAATTGAAAAAATCAAAACATTTGAAAAAAAATTTCTTTTTGAATAATTTATGATAATTAATTAATTATAAATTTATTTTTATTTATTTTTTTAATAAAATTTTTGAATTAGAAACTAAAACTGTCCAACAATTCTTATTTTTTAAAATATTGTTGATTTTTAAAAAATCAATGCTTCCGTAATATTAATTTTAATATTAAAATTTTTTATTTATTATATTATTATTTATTTATTAATTTTTTTTTATTTATATTTAAATTTATTTATTTTATAATATTACGGAAGCATTGATTTTTTAAAAATCAACAATATTTTAAAAAATATTAATATTGTTGGACAGTTTTAGTTTTTAATTCAAAAATGTTATTTCTTTGACAAAAATATAAAATATTTCTTGATGCTTGTATTAAATTTATTGTTTAAGTATTTACTAAAAAAAAACCACTAATTAGATATTAACTTTTGAAAAAAGTAAAAAAAAATAAAGAGACATGTAATTTAAATAAAAAAAGAAAATTAGATTTAAATCGAAAAAATTAGATTTAAAAAAAAAATCTTTATCAGCCCTGTTTACATTATTAAGAGAGGAGTTAATTGAAAATATTTATTAATTAATTTTTGTTCAATAATTACATTACTAAAATATAATTAAAATTTTTATTTTCCCCCATTACATTCTTAATTTCGGGAAATTTTTACAAATATATTTAATTTTATTTTCCCTCACTAAATTATTACTTTCTGGAAATTTTTACAAATTTTAATTTCATTTACTCTCATTACATAATTATGACTTTTTGAAAATTTTTTACAAACATATTTAAATGAGTTATTAAAAGTATAAACTCGTAAAGTTTTCCGCCCCCTAAAATCCTTTTATTACATCTTGAAAAGTCATATAGTTTCATTGTAAAAACAGGTATAAGATGTTCCCTATTTATTGTCTAATTCCACGAATATTCTATTTCAGAAAAAGAAAAGATAAAAAAAAAAAAGAAAAAAGAACAATGGAGGCCCACGACATTTATTACAATAGAACCGAATACGTTGAAACAGCATCAGGCAATAAAGTTAGTAGACAAACAGTTCTATGTGGTTCACAAAGTATTGTTCTTCATGGAAAAGTAATTGTCCAATCGGATGCAATTATACGTGGTGATTTATCAAATGTACGAACTGGAAGATATTGTGTTATAAGTAAAAATGTTGTTATTCGTCCACCATTTAAAAAATTTAGTAAAGGTGTTGCATTTTTTCCACTTCAAATGGGCGATCATGTTTTTGTTGGTGAACGAGCTGTTGTTAATGCAGCTATTGTTGGCTCATACGTTTATATTGGAAAAAATGCCGTTCTAGGAAGACGATGCATTTTAAAAGATTGTTGTTACATTGAAGATGGTGCTGTAATACCACCGGAAACAATTGTCCCCTCATTTACACGTTTTGCTGGTAATCCTGCGACATGCGTTGAAGATTTACCCGAATGTACACTTGATCTTATGTTAGATTTTACAAAAAATTATTATCAACATTTTTTACCAGCCGCAGTTTAATTGATTGATAAAAAAAAAAAATTTATTTTAAATCATTTTCGATTTTTTTCATTTTTTTTGAGAAATTTTAATTTATTATTTAATGTAAGAATTATATTTAATTTAAGAAAAATAAAACTTTCCCACTTGGTTTAATAATTGCTTTTTATTTATTACAAAAAAAGAAAATTGTAATTTACCATTTTTGTAAGTACAGAAAGGGGAATAATAGATTTATGTATACAATGAAATATTAATAAAGTACCTATAATAATAAATCTTAATTTTTCTACTCAATTTATTTTAGACTTACCTTTTCAGATTTCTTCTACCTGCCCTTAAATCTCCAACCCTCTCCCCCACAATAAATATATAACCAACTATAGTCATTTGCATTCATTCGCATTTCCCGCTTCGTATCGAACAGAATTATTTTCTTCCTTAACCAAACTTAAAACTTATTACTTCAGGTGAAATATAAAAATACATTCAAGTTTCGTGTCTACAATTTTTTCTATAAATCGTGACGCCGCCATTTTTTGTTTTGTGATCAACTTCATGTTATTCGCGCACTGTTTGCGCGGAAACGTGTTGTGTATATGGTGTTTCTATAAAGATTTTGACGAGAGAATAAAAAAAAAAACATTGAATTAAAACGCAATGTTTGTTGATTACCATCAATAATAGTGAGTGCATTATATAAACATTAAAAAAAAATAAAGCATTTAAATGTATTTCTAAAGAAAAAATTTGTGTACGAGCGTGTAAAACTTAACCACAAAAAATTAATAATGACGACGGATATTGCAAATTCAACAATGTTTACGAATGGTGGTAGACTCTCATCGTCCGGTCCATCAAATTTAATACAACAAGCATTTCAAGGTGTCGACGATGATGATGATCATAATAATTTTGTCGCTTATATTGAAAGCGATGAAAATGGCTCACAAATGATACGTCTATCACCAGAGGCGGCTGCTCAATTTGGTTTTAATATGGAGGATGGAATCTCTGGAGAGGTTACATTTTTGCCAAGCGACGGAGATGCCGTACCTGAAATAAATGCCACCGATATTTCTAATAATTGTTCAAGGTATGATATTTAAATTTTTTGTAAATCAAAAATCTTTTTAGGTTAGGTTTTATTTTTTTTTTTTTGTCACTTAATTTTTTTATTAAAAGAAAAAAAATAATTGCCTTTAGATATGACGAGTGGTCAGTACAAGATTTAAATCAATCTGAATCTTTTCAACATGGAAACAACATGGGAACAAATTTGGACATGACAAACAGGGAAAATTGTACTCAAAATAATTCTCTCGAACATTCCAACGAATTAATGCAAGTAGATTCTGTTTTACAAGATAATATTTCCAATTTTGATAAATCACAAATTTCAACAAATGATAATTGTATGCAATATACACTTGTTGATAATCAATCATCTCAAACACCATCATTTGTCACTGTAACAACATCTCAAGGTCAAATTTTACAAAATTTACCAATGATGTTACCCACATCACAATATTCATTAAAACCAATACAACCAATGACAAGGTGTCAAAAAAATGTTCGAATTCTTCCAAATGCTAATAAAACACCAGTTAGTACAATTCATTCAATTAATAATGGTACAACGTCAAATGCGGTAATTTTTTCAAATGCAACACTTTTAAATACAGTAACACCACAAATGATAAAAACAATGCCAATTTCAACACAATTTATCAATTCACAGGGAATTGTAAGTGCTTCCGATTTTTTAACAAATGAATTGACAAATGGAAAAATTTCCGATTCCATTACAAATACATCAAATTTAATAAATAATCAATTATCACAATTGATTAAAGTTAATTCAAATTCATTACAAACGGGAAATCTTCATGTTATGAAAACAAATCCATCATCACCAACATTAAAACAAACGCCAATTTTTACAACATCACCAACTAATTATCGTAAATCATTACAAATTTCCAATGTTCGTTCAATGACAAAATCAACGCCAAAAATAACTAGCGCAGTTGTATTACAAAATTCATCAAAACTTCAAGATATTCGAAATAATACAAGTCCAAGTTCCATATTACGAACAAATTCTTCGCCCTCTTCAGTTTCTGTTCTCAAACAACAACAACAACAACAACAACCGCAAAAAACATTTGCCAAACGAATCGTTAATTTACAATCATTAAATAATATTGCAAATAATGTGCAAAATTTACAAAAAACAATATCACTAAAAACATCGAATAATAATTTTGAAAAAAATTCACCAAAACCCCAAGAAATCAATCAAATGCGTAATATGAAGAATTTAAAAAATATCAAATCAATGCCAAATGTTGTTTTAGAAAAAGTAAAAGGCGGTAATTATTGTTCAATTAAATCAACAAATTGTACATTAACAAATTCAACGACCCTTCCACCAAGTGCAAGAATAGCAATATCAAAAACAAAATTAAATAATATTTCAACAAATCAAATTGTCACCACATTAAAATCGAATCCAATTTTAAAAAACACTGATACAACCTCAAAAATTGAGAAATCAAATAAAAATCAAATTCCAATAATAACACATTCAAAGGGTAAAACATTTATAATTGACGATGGTGTACCAGCTTCGCAAATTTCACAAATCATACAAAAATTCAATAGAGAACAACAAAATTTTGAATTATCAAATTATCAAAATAACGAGGAGAATAAAGAAAAAGTTGTCTATCAAATTGTTTATCCAAATGATTTGGATCTTATTAATCGACGTGCACCGGCAACGGCGACAACAACAATGGCACAAACAACAACAACAACAACAACAAATGTTCAACAAAAACGACCAGCAAAACGTGGTAGACCAAAGAAAAATACCGTGAAACCACAAATTCCACCGCCGACAAAACCAATTTCCGAAGAGGATCGTGAATTAAAGAATGAACGTAAAAAAGTTATTGCAAGAACACGTTCGGGTAGATTGTCACGACCACCAAAACATATGGTACGCGATTATAAACATTTGCATCCTGTTGATTTTACACAACCCGATTTAGATGATTCCGACGGTGGTTATAGTGATTACAATACAAATGGCGATGTTCCCGATGACGATGAAACACCAAAGGAATTATTAACCGGTCTTGAGATACCAAAACGAAAAGTATCAAAAGAATATCTCTGTCCAACATGTTCAAAAACATATTTAGGTAGAGAAAAAATGATATTTCACTTTGAAAAATATCCTAGTCATGGTAATATGGATCAACTTCCACCGGCGAAACCAAAAACAGATGTTAATCAATCTTTGGATACATTAAAACGAAAAGGAAAAAAACGCGGACCCTGGGGTACGCCTGAGGAAAAATCAGCGCGACGGCAAGAAAAATTAAAAAATGCAATTGCCGTCTGTGAAAAGAATGAAATTTCAAATATTGCCGCAAAACCGGTACTAAATTCAATGTCATTATTTGATTTAATAATAATGAAATCAGAAAATAATGTCATGAATTTTATGCATATATTAAAAGATCTTATGAACAATATTCGTGAAAAAGCCACGATAATGTTAAATCCACCAACTAACGACGATGAACGTAATAATTCAATGGATTTAAATGACGATTTACTTTGCGATGCATTGGGATTAAATCCTGGATTATATAAAATCAATAATAATTGTTTTCATCAAGAAAATTCTAACAACGACGTGAATGAATTGTCAATTAAAAAGGCAAAAATTGAAAATATTGAACATCATTTGGAAGAAAGAGCATCGAGTGGATTTTCCGATGGTTCTGATTCAAGTTCAAATTGTCCCGATGTTTTAACGGCATTAACTTTAGTACCAAGAATAAATAACGATGAACCATGCAAATTAATAGGATCAAAATTAGTGATATCAAATCCCGAGATACAAAATGAATTATGTGAAAATGGAGGTTTTAGAAAAATTGATATAAGCAATAATGGATTTCAAAAATTCGACACCAATGATCAATTTATTAAATTACAATCAACGGACAAGAAATTTATTAAACTTGAAAATGGAATAATGGGTGCCTATCATCAAAATCATGAATCAGAGGAAAATAGTTTTGAAATGCAAAATTTTGCTAATACTACGGAAAATTTTAATAAGAGCTTTCAAACATCAAATGAAAATAATACAAATATTTTCGATGGTTTGGAGAATTTAGAAGTGAAAATGAATTACGATCATTTGGCACAATTGGCAATGTTGAATGCAACTGGTGAAATGGAACATCATCATCATCATCATCATCAATCGCACATAACGGAACAAATTGAACAAATTGTAAGTGATAAATTGAGTGATATGATTCCAGGCGATTTATTGGAGAATAATTTAATTTCAAATAATTCGATAAGTTCGGATATTTCATTTGCGTTTAATTCTTCACTCACTGAAGAATATCCATTTAGAAGTATTAGAAGTTAATTGTACGTGTGTTTTTTTTTACAGTGTACAGTACTTATCGAGAAATTATCAATTACTTGTACAGTTGTAAATAGTTTTTTTTCTAAGAGAAATGGGTTTATTTATTGTATAATTAAAAGCTTTTTTTTGGTGTGAAATTTGAAATAGTTGATAGTTGCATTTTTTTTTTTTTTTTTTTTTTGGTACATATTAGAGTGGGTTAGAAAATAATTTTTTTCTTTGCCCTAGAATTTTATTTTTATAGCAAAAAAATAATTTTTTTTTCTAAATTAAATATTAACATTAGTTTCTGAAAATTCACATAAGGAAAAATGCATTTTTTCGTATAAAATTGTTGAAAATATTTTTTTTTATCTGCAAACCATATTTCTTTTTAGAAATATGCAAATATCGAAAATTTGTTCTTTATTAAATAATAACTATTTTTTACAGGATCTCAAAAAAAAAAACAAATGATCAACGATTGAAAAAAAAAATTTCATCTTAAAAATGAAAAATTTTTTTGCCTACAAATTATTTTCTTTTAAAAATTGTTGATCGAGAAATTTGTAAAATTATAAAGAAAAAAAATTTCAGACAAAAAAATTATAATTTGCATATAGAAAAATATTTTTTTTCTTTCTAAAAGTTGTCAACTTCACGGACGTGTAAAAAAAAATTCTCATAAACGTAAAAAAATGAAATTTATGAAAAAAAAAACATTTGCTCTGAAGAAATGAATCTAAGAAGCAAAAAAATTATACTCTCTGTTTTGCAATTTTGTCTAATAAATAATTCTTTAAAGTTGTCGCAATGTTGATTTTGAATTTTACAATTTTTGATGCTTATTAGATTTATTAATACAATTATTAATAAATAATTATATTTATAATAGTAATAATAATAAATTAATATATAAATTTTTTTAACATTTTGATGTTAAATTTTTTTTTTTATTGAACAAATTATTTTTGTTAAATATCAACTTTTGTTCAAATATATCAAAAGAGTTTGTAATTTTTTCTAACTTTTGCAAATTTTTTTTATTAGCAAAACCAATTGTAAAAAGATTATTAAATTATCATTCAAATAATTATAAATATTTATAAACAAATTATTTTTGTTGTGCATTAACTTTTGCTATTTGTTGTCATTTTTTTTTTTTTTTTTTATTTATTTATTCGGTAACTACATTTGCGAATTAAACTGTGAAACTAATATTATATAATAATAATTTTGTATAAAAATAATAATTATAAAAAAAAAATAAATCTTTTTTCTGATTCCAATAAGCATATCAAAAGTTGCAACAACTCTATAGAGTTATTTATAAAATATTGGGAAAGTAACAATTGTAATTAGTTTAAATAATTTAAGTGACATGTAAAAACATCAATAATATTTCGATATTAATAACAATTTTTGTAAAAAGAAATCATTAAAATTTAATAATTAATATATTTTCATAAATTTCATTTTTTTATGTTTATGGGATTTCTTTGAAATTCTGTAAAAAAAATTGTTAAAATTTATTTAATAACTGAATCATAAATTTTCATTATTTGAATATTTCTCATGAGGAATACAGTTTTTTTTTCAATTTTTTTTGACAATTTTATACCAAAACAAAAAAAGTGCATTTTTCTTATATGGAAATTCAATTTCGACGACACGGGTTAATATTAATTTACAAAAAAAAATTATTTTCTATCCCACTCTAATAATAATATTTATATGGGAAAATGTCGTTTAAGTCAATTAATAAATTATGTCGATTAAATTCTATCGATTTAAATAGCAAATAAGAAAAAAAAATAATAATATTTATTTGGTGCGTCTAATTTTTATATTTATTACGAATAATCACGAAAAAAAAAAAAAATTCTATTGAAAAAAAATCATGTGATTATGTCCATAATATAATGCGCTCAAAATATCGATGTAAAAATTAACAAAAAGAAAGATTATATTTTTCAACAAAAAAAAAAAAAAATAAAATAAACTAAATGTACAAAATATATTATTATGTAAAGCACAATTATGGTGTCAGAAAAATTGCAATTTATTTTTTCTCTAGTCTGTTCTATATATATATATAAATAAATAAATATATATGTAAATATTCTGTTTAGGCACAGAATAGGGTATCCGTATTGTTTTAGAAAAGTCATGTAAAATTTAGATTTAATTTTTCAAAGCTATTGTGAAAAACTTTTGTTCAAGAATATATAATTTATATTCTTTATGAGAATATTTGAGAAAGATTACTCTTTTTTTTTTTTAGAAAAGACGATATTAGAACTAGAAAGAGAAATTGGATAATAATTGCATAATATTAAAATGTGTGTAATTTATGCAACATTTTTTTTTTCAAGAGACTCTATTTTAATGGAAAAAAAGCCAGAATTGTATAAATTGTTTTTTTTTTTCACTGGTTACTAGAATATGACATGATACCGGTTATAATATTGTAATATGTATTTTGATAAGATTTTACTCGATACAGTAAATTTAATGAATAAGTTTTTTGTAATTTATTCTTTTTCTCTCAGTGATAATGTGTGTCAAATAATATCAAAATATCAATGACATTAATATTATTTAAATAATATTAAAAATTACATTGGTGACATTAACATTATCAAACAAATTTATATGATAATAATAAAATAATATTAATGTTATTAATATATTTAATAATCATAATATAAAAATTTGGAAAATTAAGTGGTATTTTTCTAATGGTGAATTTTAATTTTTCATCTGTGACGAGTTTTAATATTTTTTTTTTTTTCTTGTCAATTTCGTTTCTTGCTTTTAAACAAATATTTACATTCGATTTTTGATGTACGCAATTTATTTTTTTTTCTGTTTTTTTTTTTTTTGAATTCATTATTTTGTAATTGTAGTTTTTTGATTACTGTACTTTTGCAGCTAAACTATAGAGACTATTTTGATATTAAGTATTATAATCATTTCATCGTCTACTATTGTCATTTTTTGGATTTATTACCACAAAAAAGAAAGACTTATTTTATTATTATATAAATTAACAATATTTAAATAATTTATGACTTAAATATATTTAAGGTAAAATATGAATAATAATTTATAATTATTTTCTATCTTTTTTTAAATAAATAATAGCATTAATGTAAATTATTAATGTTTAAATAATAATTAAAAATTATTAATTAAATATTTCAATTGTCAATTACGTACATACTTGTAAATTAAACATTGTGATAAGATTTATATTTTTCTATATACTTAATAATAATTATTGTAAAACAAAAAAAAAAAAAGTAAATAATAATTTATAAAATGATTGTGACTTTTAAAATTTGTTACAAATATTATGAAAGATATTTTTCTTCTGAAAAAAAAAAAAATGATGATGGTAGATATCGATGAAAGTAAAAAAAAAAGCAAACTAATATTTTTTGAATGACTTTCAAATGTGACGGTATATTAATTTTTAAGAAATATTGTATAAGCGATTTTGAAATCTTGTAATATTGATCTCAATTATTAATATTATCTGTGAGCTCTTTCTTTATAATAAGAATACGTACTTCGTTAATTTTATATTTCTATCATAATTATGTGTATATCGAGTATATATATATATTAACAAAAAACAATAAAAAGCATTGTCTTAAAGATGGTTTTCATTTTTTTTTTAAGTTCCCAAAGATTTTTCATTTTTTGTTTTGTAAATGAACAAAGAGTGTTTCATTAAAATTTAAGAATAAAATTCAAGGTTTTAAAATAGCAAAAATTGCTCTTTCTTTAGAATATTTAAAAGTTCAATTATTTTCAATAATTCAATTTTTTGTAATACAATTATTTTTCTAATCGATTATTTTCAAAAATTATTATTTTGTATTTAATTGTTTTTAAATGCAATTATTTTTATAAATTCAATTTTTTTATTTTAATTGTTATGTAAATATTTTATTTATCTACTTTTTCTTTTTTATTTATTTAGTTATTTCAAAAATATACAGAATTTTATTTTTAAAAAATTAAAAATTTCATTTTTTTCATAAATATGAACACTGACAAAGAAAAAAAGTGAAAAATTTATTGAATTCAATAATTGGATTTACAAAATATTTAACTGTATCTGGAAATAATTGAATTTAGAAAAAAAATCAATTTAAAAAATTATTTAATTTAAAAATAATTAAAATTTTGTGGTAATTGAATTTTATTCTTAATGAAATATTAATAATATGGAAATTAATTCAATAAAATTAATTAAATTGCAAACAAAATGATAAATTTTTTATAATTTTTTTATTTATATATATTCAAAATAAAATTGTTTTATAATTTATTCAAAATGAGGAGAATATTATTGTAACAATGTTTTATATCCTTAAAATTCGACTTTTGAGAAAAATTTTTGACAAACAAATTTTTTATTTTATTTTTTTGTTTCTTGTCTTTTTATAAATAAAAGAAATATTGGTACTGATTTTAAAAAATGACAAATTATCAAAAAAAAAAAAAGTAAATTGTGTTAAATTTTTAGAAAAATTTTATTGGATATAAAAATTATTTAGCACCAATTTTGCTTTTTGAAAATTCTGACTGAAAAATTGAAAATTTTTTGCAAAAAAAATTTTTTTTAAATAAAGATTTATCAATATATAATTCTATTTATATTTTACAAAAAAATGTGTACAATTTTTGAGAATTCGATTTTGTTAAAGAAAAATTCATTAACAGATTTTTCAAATTTAAAAAAAAAACAAAATATTCAAAAAATTTTTCAATTTTCAAGGGTTTGGTGACTATCATGACGTTTATGTAAATAAATTATAATTTTATTATTCATTTTTGAAATAATTTATTATTCTATTCTTTTAAAAGTATTACAATAAAAATTGTACATTTCATAATTTTATATAATTTGAATTTCTTATTAAAAATAAAATAAATAAAAGAAAAAAAAGAAATTGAATTTTTGATATTATATATACATTAAAAACTCTTATGGTTTTATTATTAAAGTAAAAGAAAACTAAAAAAAAAATACCTTAAAAAATCATAAATAGATATAAAAAACACAAATACAAGAAAAAAATTACCTTAAATCACATTTTTTGAAATGGTAATAATCACTTTTTTTTAAAGATAAAAAAAATCCATCTGAATTTTTGAACTCTCCCTGAAGTTTGATAAATTTTTTTTTTTTGTCAAAATATAAAATTTCCTCTATTTAAAAAAGAATTTGTTTTTTTTCAAAAGACAAAAAAAAAAAAAAAAATTAATTGAAGGTGAAAAAAAAAAAAATTTTAAAGTTAAGTTCATTATCTAGTATATAGACTCAAAGAGGGTTGTGCATTAAATGATAGGTATATAGGAAGAATAAATGACAGATTCCTTGAACTGGGTCAATCAATACCCATACGATGATGGAGAGCATCGCATGGGAACGGTTTTTGCAAAGAGTCGTGCGCGTAGATCACTGACAAAAGCATCTTTTTCTTCATTGTGAAAAAGAGAAACAAAAATAGAAAGAAAATAAAATTCAATCAAATTTTTTCTTACTCTTCAAGAAAAAAAAGAAGAAAAAAAAAAAAAAAAAAAGAAAAAATATGTCGAACGAAAATTTGACAATTGTTGTTATTCAAGAAAATCGCTTTCCTGATGTTATCAATCATTTGAGGTACAACTTTTTTGCCGACGAACCACTTAATAAAGCTGTTGGTCTTTGTCAACCTGGAGACAGTCATTATGAACTTGAGCAGCACTGTCTACAGACATTGAAACAAGGATATTCAAGGATGTTGATTGACAATAAAGGAACGGTATGCATTTGTTTTTTTTCTCTAACACAGAATTATGATTTTTTTCTCCAAATTTTTACGATAATTTAAATCCTTTTCTCTCGCTTTTTTTTCAATAATTTAAATCTCTAAAAATTATGATTTTTTTTTTTTGTTGAAATTTTCTTCTCGCTCAGAATTGATTTTCCCATTGAATAATAATTGAAAATAATTTTTTCGATTTTCAACATAAATAATTATTTTCGTTTATTTGTGGCTAATTTGAATTTTTTTCTATTGCAATTGAATTTATTTAATAAAAAAACAAAAAAAAAAAAAAAAACAGATAGCTGGCACTGTTTTGAATGGCATTGTCCAAAGAGGTGAACGTGAAGAAGCCGAAAGACGACTCGCTGAAATGAATGATAAAAAATTTCAAACAATCTTTGGTCTCTTATATAAAGTCAACGAAAAAATTGATCTCTTTAGCAAATATAATGTGGACGATCTTTTTGAATGTCGTATTCTAAGTGTAGACGATCGTTATCGCGGTAGAGGATTAGCCAATGTTCTCGTGAAAGAGAGTTTGGAAACTGCCAAAAATGCCGGCTTCAAGGTATTTACAAATTTTACAAAAAGAAAATTTTTTTTTTATCGCTCAATGTAATATTTGCCAATTTAAATTATTATTATTATTATTATTATTGTTGGAATGTATTGTGTTTTTAAAGACCAATTATTAAAAATTATCATTTTTATTGGCCCTTTTTTTTCTTTGTAAATTGCTGCTGAAAAAAAAAAATTATCCTTTATATTAAATGTTGTGTACATATTTTTTTCTCTTTGTTTCAGCATGCTCTTCAAATAAAATATGCATGGGATGATTTTCATTATGCGAAGATGTTGTTTATAAATAATAATTTCATCAAAGATCTGATTATTCAAAAGAAGAGTCTCGTCATGCTTTCAGATCTTCAAGACAGATGCAACTGGATTATATTCACAAAAAGTCTTTCTCAAATATGGATTCAAGACGGAGGCTGAAATTTTATATTTGGAAATTGATGAAAATATCCGACCAGAGCCACCACATCAAGCACTCAAACTTATGGTCAAGATTTTAGAGTGAATAAGGAAATTTTCGTTTTAAACACAAACGCAGAAAGTATATATTTGCAATTATTTCCCCCGAAAAAAAGAACGAAAGTAGAATTAACTATTTTATTTTTTCTCTCGAAAAGCTCTCTCGAAAAAAAAACGAACTGTTTTCACGTGTACTTTAAACGAATTTTTTTTTTTGCAATAATTTTTTTTTTCCAATTAAATGACAAATTTGACTCGATATGTCAAAAAAAAAAAATAATAATCTTATATTATATGTGACAATTTTTTCAAGATTTTTAACTTCAATTTTTTTTGCGTCGTATTATAGAAATTAAGCCTAATGTAAGTTACGTAGACGTCTATATTTAATTCCGTATAAATTATCCGAAATTTGACTGCCCATTGTCCTCGTGTTCATGAAGAAGAGAAAAAAAAGTATTTAAATACAAAAAAAAAGCACTGGTTGCCAATATTGTATATACCTTGAGGTTTCAGGGTCAGATTAAATTCAAACTGCCTTTTCGGAGCGGGCGTTCGATAGAAAGTTAATTTTCATTTTACTATAAGTAATTTTTTTTTTTTAAGAAACGATTCAAGTAAAAAAGCGTAACGTCCAGAGCTCAATCAATAAAATTAATTAAATTATACAATTGGACCAAAAAAAAAATCTTTCAATACAATTAAAATTGTTATAATATAATCCAATATTATAATATTATTATATTGTACAAATAATCAAATATTATAATTAAATTTAATCATTAATTAAATAGATTTTTTTTTAAAAAAACTTTTCACGGGAATAATTTAGAAAACAGAGCTTACAAAAGTCAAAAAATAAATTTATGTCACTTAAAAGAAAAAGTCGCCCGTCCTGAAAAGATAAAATAAGTAGATTAGTTAAATGTCCAAAAAAAAAAACCAAACGAAAGCGTGCGCATCGTCGAACATCGTTCGATGGAAACGGTACCTGGGAGACGAAATATCGTCGAGTACATTTAAATTTTCCAGCTCTCAGCGACCAAAAAAAAAAAAAAAAAAAAAAAAAAAAAAAAAAAACAGTAGCCAATGGTTCTTGTTGTGTCAACGAGTAGCAAAATTTGTGCCATACTTTCCATGTTGCGATATTCTTGTAGATGTATAATTCAGCGCACAGTTGTACAAACGATTTCCACATGACGGGTCCACTTGTATACAAGTAAAAAAAAAAAAAAAAAATGTTATACGAAATATTTAAAAGTATAAATATATAATAAATATTTTTGTTGGTGTCTTGCATTATAGACAAATAATAGATAATGCACCCTTATTTTCTAAGGATGTCGTCAAAAAAAAAAAGAAAATTCAAAAGTTTATTATATAATATATTTAAAATGCGACTCTTCTTTGAAGTAAATTAAAAAATTTACTCTCGATTTAAAATTCAATATATATATAGTATATGAAAGTTAATATTAACATTATATGAAATTTATTATTATTTAATAATATATTAAAATAATATTAATATAATTATGATTAGTATCACATTAATATAGTGTATAATGGTGAAAAAAAATAATAATAATATTCAAATGGTATGATTTAATAGGCAAATAAAGTCTGCACACGAACATTCTATACAGTTGAACGTTAATCGAGACTTTAAAAATATGTTATATAAAAATAAAATTGCACACAATAAAATTCTACAATTATATTTATCCCCTTTGTCATATATAATAATTATTTCGTAGCGCATGAATTTCCACATAAAAATAATTAATTACAATTTTTTATTTTCAAGTATATTTTATTAAAAATAATACTATTTTTTTGGACCAATTTTTTAATTTCGAATGAAAATTTGAACAGAATTTCTCTTTTTTAAACAAATTATTACATAACAAAATTTTTAGTTACCGCATTTTTGTTTGACAAAATTTTTATTTTACAGTCATTTTTCTCTACAGGACTTTTTATTTAGCCGAATTTTTTAATGACAAAAATTTCAATTCATCGAATTTTTATTAGTCGTTCGAAATTACAAATGTCCAAACAATAAACTTATCAACAACAGAAAGAATTCGGCGCAATTATTAAAATTGACCAATTTTGAAATTTTAAAGAAAATCGTGATTGGTCAATTTTAAAAATTGCGCCAATATCTTAATGTCGATTGTTTTTCGGGGGCCAAATGAAAATTCGGCGTATTAAAAAATTTCTGATAAATAAAAATTTGGACAATTTAAAAATCGATGAATTGGAATTTTTGTCATTTAAAAATTCAAATAATTCACATAAAAAATTTGATTGAATGAAAATTTTGCTAAATTAAAGTTATTGTAAATAAAAATTCGTGTAAAGGAGAATGACTGTAAAATAAAAAATTCAGTAACTAAAAATTTTGTAAATTTTGTGTAAAAAGAAAATCTGACAAAATTTTAATTTAAAAATTGAAAAATTCGTCTAAAAAATAATTATTTTTAATAAAATTCTTTATAGTGAAAATTCTAATTATTGATTTTTATGGAATAATCATGACATTAAAAAATTGTCCCTAAGAAAAAATTTTTTATTTAATTTAATTTTAATAGAAATCTCACAATTTGAAGTTAGAAAAACGCGTATTTCTATACAATATTTTAGTTTTCACTGGAACAAGAATCACAGTATTTTTTCCCCCTTTAAAATAGACAAAAAAAAAGGTGAATTATTTACTGAAATTAAGTGAGAAAACTGATAATTAAAACCAATTAACGTGCGAAATAATTAATTTTTATCTATATTCAAATTTGAATTAATTGTGAATTTTAATCAATTATTGAATCTTTAATAGTTCAAAATTTTGGTAAATTAAATTTTAGATAAATTGAACATTAAATCAATCCAAATTTGAGTAAACTGAAATTGGAATAATTCAAAAATTAAAAATCAATTTAAATTTGTCCAAAATTGAATTCTAATAATTTTAAACGTAAGTCAATTGAAATTCGTATAATGTGAAAATTAAATCGATTATAAAATTTGGATAAATGAAAATTCGGATAATTTGAAACTTAAATCGATTAATCTTTATAAAGGTTAAAATTTAGTTAATTTTAAGTTTCGATCGTTTAAATTTGATTAAAATTTTATTTAAGAGGGGGCATCTCCTTTATTTTGACCGATTTAAATTTTAATCGCGCGATATTTTCTTTATTCCATCATTTGGATGTTGGGTTCTAAAAACATTTTAAAAGAAAATCATAATTTTTGGATCATTTTAGAATTTGTATTTTTCAAAAAAATAAAAAATTTTCAAAATCCATACGATTCTAAAGAATAATTTTAAAAACATTTTAAAAAATTGTCGATAAAAAGTATAGTCAAAATTGTAAAAGTAGTTGAAATATTTTAAGAGGATGCAGATTAATGAAATTTCAAACTCATAATAATAGAAAAAAAAGACGAAACATTTTTTAAAAACAAATAAAAAAATATATATATCGACATAAATTAACTTGAGAAATATATATATTTCAGTTTTAAAAATGAAAACTAAAAACTACAAAAGTAATAAAATTAATAATATATTTACACTAAAATTGTAATATTTGTTGATGATTTAGAAATTAACTTGTTGTCTAAAGTAACGTTGAAATTTGTTTGTTTTCAATTGTAGTTTTACGGAATATTTTGCTTGGACCCTCTGCATATATTTGATGTCCCTCGCTTTCTTGGCAGCTGCCTCCTTTTGTGTTTCAACCCAACCAAGACCACGGTACATTGATAAAATTTTACTTAATTTTTTACTCTTTGATATTGCGAGTGGTCGATTTGGATCGATATTTTGCTTATAATAAATCATCAATGATCGATGACCAATAACACTTCCAGATGGTAAAATTAATTGATAATCATTATCCTCTAATTCGGGAATTTCAACTTCTGCATCTGGATCATTGGCTTCCGCATCTGGATAACTTGTTGAATAATCGTAAAAATCTGCGTATTCAGCTAATGCTTCACCTTCGTGTAACATTTTACAATGACCTTTGTCAATCATGTGCGTTCTCGCTGCATCTGCACTGCGGAATGCTCTTCCTACAAAAAAAGAAAAAAAAATGAATCTTAAAAAACAAAGAGATTCATACTGTCTACATATTTCAAGTATTCAGTCTTGGTATAAAAATCTGTAATTATTGAAATTTCAAGTTCAGAAAAATTTTAAAACTGATTTTTAAGTCGTATAAAATATTTTATCTTCATTATCTTTTTTTTTATTTTATCTATTATTTTTTATATATTTATTATTTGCCTATTTATTTATTTAATTAATTATAAATCTAAATCGATTTTTTTTTAGAAATTTCAAGCCTCGGGTCGACTTTAAGACACAAAAAAAAGTCGTTTTAGTAAATTTACATTTTAAAAAAAAGTCGATTTTTTTATTTTAACAAAATTTAAATAGTTAATAAATATTTTACTTTAAATAACTAATGTTGTTAGATATTAAATTCTTCTTCTTGACTATTTTAAAGAAATATTAAAATTATTAAACATAATTGAATTTTGGAAGAGTTAAAGTTGAAATTTTTCGAAATAATTGAATTTCAAAAGATTTAGTTAAATTTCAGAAAATAATTAAATTTTAAAGAATTGAAAATAATGTAGCAAATAATTTTAGATATTTTTTTAAAATAATTGAATTTTCAAAGATTTATAATTCAATTTTTTGAAAATAATTCAATTTCAAGAGATTTTGAATTACAATTTTTTGATGATTTCTGTTACTGAAAAATTTATTAGAAATTGCAGACAAAAATAGAATTTGGAAATTTTTTAAGTGATTTTGAATTGAAATTTTTGATAATTTCCGTTGCTGATTTTTTTTTTAATTTAAAAATATAATTGAATTTGTGAATAATTTCATTAAAATTATTAAAAATAATTAATTTAGTGATGAATTTTAGTTAAAAATTTGTTAAATAATTTAAATAAAGAAGATCTGAATTGTATACTAAAAAAGACGCATTTTATTAAATATTTTGTAAAAAATGTAGAAAAAGTCGAAAAAGTCGCATCTTATTAAAATAAGTCAAAAAATGTAGTATTTTTGAAAAAAAAAGTCAGAAAAAATCGAAAAATCCGAGGCATGAAATTTGTATAAAAATTTTCATAAATTCAAATATTAAAATTTTTAAGTAAAAATCGTCTAAAATTTTATTCCTGTAAAAAAAAATTAACAATTAATCTTCTAAAATGTAATTATTTTAAAAAATGTTAATTATAATTAAGCGCCAATTTATTTATTTTCAATAAGTTTTATAAAATTCTTTGAAAATTAAGTTAATTAAAAAAATGTTTAATTAAATATTCTCTAAAAATTAATTATTGCATCCCTTAGAATAAAATTTTTTTTTAAATAAAATATTTTAAACTTAAATACCTAAAACCTAAATTGTTTTTGAAAATTACAAATATTTCATTGTTAATTAATATTTTTTAATACAGATCTTAAAACTACAAAACAATTTTGAAATTTATGCTTCTATTCTCAAACATAATGCTCCTGTTTCAACTTAAGTTTCTTGATTTTTAAAACTTAATATAGAAACAACTTTTTTTATTAACTTTAATAAATTTCTAATTTCAAATTCTCATTTTCAGACAATAAAACTAATCAATTTCCCAGGAAACTTTTTTTAAAAATAAATTGCAATTTTTTAAAAAAAAAACGTAGTCCTCAAAGGGTTAAAAAAAATCAGATCATTGTGATTGAAATTTTACGTTAGCAACGTTTATGATCAACGATTTAGAAGAAAAAACATTTTTCTACCCAAATTATCATTATTTTTTTTTTTTTATCTAAAAAACATTTTTGCAACGTTTTTCGATCAACAATTTTTTGAAAACAAAATTTATAGGCAAAAAATTAGTAATTGAGTGAAAAAAAAATTTTTTTTTCAATAAACGTAATATTTAAAAAATGGAAGAAAAAAAAATACCTTTATCATTACACCAAAGACACATGAATCCACCAAAGACTTTTTCGCCCAAATAAACTAATAATCCTCTCATATCTACACAATATTCTGGATCAGGTATAAAAAAACTATGTGCTTCCGTCATGTGTTTTAAATTTCGTACCCACGATCGACTATGATGACTGCAAAATAGACAATCATTATTTTCCACTGGATTTTCCGTATCGTTCATCCATTCATCGGAATCAACTGATTCACAATCAGAATCTGTATCCATATTCTCTTCGATTCTACTCTTTTTTGCAGAAATATTCTCCATTTTTTCATCTTTATCATCAGCATCATTATTATCATTATTTTTAATACCACTAGACGATGATTGATCATTAAGTTCCTCATTCGAATTAGCATTTGAAACTTTTGCTGATTTATCTTTATGTTTTTTTGACAATAAATGATTGTTATATTGATTTTGTGTACTAAAATTTTTTCTACATGCTTTGCAATTCATTTCTTGACTTTGTTGAAGTTGATCATCTTTTCCGCGTTGTGCAATAACACGTTTTTGAAAATCTTCAACACCCACTGGTGGTAATTCAACTACTTTTCTCTTTAAATTATAACGATGCCAATCGGATTTATAATGTTGCCTTTGAACTTCTAAATCTCTAAAAGCAACTCGACATGTAATACACGTGTAGGGTATCGATATGTTGCTCATATTTGCAACTTTTTTTTTTTTATTATTATTATTATTTCCTAACGAAAGCACCTTATCAAACTACGATTTTGTAGTTGATGCTGTAAATAAAGCCTGATATTAAATATAATATATACAAGAACAATAAATTTAAAAAAAAAATGTAAATTAAGGTTAGGATTTTATTTTTTAAATTTAAAAGAGCAATTTTAATTACTTTTATCAAAATTAAATAAATTTTCTTACCTCTAGTGAATGGCTTATTGAAATTTGAACACTTTATTTAATTAAATTTCAGAATTTGCATCATATCGTGAAATATTTGAAATCAAATATAGAAAAGAGATTTCTTGAAATCACTTCATGAAGTAAACACTGAGATTAAAATGGCGGACTTTATCGATTGATATGACGTCAGACAAAATGGAGGTCTTTGTGAGTGGTAAATTTGAAAATGTAAAATTTGTTAATTTTCGATAAAAAAAAAAGTATTTCAATGCAAATGCAAACTCAATTTATTTTGATAGTTTAAAGCATTAATAGTACAAAACAAAAATTATAATTTCTTGTCAATAGGAAACTATTTGGGTAACATAACCTAAAAATTTATATTTCTCAGTAAAAAATTTGTAATCATTATTTAAATCATTCGAATACAATTTTTAATATTTCAAAATGTTAATAAATAAATTAATAAAATATTTATAAAAAAAAAATTTGCTTTAAATTATTATTTTCTTTTAAAAATATGAAAAATGAATTTTTATTTTGATCTTAAAAATTACCCATTTTCGGAGCAGACTCTTAATAATAATGATTTTTATTTTTTACATATTCTTTATTACAAAAATTAATCTACTAAAGATATTTAAAAAAAACAGTGTAATTGAAATTTTCAAAATCTTGTTAATATTTCTAGGTCATTAAAAAAAAAATTTTATATAATAATAAACCAATAGTAATTTTATTAAATAAATTGCTAAAATAATTTTTGTGTCCAAATAAAAAATTTACACATCACATAATAAAATAATTTTTTTATCTATAGTTTTTTAAAATAAATTTTTATACAAAAATTCCAATTTATATTTTTTGATATCTTTATTTTCAAAAACAAAAAAAATGACGAAAAAAATATAATGTTTCGGAGAAATAATCAACTTTTTAAGTAAAAACAATTGTTTATTTACAACGCTTGATTTTACAAGAAAATATCGGACATCAAATAAAAAAATAATCCAAAAATCAATAAAAATTTGATGTCACATATTGTAATATAATTTAGTTATGTTTTCAAATAGTAAAAAAAATAAAAAATGTCTCCTATATGTGTTTTATGGTTTACAAAAAAGGGGAACTATTTTTAATTAAAATAATATAACATAAAAATGTAATATCAAAATGGTAAAAAAAAAATTTTTTTTAAATAATTTTAAAGAATTATTTGATCGCTCTTATCACTACACAATACTATCGCTTTACAAATTTCCGGAACTTAATAATTTTATAAATGCTCTGCTGGAAAAACAAGAAGATCAAATCTTCTGCAGAATAAACATAATTTTCGTCTTCAAAATTTATACACAATTTACAATTAAGTTACTTAGTATATAATATATTCTCTTTCGAAGACGTAGAATTATAAACATTAATATTATATAAATATAAACATTGATCCAATTGCAATGCATTCACAGTCGAATTAATAATTAAAATCGTTATTACATAAATACATTTATAGTTCTAAATGGCGAATATAAAAAATTTCGAGATCAATGCAAAAAAAAAAAATAAAAACCCTACAAATTCAATCACAGTAAAATGTAAAAATATCTCTCATTTGCCGTCGATTAACATTTATATATATGTATATATCTAAAAGGGGAAGGAAATAAAGTATTATCAAAAACTTTATCAAATTAAATAAAATTAATCGCCATGCAAAATGGCAAGAATTTGACAATTATATTAATATTAAAAATAGTTTTTTTTTTACTAGATAAAATTTTTAAATATTTCAAATTAATTTGATCTATTATGAAAAATGCTTATTATAAATATAATTAACAGATCGATATTACTCCAACACCAACACCGCCTTCATGAGCGCACATTGGAGTTGCGAATGACCATGTATTTGTATCAGGATCATAAACTTCAACTGTCGAAAGATTTGAATCACCATCATAACCACCGATTGCCCATAATTTACCCATATTTGCCACAAGTGCAGCACGACTGCGTCTTACTGTCATTGGTGCGACAAATTCCCATCTATGGAAGAATTTTTTAATTTAACCAATTTTTCATGAATTTCTACTGTCAAAAAATTTAAGATTTATTTTAAAAGGACTTTTTTTTCATTAAATTGTTAAATTCTTAACAATGATATTATTATTAATAAAATTAAGAAAAAAATATCTTTTAAGTTTTATAACTTTTTGACTAATTGGAATATTTTATTTTCTTTCTTTTTGAATCAGAAAGAGCATTCACTCCTCTTTAAAAATCCAGTAGAAAAATTAATAACAAAAAAAAAAATTAATAATAAAAAAATAGAGGCTATTTTACTAAAAAAATCATTGAATTCAGATTACTCAAAAACCCCCTTTTTTTTATTTCAATTTTTTTTTTTTTTTTGGTAAATTGTCTTCGTAGTAAAGAATATTTTTCAAAAAAAAACTCAAAATTCTGGGAAAAAAACATTTTTACATATAAAACGTTAAAATTTCAAAAAAAAAAAATAAATTGAATTGTGTTCTTTTTTAATTTGTGCACAAATTAATTTTTTTGAAAAACTCAAACTTCTGGACAAAAAAATTAAAAAACATTTTTAAAACGTCTAAAAATAAAATTTTCAAAAAAAAACAAACTTTTTACTAAATTGTGCTATTTTATGCAAAAATTTATTTTTTAAAAAACTCAAAAATTTTTCCAAAACTGCAGATTTTTAAAAATAAATTTACTTCTTTAACATAACTAGAAAATATATTTTGTAAAATATTTTCAGAATTTCGATTTTTTTAAATTTTTTTTATAGAAAAATTTCATTCTATGAAAAAAATACAATACTTATTGCAATAAAAAAATTCCCCAATAAAAAACTAAAGTTGTGTTTGATTAGCAGAAAAAGTCCCCAATAAACTTTTTTCTAAATTAAATATTTTTCGATATCTAGTTTCATTGTCATTTAAAATTAATTGACGTTTTTAGGACAAAATAATATTTTTTCAGAAATTTTTGTTTAAAAAGTATTTTTCTAAATTTTCTATGACACAATTGAGCAAAAAAAAAAGAGGGCAAAATATATTATTTTTTGAAAATTTTTAATTTCAGACTTTTTTATCCAGAATTTTGAGTTTAAAAAAAAAAATGAATTTCTGCACAAAAGAGAACAAGTTGAGCAAAATTCAACAGAATATTTTTGTTTTTTGGAAATTTTAACTTTTTATATTTAAAAATGGTTTTTGGATTTTTTTCCAAGAATTTTAGAAAAAATTAATGAATTAATTATTAATTAATATTTATTAATATGAAGAAAATTTATTTTAAAAATTGGATCAAAAAAGAGGGTTCATTTTCCATTCATTCAATTTTTTCAAAAGTTAATAACACTTAAAAAATTTTGTTTTTCAATTTTTAGGATTCCGAATTTAAAAAATTAAATTCGTTATAACTTTGTAAAAAAAAAAATTTTTTTTCAGCCACCAAAAAAATACGTATCCTCTATATAAAAAGCTTTGAAAAACAACATTTCAGAGAAAAAAAAATTAATTTTTAACTCTGACGATGTTTAGCCTGCTTGAATTGAAATGAATTTCCATTTTTATAAATTAAAGAAGAAATTCAAAAGCAATCAAAGCTACTTTGCAAATAATCGAAATTAATAATTTCAATTTGTCGATTTAAATCACTTAACTTTTTATAAAATTTAATTCTTTCTTACTTGTTAGTTACTGGATCGTAAGCTTCAACGGACTGTAAGAAAGTTGATCCATCGTAACCACCGCAAACGTAGAGTTTTCGTTTAAGAGCAGCAACTCCTAGACGACATCTTCTTGTCAACATTGGTTTAACCACTGTCCATGTGTCTGTTTGAGCGTCATATCGTTCAACCTAATTTTAAAATAATGTTTTAATTTAAAAATTAAGATTTCGATTTAAGAATTAATAATAAAATGTATTTTTTTTTTTTGTATGAAAGATAAAGAAATAGGGGGGGGGGGTTTTCCATAATATTCTTTTTGTATCAATATTTTAGGAATTTTAAAAAATTGAAACAATTATTTACCGAATCAAATATTGATAATCCATCATGACCACCTAAAGCATAAACGTAACCCTGAAATGCAACAACTCCGCCAGCAGAGCGATGCTTATTCATGGAACTGACCATTTTCCATACATCAGTTTCAGGGCAATATCTCTCAACAGTATCTAAAGAGGCAACTCCATCGTATCCTCCACAAACATAGAGGAAATCATTAAGAGCAGCTGTACCTACAGCACTAGAAAAATATGGAATATTTTTATCTAATTAATTAATTATACATATGTAATTAATTAAAATAACTTTCTCCAACTTTTTTTTCCTAATTGTATTTTCCAAATGGACATTTTTCTTAATATTTACTTTTTTCTAAAAATATTTTCCTAAATTAAATTTTCCTAATTTATTAAATAAATTTTAATAGAGTTCATGAGCACGAGAGATCTGTTAAAAATAGAAATACAATATATAATTTTTCCGAATACAGTGAATGAAAAATGAATTTTTTTTTTTCATCTTGGACAATCCACGTACCTTTAAGTTCAAAATTAAGTGTTACAACAGTCGTACAATAACAAATTTCTATTCATATATAAAATAAAACATCATTTATACATTGAAATTTGAAAAAACTTCTGTCCATATAAAATATAAAAAATCATTTGAAAATTAGAAAAAATTAATATATTTAGAAATTTATTTTTAGAAAAATTGTATTAGTTATGTGTATTTTCGGAAATATTTAAGAAATTCTAAAATTAGCAAACTGAAATTAGGAAAATCGGTAGTGAATAAGTTTCAATTATTTAAAACTTAAATAAAATAATTATTTAAAAAAAAATAAAATTTCAATTGAAATAATAACAGAAGAAGAATAATAAATTTTAGAATTATAAAAAAATCATACCTTCTTTTACAGTGCATTGGAGCAATAATTTTCCACGCTTTTAAATTTGGATGATAAACCTCAACAGTGGAAAGTCTATCGGAACCATTATAACCGCCAAATGCATAAAGTTTATTTTTATGAACAGCAACGCCAACTCTGCTTCTTAACATTGTCATTGCTTCTGATGTTTTCCATTTTTCAGTAAATGGATCATACACCTCTACTGTACTTAAAGAATCGCCAAATTTCGTTAATCCACCAACAGCAAAAATATGACCCATTGTATAATTACAACATCTAGGACTACATTTGAAACTATCCAACAAATATCTTCTATGTGGCAAAAGATAATAGTCCTTTGCCTCATCTAATAAATCCCTGAAATAGTCCATTTATTATTTTAAATTAAAATATTTTATTTAAAAATTAAATATTTACTTTAAATTAGAGAAATAATATAATTAATGTGGGGAATTCTACGTGAGATTTTTATTAAAAAGAAATTTTTTTTTGACTGGAACATTTTTTTTTTACGAAATCTTTGTGAAAAATAAGAAAATACGTATTTTTTAATCAGAAGCAGAGTTTTTAAATGTATTTTTCTCTAATAATAATAATATTATTATGAAATTTATTCGACTTTTTTTCAATATTTTAAAAATGTGTAGTAAAAAATAATGCAACAACAACGGAAGCATCAAAAAATTGAAATTAATTCTAAAATGGCACTTTTTTCAAAACCAGTGATCGATTTTTGAAATTTTTTTTTTTTAGCAGTCTTCGATAAAAAAAGGAACTTTTTCCCATTTGTACAAAAATGATGTTGCTTTTTGGCGTCAAAATATTATTTACATCTTTTCATTTAAATTTCAAAAATTGATTATTTTCTGTTTTGTGAAAAGTCACTTTTTATAGACTTAATTTCAATACTTTAGATGCTTCATTTGTAGTTGCGTTATTATTTTTTTTTTATTAGATATTTAAATTATTAAAGAAAAATTGAACAAATTTCCATAAATTTTTTTTATTTATTATTAGGACAGAGAAAAACACACTTCAAAAATTTACTTCTGATTACGTTAAATATTAACACATATTAAATATTAACATATTAAAATATTAATATTTCTTGCATATTTAGAGTAAAAATGAAAAAAAGTATCAAGAAATTTCGAAAATTCTTTTCATTTACTTCATATTTGATAAGTTAAAACTTATTTTAATTATTCTAATTTTTTTACAAATAATATTTTTTTTTTCCAAATAATCGATAATATATTTTTATTGAAATAAATTTTCATTTCTTGAAAATTTCCAGTTTGAATTGTGAAAAAAATAAAAGTTCTACTAAATAATTTCACTAAATGATATTTTTCCAAAATTTAGAATAAAGTTACAATTTTTGATAAGTCAAATTTTTTTAAAATCAGCCCCAACATTTGCGTTTGGAATTTTTGATTTTTTAAAAAATAATTTAATAACATTTTAATATAATAAAGTATTTTTAAATATATGAAAAACGAATTTTATACTCACAGAAAAAAGTTTCTATTATTTTAAACAAAATCTGTTCTTTAATAGTGTTCAATTCAAAAGAATTATTCCTTTAATTTAAAGAAATCTATTTGAATTTATTTGTCTTTTTGTCGTAAAGTTTTTATAATTTTAAAAAACTTGAGAAATTTTTTCTTTATTAATCGTGAAAATTTTTAAAACTATTCCCAAAAGTTTAATGAACATAAATTTTTCTTTTTTTTTTGAAAATAAACAATTTTTTCGCCAAAAAAAAAAGTCAACATACCTGCATTGATGAGAACTTCTTATAAGATCTTCCTTTGCAACATGATCAGCTAAATATTCCGGCGATAAAAGTGGCAATCGCACAAGTGCAAGTAATTCAGGTAAATGTTTACCCCTCATTTCCTCCTCATGTTTTACCCATCGTAAAACAGCTTCAAAAACTTGTTGCTCTGATGTTATATGTAATTCATCGCTAGAAACTAATTCCTTTAAATCACAGAACGATAAATTTAAGTATTCATCGGCCATGGAAACTTCTTGAAAATAATGTTGAATATATTTATTTGCTTGTTCTAATAAAATTGCACAGCTCAATGTATCAGCAAAATGTCTTATGCCCAAAACATTGTGGGGATGAAAACGTGTTTGTAAAAATTCTGCACACACATCTTTAACTTTATGTAATGCAAAAAAAGACGCTCCAATCATGATACTTTGAACATTTTCATTTGTAAGTGTAATACGTCCGCTGTATGCAAAATTTATCAATGCTTCTAAAGCACTATATTGAAAGGGGAAAAAAAGAAATTAATTATAAAATATTCTTTATTGATTTTTTAGTAAAATATATAAAAATTAGGAATTGAGAAAAAAATTTCTTACACTGAATCGACTCCCTGTAAAGTTATGTCTTTTTGTTTGCTTTCCGACATATTATTCAGGAACATTGCATTAAAATAAGGAATTGTTGCAGCCAACACAATTCTGTGAGCACTAAAACTTTGGTCGTCAACCTATTAACATTTTTTTTTTTAATTATAAATGTAAATTTAAATACTTATTCAAAATTTTTATATTCAAATAATTTATATAATTTAATTTATTTATTTTAATATTTATTTTATATTTACTATAATTATATTATATTATAAATATAATATAATAATGAATGAATAATATTATTTGAATATAAGATATAATTATTTTAATAATTTAATTAAAAAAAAATTATTAACAATAATGAAGTTCACATTTATAAACGTTTTTTGACAAAATATTTATTTTCATAAAAAAATTATATAAATTTTCCTCCAAATAATATTTCTTACAATGTTTATTAAGATCAACAAATTATTAAAAAAAACACATTTTTTAAAATACAATTTTTTATAATTTTCGCTCTTAAAACAAATTTGTGATTTCAATATTGTAAATTTTAAAATCCGTTAAATAACACAGAATTACTATTGAAATTTTTATTTTTAAGTAAATTACACATCGATGAAGTTCATAATGTTTATAAATGATCAATGATTTAAAAGAAAATTATAATTTTTTTTTATCAAAAAAAAAACTTTTTTGCATTTCTCGATCATAATTATTTGTAAAAAAAATTTGTAGGCAAAAAATTAATATTAAAAAAAAAAATTTATAAACCTTGTGAAATTCAAAAACGTTAAATTATTGATAACAAAGAAAAAATAAAACTAAAATTAGAGAAATTTGTATATATATTATTAAAAAAAAAAATAAGGTTATGTTACCTTGAGCGTTACATCACAAAGTTTACCCTGCCTTCGAATATCCTCGAAAATTGGAAATCCTTGAGCACAATGATCTGGTTGTTGATAAATAATTTCTTTTTCATTTATAATTTCACCATGTTGAGAATTTGAATAAATAACAGAACATTTTGGTAATAATTTGTCTTTGTGTTTTTCTTTTGGTGCGCCCATTTTGACAGTTCGCGTACGACGTGTTGTTAATGGATGTGGTGGATTATTTGACGTTGTCGCGACACTTCCCCGAGGTAGGTCCTGTGACCTTGACAAATTCTGCATGTAACCGTTTAAGCCTCTTTGCAAAGCCGACGACGCATTTTGTCCTCTGTGATGCAAAAAATCAGCTGCCACTTGCTGATGTTGAAGAGGCAATGAATTACGCACAGTAATTCTCATCTGTCAAAATCCTAATTTATTTTTTTTTTTTCAAAAAAAAAAAAAAGGTATTTTATTAATTTTATTACATCTCAATACTGTTTTTATTTCATGTAATTCATGTAATTTTCATGTTTTAAAATGCAAGGGAAATAAAAATATAATACTTCGTAACATACATTTTTTTTTAGGTTAGAATTTAAATCATAAAAATTTCTAAAAATTTTTACAAATTTTTTAAAAAAGGGTATTTCAAATTTTCAGTTATCCATTAAAATATATAGTTAAAAATTAATTTTTCATTCTATAAATATTACCTATGTATAAAATATAAGTTTAAATTGTAATCGTTCGTAATTAAAAAATATCGTTTGTTTTTATAATAAAATTACAAAAATTACACTAATTATTTTTTAAATTTTCACTATTAAATTTAATTTCAACTGATGATGAGAAAAAAATGATAATTTAAAAAAAAAAATATATATATATATATAATTTTAATAAAATCTATGTCTACAAAAAAAAATGAAATTTAATAAATTTTTCGAAAATATATACACTTCTTTGAAATGTTCGACTTGAAATGAATTGCAGAAAGGCAACGAACTCCTTTTAAACCCAGCTATTTCTTTGTGTCTAAACTTGGAACGAAGAACATGATGTGTGCTTTATAAAAGCTTCACACAGAGCAGACGAGTTGGATTATATAGAATGTGCTTTTTATTTGTTCAAAAAACATATTTTAAATGTCCCCTGGATTGGATTGGTATTTCATTTCTATATATGTCCCAAAATTCATGAATAACGTTTAAATAATGATTATAATTTAATTTTACACATGACAATTTTTTTAAAAAATATTTTCTCCCTTTTAAAAAACGGCTTTCTATTTTTAACAAATTATTAAAAATTTAATTAGAATATTTTAAAAATTTTTACAAAATCTTTTTATTAAATAAATGCATAAAGAAAATTTAAAAATATACTCACAACGTAGAACTATTTTATAAATGTGGAAACAATAAGATGAGCCAGGAATAATTACGTCGATTAAAATTCTTTGTTTTGTTGAAATATGGTATATATCTTCAAATAGTAATTTTTGTTTTTAATATCATCTAATAATAGCTGAATAAAAACTAATTTTTTCTACATAAAAAAAAAATATAATTTTTCTATATTTTAATCCAATTTATATTTTCTATGAATAAAAGGTAGTTTTCTTTATAAATTCAAAAATTTTAATAAAGCAAAAAAGTTTATACATTCGCGATTTCACACTTATAACTTTCAACTGTCATTCAAAGAGAAAAAGCTCTGTTATGAAAACAAACCCGTTGACATTTTTAAAATTGCCGGTATTCAATTAATAAAACGGGTTTATAATTTAAATTAATATTTCAATTACTTATTACAATTTCCCTTTCAATAAAATAAGCAAAATTTTATTTATAAATTATTGTAATTTTTCGTATATATTAAAATAGAATATGAATACAATTTATTACTTTTTGTTTTATTTATTCCAATGTAATTTTATAATAGGTAGGCCTTGAAAAATTGAATATTCCGTGAAAGGAGTCATTTTGTTATAATCTCAGATCCGTTAAAATAGATAAATAAGTTGTCTCGGCGAAAATACAGCTATGTCATCTTTGAGTTCAAAGTATAATTTTTTTTATGTTTTGTAAACTTTGATAACACAATATTTCTTGACATTTTACAATTGAAGTCTCTTGATGCATATTCATTCATTTGAAAAAATTTAATATTCAATTGTCTCAATTTTTAGTTCCTAGTTTTGGAGTACCTACTACATTTACAGTTTCATATATACAAATATATATACGTAAGTAGTCATAGGATATTTACCTTTCATTTCTATAAATGAAATTCGATTTCACTTGCATTTTTATTTTTTTCTTTGCTCCTCGCGAACCTTTCATTTTTTGCATAACTGTCAAATGAAATTTACTATGATATTCAAAGATTCAGTGTCATAAACATTACTCATCTATAATTTATTTTTATTTCATTACTATTTTATTTTATTATTATTTAATTTTTTATTTTATTTTTTAACCTAAAAACAAAAATAAAAGAAATAAATATATCGCACCGCAATATTACTATTGTTATTATTATTAGTATCATCATCTTTATTATTATTATTACTATTATTATTAAAATTATTATTAGTAGTATATAAAATAAAAAAATTATTTTAAAATTGTAGTTTCTATTATTTTTTTTTTTTTTTGCGAATCTGTTGCATTTGTGAAAGTTGTTTACGAACTTTGAACCTCTCTGAGAAATTTATCAAAGTGGACAGAAAAATCTCTGCGATAGAAATATGTCATTTCTAAGATAAATTGATTCAAGAAGATAAATATTTTCGCTAAAAACGTTTTTTTTTTTTGTTAAAAATTGAAATAACTGTTTTTCAATGTGAAATATTTTAGTTTTCCATGTGAAAAAAATCAAGGTGAATTTTAATCATTTTATAAAAATGTAATAAATAATGAAATCAATGAAAATTTAAAAATAATTATTTAACAGATAAATTCATTTTGTCAATCACTGGTAAACAGGTTTAATCATTGTTTTTTTTTTTTTTTTAAATTCATTATCTCATATTTATTGAAGAAATAAAATTTTCCTCTCTCTCTCTCGTTGCGATATGTATATTGTATATATATATATAAAATTATTAAAAATATGTTTCAGATATTTTGAAAAAAGAAAAATGGCTCAAAAAATGAAAGTCTATGTTGTTGGAGTGGGTATGACAAAATTTGAGAAACCCGGTAGAAGAGATAATTTTGATTATAATATTATGGGAAAAGAAGCGACATTAAAGGCATTAGACGATGCTCGTATTTCTTATAAAGATGTTAAAGCTGCATGCGTTGGTTATGTTTACGGTGATTCAACGTGTGGTCAAAGAGCACTTTATGAAGTTGGTCTAACCGGTTGTCCCATTTACAATGTTAATAATAATTGCTCAACTGGATCGACGGCATTAATGATGGCAAAACAAATTGTTGAAAGCGGTAATGCCGATTGTGTTTTGGCACTTGGTTTTGAAAAAATGGAACGCGGATCATTATCATCGAAATATTTTGATCGTACAAATCCACTTGATAAACATGTCACTGTTATGGCTGACATAGCAGGTTTGTTTTTCTTTTTTTTTTAAATATAGAATGAAAATAATTTGTATTATTTTTAATTATCATTGACTAATTTAATAGGAATAATCCACACATTAGACCTGTTGGAATTTTTGTGATGTTGAATTGAAAATTATCGAATTTTGATTTAGCAGAATTTTATAAAGTGGATTTTATAATGAGCCGAATTTTCATATTGAATAATTTCTGTTTAACAAAATTCTACAATAGAATTTCCATTTAACTGAATTTTTAAAAAGTAGATTTTTAAATATATGGAATAATACATTTTACATTTAACAGAATTTATGCCTAGGAAAATTTTCATAAAGAAGACTACGACTTTTTTTTCATTTATTTTACAAAATAGAATTGAAAATTAATTAATTTAATTAATTAAAAACAAAATATCTATGAATTTTTTTTAGTACAAACTGTAGCTCTTTCAAAATTTAATTTTTTGAAAATTTAAATCTAAAATGTCTTTGAAAAATTTATTATTTTTAATAATTTTAATGAAATTCTTCGAAAATTCAATTATTTAAAATATTTTTCAATTTAAAATTATCTGAAATTCAATTATTGACTAAAATTCTTTTAAAAAATTCTTCAATTTGAGTATACAAAATTTTTAATTCAAAATCTTTTGAAATTTGATTAATTCTAAAATTCAATTAGTTTTTAAATTTCTATTTAAAATTTTTCGCCAAATAAGTTATTTTAAATTATTTTAACAAAGTTCTTTTAAAATTAAATTATTTAAAATAGTTTTTTTTAACTATTTAATTCAAATTTTTTAATATTTTATTTAATTTTCTTTTTTTTAATAATATTCATAATTATTGTCTTAATTTGTAAAAAAAATCTTCAGCATTTCAATTTTAAAAAAATTTTAATTTACAATCTCTTTCAATTCAATTATTTAAAAAAAAAGAATTACTCCCAAAACTCAATTATTTTAAAAATTATCTAAAATTCTCACCCAAATTAATAATTTTCGACGTGAATATAATCAATTATTTCAATTCAAATAATTTTTAACAAGTTTTTCTAAAATTCAATTATTTAATACATTTTCAAGTTAAAATTCTTCAATTTCCCATAAAGTATTTTAGTTTTAAAAAGTAACAGAATTTTTTTTTAAACATTTAAACTTTAAACTTTGACAAAATTCTCAATTCAGAAATAATTTGCATAAGTCAGAAACTTGAAAATTTTTTATAAAAAAAAAAAATTTTTCATATTTTTATGTACCACTAAAATTTTTGAAAATCATGAAAATTTGTCTCAGTTCAATTTTAAAATATTATCTAAATAAAATTTCTTGATAAATTTCTATCCAATTATTTTTACTAAGGAATTATTAAAATTTATTTTCAATATCTAATAACAATGGTTAATAGAAATAAAATATTTATTAAATTAAATTATTACATTTAAATCATAATTTAAATAAAAAATTTGTCTAAATTAAAAAGGTTTTGAAATTTTTTTTATAAATTTATATTAAATATTTTTCTCACATTTAATTTTGTAAATTTTAATTAAATTAAATTAAATTAAATTTTGTATTAGCAAATATTTAACTGTCATTTTATCCAAAGTTATTGCTTTTGAAAATATGAAATTTTGAAAACACGACTTTTTAAAATATTTGTTTAAAAATCTTTATATTACCGCAAAACTATTATAATTAGTTAAAAAAAAAAAATATTTAAAAACATAGTGTTTGATTTATTTAAGCAGTTTTACTATTATTACAAAGTTATTAAGCCAATGAAAATACAATAATTTTTTAATTAAACGTCAAAAAAATTCTGACATCTCTAATCTGGAGAATATTCATGTGATGTCTCAAAATTTAATTATTATCTTATTGAAATAATTTTAATTTAAAGGAATCAATGATAGTCCAATGGCTGCTCAATTATTTGGTAATGCTGGTATTGAACATATGAAAAGATATGGCACAAAACCGGAGCATTTTGCTAAAATTGCCTACAAAAATCATTTACATTCAATGAATAATCCATATTCACAATTTCAAGATAAATATACTTTGGAGCAAATTATGAATTCTCCAAAGGTATTTGGACCATTAACAAAATTACAATGTTGTCCAACGTCTGATGGTTCTGCTGCTGTAATTTTAGCCAATGAAGAATATGTTAAAAAACATAATCTTCAATCTCAAGCAGTTGAAATTGTAGGAATGGAAATGTCTACCGATTTACCGTCCACATTCGAAGAGCGAAATAGTATTAAAATAGTCGGGTAAGTTACATTTATTTTTAAACACTAAATTTTTTGAAAACTAAAAAATCAATTTGAATTTAGTTTTATTTTTAATTGAATTTAAAATTGAAATTAAAATTAAATCTTCTTTTAAGAAATAAGCAGAAAAAAAATTGTAATATATCTATACATTTTATGTTTAAAGATATTTTTCATTATTCAAAAAATTTATGGTCTCTAAATTCGGGTATATAATAATTCAATTTATATAATAATAATAATTAAAATGAAAAAAAATTGAATTTCAAGAACAATTAAATTTAAAATAATAATTAAACACAATTGAATAGAAAAATAAGGAAATTAATAAAATGATTGTTTTTCAATATTTTTTTTTAATTTTAGTATAAAACCCTAATTAAGAAAACCTTAAATTTTAATGGACATCCAGATTTTTGAAAATTATCAAAAACGAAAAATCGAGGCAGTACAAATCATTCACAAATAAACTCTACATTTGAAAATTCTGCACCATTATTTCTAAAAAAAAAAAAAAAAAAAAATCCTACACATAGGTAATAAAATTAAATTAAATTTCAATTTTTTACTCAACACAATTAATTACTACCTAATAAAACCCTTTACGTTAAAAAATTCTTCTCAATGAGATGTGAAATAAAATTTCAAAGTAAATAAATAAATATTTCATAAAAAAATCCTAATCGCGTAGAAGTTTTTTTTGCTCAATTTCTTATGTAAAATTAAATTAATCGTTAAACAAAATTTTTAAATTAAAAATTTTATTACAGTTTTTATTTTGAGGTGTAAAATGTTTCTTGAGCAATTTTAATGTGTAGGATTTTTTTTTGATGGAATATTTATTTATTTAGAATTTATTTATTAACTTTTAAATATCTAATGTTATTGTATAATATTTAATTTATTTTTTCATTCCTTAATAAGAATAATTTTACAAGAATATTATCAAGAAAATTTATTTCGAATATTTTAAAATCGAACTAAGACAAATTTTCAAAATTTTAATTAAGTAGGATAAATTTCTAAAAAACAAATTTCTAAAATTCGATTTAAAAATTTTTTAAATATCTGATTTATGCAAATAATTCGAATTTAAAATTTTTAGCATAGTTTTCAGTTTTAATGGCCAAAAAAAAAATTTCGAAAAATAATTATAAGTTGAAGCTTTTTTAAATAATCGAATTTTTAAAGAAATAGGTAGGTATTAAAATTATTAAAAATAATAATTGAATTTTTAAAGAAATATTTAAATTATTAATAATAATAATTGAATTTTTAAAGAAATATTGAAATTATTAATAATAATAATTGAATTTTTAAAGAAATATTGAAATTATTAATAATAATAATTGAATTTTGTAAGAGTTATAGTTGAAATTTTTAGAAATAATTGAATTTCAAAAGATTTTGTAAAATTTGACAGAATTGAAAATAATTTATCAAATAATTTTAGATAACCTTCTTTAAAAATAATTGAAATGAAGATAGTTTATGATAATTGAATTTGTAAAGAATTTCATTCAAATTATTTAAAATAATTAATTTAGAGAATAATTTTAGTTAAAAATTTGTTAAATAATTGAAATAAAAAAGATCTGAAGAAGATCTGTATTGAATAATAAAAAAAACGTATTTTGTTTAAAATTTTTGTAAAAAAAAAAGTAAAAAAAAGTCGGAAAAATCACATCTTGGTAAAAATAAGTCGAAAAAAATCGTATTTTTGAAAAAAAAAAGTTAGAAAAAGTCATATTTATGTAGGATTTTTATTTGTATAATTAATTGTGCACAATTTTCAAATGTAGGGTTTATTTGTGAATGATTTGCATCCGAAAAATCAAGAAACAAAATTTTTTCTGATACTTTCTTCTGTATTTAAATTAAGATTTTGTTAAAAATATATTTATTTAAATAATTGAAAATTAATATTTTTTCCAGTTACGACATGACAAAAAATGCAGCTGACAAACTTTTTTCAAACAGCCCCTATAGACCGTCTGATGTTCAAGTTGTTGAATTACACGATTGTTTCTCGACAAATGAATTAATTACATATGAAGCACTTGGACTCTGTCCACCGGGAAAAGGTGGCGAGCTTGTTGATTCGGGAAATAATACTTATGGCGGTAAATATGTGGTGAATCCAAGCGGTGGTCTAATTTCAAAGGGTCATCCACTTGGTGCAACGGGTTTGGCACAATGTTCTGAACTTTGTTGGCAATTGAGAGGACAAGCGGGTAAGAGACAAGTACCCGGTGCAAAAGTTGCACTTCAACATAATATTGGCCTCGGTGGTGCTGTTGTTGTTGCTCTTTATCGTCTTGGTTTCCCTCAATCTGTACAAAGAAATAATGTCTCATCCGCGTCGGATCCATCGAAATTTAAAGCACATACACTTTTACAAGCGCTCGAAGTGGCAATGCAAGAGGACACTGAGGGTTTTATTGAAGGTGTGAGGGGAATTTATGGATTGAAAGTAACCAATGGTCCAGGTGGTGCACAAGGCTATTGGGTTATTAATGCAAAAGTTGGTAAGGGCAAAATTGAATACAACAGTAAAGTGAAGCCCGATGTTACATTTACAATTAGTGATACTGATGTTGTTGATTTTATATCGGGAAAATTGAATCCTCAAAAGGCATTTTTCCAGGGTAAAATTAAAATTCAGGGAAATATGGGATTGGCAATGAAATTGCCTGATTTACAGAAACGAGCACATAATAAAATTGAAGCCATTCGTTCTAAGTTGTAATTTTATTTATTTTGCTTATAATCGCAGAAAAAAAAGACAACTACAAATGCGCTATTTAATTTTATAATTGCGTTTTTGGTAATATTTTGCATTCATATCGTATAAACAATTTAAAAGAAAAATTAAAAACTGACTATTATTTACCTATGTAAAATTATCAAATTATAGTCTAACTTTTACGTATATATTATAATAATTAAATATATATATTTTATGTTGGGGTTTTTCTTTTATCTTTTAGCTACATGATTTTACAAGGTTATATATATATATATTGTATGTAAATATTGTATTTTTTTATCGTTATTAAATAAATAAATTAAATATTTAGAAACTGACTATAAATAATAAGAATATTGTTATTTTAATATTTTTTTTACATGGCCTTAAATATTTATATTTTTGTTGAAATTAGAATAATTTAAAACAACATGTTTCAATTCAAATGAATCCTCATCAGGTACTTTTTGAAATATCGTTTAAGACCATGTAAAAAACAATTATTAAAATAAAAAAGAAAAACGAGTTTAAAAATTATTTATCATGAATATATTGTATTAGAACGTATAAAATACGATTTTTAGCAATTAATTATTAGAAAATAGAATTATAAGTAAACGTTAATAACGTTTTTGGAGAAAATCGGAAAAATTTGATAAATATAAATTTTGTTACCATTTTTGAATATTTATTTTTTGGAAAAAGTGAAATTTTAAAAAATCCATACGTTTTATTATTTTTTCAAATTAAACAAAAAAAAAAGAAAAAAAAATTGTCGGAAAAAAATATAATAATTGTTAAAAAAGTTAAATTTTTAAAAGGATGAAAATACCCTCAAAAATGGTTTCTAACGCAAACAAAAATATTGGAAAAATAAATTTGAATCAATTTTGGAAGATCTAGTTATAGGTATAAACATTTCAGAAAAAAATTATATTGAGTCAAATTATTTTGTCACTGATTTTTTAATATTTTGATATTTTTTTCTTTTAGCTCAGACAAAAATCGCAATTTTTATCCAATTTTTATGAATAATATATAAATTTTATATATATATATAAATTTTAGTCAATCAATATTTTTTTTATACTTTTAAGTAATAATTAATTCTATATGTTCTTTGTTTTCTACATAAAGGCTAAAAATATGACAATTTTTCGTATTTTTCCTACTTAAAATTCAAAATTTGCAAGAAATAATAAAAATTTTAACAAAATTCTTTTTATTTTAAATTCTAAAAATATAAAAATATTTTCTATACAAATATAAATTTTAATATTATTTGGCAATAATTTTGGTCGAATTGTAATGAAATGACTTGTTAACATATTTTTATCTAACCTGTAAATTATTATTATTATATTTAAAGCAATAAATTAATTATAATTATTTCATAAAGAATTTTATATATTTTTTTTAACAAATATATAATTTTGTCAAAAGTACATTTTAAATATACGTGTCTCATTGGTGAAACTAATTTTTGTTTAGTCCAATCATATTTCTTCATTTTTCTAAAAAGAAGTATGATTCGTTCAATAAGAAATACAAAGGATAAAGGAATGAGAGTGAGAAAGAGTTATATTTTGTTTGTCATGTCAATTCCAAAATAAAGATTAATTTTGTGATTTATCAATTCCCATTTTTTTACTAATAAAGGTAAAAAATATGTAAATAAAATTGTATTATTTCCTGACACGAGAAAAGTACTTATTTGCCATCTATCCGTTTATAATATATATAGTAATTCGTTCCATTCGTTCTAAATTCTAACCTCAAAAAAAAAAAAATATAAACACTGTAATTGAAAGAAAGAAGTTAATTTTTTTGTTTGTAAAAAGATGCTGTCAATGGAAAGAATTCCTGATCAAATTGGCTACTTAGTTTTAACAGAAGATGGTGCAATTTTGGCAGTATGTATAATGATTAAAACTTATTTTTGTCAAGTGTATGTTTTGTTTTTTTTTTCATTATTTAATAACAATAAAGACAAAAGAAAATATAATAATTATTATAGAAATAATATTAAATAAATTATTGTCAATTAGCAAAAATTTGATGTATTATTACAGTCAGGTGGAGAATTAGGAAACGATGAAAGAATAGCAAATGTTATTATTGGTTTAGTGACATTAATAAGCAAAGACAATTCTAAGGCTTTTTTTGCTGAGGATTTTGAAAAAATAAGCATCACATATAGCGATCATTGCTATATAATTTGTCTTTCAAACAAAAAAATTAACGTCGTTAAAAAAAGATTGACCTCATCTTCTACACTATCTCCAGAAAGTCAACTCATAGAGATTTCATCTTAGAAACGAGAGCCGAAAAAAAAATGTAAGACTTAAAAATATAATGTGAAATTATTTAATTTCTCATTGACATTGAAAAAAAAAAATTGTAAACTTTATAAATGAAGTTCACAATATTAGAAATAAGCTTGTTTTTTTTAAATTTTGAAATTCTATATTTTTATCCTAATTGAATTAATTAAATAATTAACTATATAATATGTAAATAAATTTTTAAATTATGTAAAAATATAACAAAATTTTTACTAGAATCTCAGTTCATTTTTGAAAAATACTTAAAAATAAAGTATATATGTGAATAAATTTGAAATTTTTCCTTTTTATTTATTTCAATATTCTGTGTATATGATTAATTTTATATAAAATCAATAATTATTTCATAGCAGGGATAATAAAAATCATGATTTAAAAAAAAAATTCGATTTTTTTTATTTAAATCAAATTTATTTTTACTTACATAACATTTTTCAAAAGTTTATTTTTAACACAATCTTTTAAAATTTCAATTTAAAAGCTTCTAAAATTTTCCATTTTAAATTTTTGGAAATTTAATAATTTCAATTATAACTCTTCGGAAATTCAATTATTTTTCATGATTTTTATAATATTCATCGAAAGTTCAATTATCTTAAACCATTTTTTACTTAAAATATTTTTAAATTCTATTTTTGTCTGCAATTTCTAATAAATTTTTCAGTAACAGAAATTATCAAATAATTTTAATTCAAAATTACTTGAAATTCAATTATTTTCAAAAAATTGAATTGTTAATCTTTGAAAATTCAATTACTTTTAAAAAATATTGTCTAAAATTATTTGCTAAATTATTTTCAATTCTTTAAAATTTAATTATTATCTAAAATTTAACAAAATCTATTGAAATTCAATTATTTCGAAAAATTTCAACTATAACTTTTCCAACATTCAATTATGTTTAATAATTTTAATATTTCTTTAAAAAGTCAATTATTTAAAAAAGTTTCAAATAAAAACTCTAAAATTAATTTAAAAAAAAAAAATGCAGTTGTTGAAATTTGCAGAAAATTTATTTCAAATTTAAAATCTTTTGCAATTCAATTATTTAAAAATCTGTAAAACTTAATTATTGCCAAAAAATTTTTTTTTTGAACATCAAAACTAAAATCCTATAACAAAATTTTTAATGAAATTAAATTAAATTTCAATTAAATTTTTAAAAAATTATAAAAATGGAACTTTAAGAATTTTTTTTTCTAGAAATTTGTCCTACATAAATAAAATTTTGAAAATTTGTTTTACAATTAGTTCGAAATAAATTTTCTTGATAATATTCTTGTACAATTATTCTCATTACAAAATTAATAAAACGAATTTAATATCTAACAACATTAATTATTTAAAGTAAAATATTTATTATCTAATTAAATTTTGTTAAAATAAAAAAATCGACACTTTTTTGAAATGTAAATTGAGTAAAACGACTTTTTTTCTGCCTTAAAGTCGATCCGAGGTCTAAATAGTGTGTAATAATTCAAACAACAAATTAATATTTAACAAAATTATATTTTAAATAATTCTATATTTACAAATCTCTTAAAAGGAACATTTGGATTTTTTTTTTAAATAAAAAATTTTTAAAGATCACTGTCCGAGCTGGTACTGTCATAATTGACTAATGACAAGGCACTATTACCATTTCCTGATGATGTTGATGCAATTGGTAAAGATGGTAAATTTTCATTTACTTTTTTTCTATCAACGTCAATTTTTTTCTGTTCTTGTATTTTTCTTTTTGATTTTGCAATTGAAACCAGTCTCTTTAGCTGCAAACCTTTTTTATTTCTTTCCACTGAAAACGCAAGAAAGACAAGTTTAATTTTTTTTAGTTTGATTTAACATTTATTTTGATTATTTTTAATAATATTATAAATAATAATAATAATAAGGGAATAGAATAATACAATTTTTTTTTACCTTTTTTAGTTTGCATTAATAATTGTGCCAATTTTACATCATCTTCGTGTTCAGCCACTAAATTAATATTTATACCCATTTTATTTAAGAGACTTTTATCCAAAGATTTCTTTTTTTCAATTTCCTTTTTCTCCGCCTGAAATGAAATTGATAAACATTTCAAGTATTTTAAAAATTACATTTTTTAATTTACATAATTAAATAATTTTTTAATTTTTAAACGTTTGTTTAAGGAGGAAGTAAAATTTTCATTCTTTTAGGATTTAAAAAAAATAATCCATTTTTTTCAAAAAATAAAATTTCTAAAATGGTAAAAAATATTTTTTTAAATTTTGATAACGTAAAACATTTTTAGATTCTAAATTGTGTCAGCAAAAAAAAATTTTATTTAATAACAATGAAAATTTCATTTGTCCTTCCACTGAAGATTTTAATTAAATGTATTTCTTACCCTAAATTTTGCTCTCAATGCACTATTAGAACTGTAATCATCTTTCCAAAGACTTTCATTTAAGGCAATAACGCTGTTCAATGCTTTTTCACGTGATTTTGAAACACCTTTGTCTTGTACACCGTGTTCTAATTTAAACATAGGATCATCATAAAGTCTTCGTGATGTTTCCTTTGTTTCGGGTACAACTTGTTCATTTTCTGTTGGATCCCAACGATTTTCTTGACGTCGAGCACCACTAACTATTATGTAGTCCAAATTCTAGAAAATTAAAAAAATTTCTTATTTTTTCTATAAAATTATAGTAATTTTTTTTTTAAGAATACTTTAATAATTACCGCTGGATCAGTTTTAATTTCAAAATGATTGTCACAAAGATGGCATTTCATTCGAAATTGATATAAAGGCGTTGAATAGTACATGCCAATTTTTGTCTTTTCTGCATTATAACGTACACCCATTCCAATATGATTACCACAGCCATCACACCAAATATTAAAGGGCATCTCAAATCGAATTATCAAGATGCCCTCATGTAGTTTACGTGCTCTTTCACGTAGGGCATGAGTGCCGAGAAATTTATTCAAACCACCGACCTTAGGATCGTAGTCTGGTGGATAATATAAATTCTGTCCTTTGCGTTCACCCATTTTCTAAAATTATTTATTAAGACATTAGAAATTTTATATATCAACTAATGATAATCATTACAGTTTAAATCATAGATAAATAAGTTTAAAAATTATTTTTTTTTAATATAAAATAATTCATTTCAATAATTATAAATCATTTAATTCGTTTCTAATTATTTAATTTAAACGTTACCTATTCTTGGATTGATTTGTTTTCACGTTAATTTTTTTTTCTTATTATTTTGTAATAAATTTGAAAAGTTAAAGCAAAAGAAATTTTAAATCCTTAAAGAATAAAAAAATCGCCATTAATTATACAAATTTACGATGAAATATATATTTCATAGAGTTTATTCAATTCGTTTCTAAATATAAAATATTTTTTCAAAAAAAAAAAAAAATAATAATAATCATTAAATAATAGGAATTTGCACCTTTTTCATATAAAAATATAAAAAAAATTTTTTTCAAACACGAAAATCATCAGAAAAAATTTTGTTACTTTAAGAAACTTCTTTACTTTGACTGCAATTTGTATTTAAAAAAAATTATTATTTCTTTAATATAAAGAAATTCTATTTAAATAAAAAAAAAAACTTGTTCTTTAACTTAATAAAATTAGAATTAGTCAAAATAAATATTTTCCCAATTAATCAAAAGTTTTACATTTATTTTCTTTATATTGTTTATCACAAAATAATCAAAATATTTTTAAACAATTTTTTTGCAATTAAAAATTTTGAAACCAATTAAAATTTACGTTATTTATACAAATTAGAATTTTTGTTTTAGGCATTTTATTTTTTTCAAATAAATTATTGAAATATCTTAATATTTATTGTTTAGAATCATGAAAAAAAAGTAAAAAAAAAATTTACGATAAAAACTAATAGAAATTATGTGAGAAATTCAAATTTTTTCATAATTTTGAATTCTTTTAAAATAATGTAATAACAAATAAAATTGTTGCCTATTTTTTCATATTATGACATAATTTTTAATTATCAATAATGTCGAAAAATTAGTTGATATTTCTAAACAATAACAAATAGATTGCAATTTTATAACCTAAAAATTTAAAGAAAAATGATATTTTAAAATAATGGACAATCAAAAAAAAAAAAAAAAAAGGTTGTACGATAATAAAAATAATAATGATAAAATCTATTTTGGTGAAAAATGCAATACTATAATGAAATGTTTGCAAATAGAATTTTTAAACAATTACAACTCAAATGTTAAACGTTCTATAGATATGCCCATATTTTAATAAAAATTGAAATAAATTTAATTTATAAGACTTTTTACTGGATTTTTATAAATTAAATTAGATTTTAAGCTGTTCGATTATTACTCGACAAAATATCAAATATTATTATTATTACTACTTCGTAAAATAAACAAATAAAAAGGGAGGTTAGTAAATAAAATACTTTATTTTCATAAACTTACTGTTTAATATATTATATCCACTTGTTTCAAACTCTTTAATTTTCCTATTCCTTTACAAATGTATTTATTTGTTATATATTTCAAACTAGAACCTCAAATTTCACATTTTTTATTAACATTCTTTTATTTTTTCCTTATTCTTTTTTTTTATTGACATTTGTCGCACTGTCAGATTATTGTTATGACGTTATGTTGGCTATTTAATAACAGTGTTGCCAATAATTTTCATTTTGGCGGGAATTTAAATTTAATTGACAAGAAAAATATATTTTTTCCTTTTTTTTATAAATATAAAAGAATTAAATATTTTCCATTCACTTTGAGAGATTGAAAATAGAAAAACTAAATATAATGAAAATTTGACTTTTTTCAGAAATAAATTATTGGAAAGATTACAAATTTCAAGTTACAATTTTGATTGTCAGATGGCATTGTTTGTCAATTCTGAAATGCAAGTAAACTTGTAGGTGGAGATTGTATTGTATATTGTGTAAAACGTGTAAACAATACAACATTTCAATATATATAATTGATGCATGATACTAGTGTATATCTGTAATGTTAATACTAGGTCATTGATCTTTAATTCTCTTGAAAGTATTAAGAAAATAACTATTTTATAATAAAGAATTTTTGCCTAATAGTAAAAAAATTTAGTCACTATTTTTTTTGTTTATAAACAGAAACAAATTATTTCCCAATTGAAAACATATATATATATAGACGGTAAATATTGCATGTATATTTAAGTAAATGTGTGTATTTGAAGGTTAGGTTTTTTTCACTTTATTATTAATTGTCTAACTATTTGAACAAGTTTTTTATTTTTCTGATTCCATTATTGATTAATATACTAAATTATTAAATTTACATATTTTTTCATTACAATTTTTTTTTAAAAATCTTTCAAATAAAAAGTGGAATATTATCGTCCTGTCATCTCACGGTAAGGAATTGTGATAGAAAACTCTTCTTCACGAAATCCATGAAACGTCTCTTGTATATACGACGACGACGACGACGACGATTTTTCAATCTATGTGCGTCAATGTGCGTTTGTTTCACACATAAAGTTTGTCTTTGGTTGGTTGGTTCATGCAGTTTGTGCATGTTGAATCTCGTGTGTGTCAGCTATATACCGCTTTTAAGAAACTTGTTTTATAATGGAAACCAGTTGAAGTGGTTTTTACGTATTTCAACATAAAAAGTGCCCTTTTTGCGTGAAAATAATAAACTCCAACTATTTGGTATGATTTTAACAATTCATGACTTCGGCTTCAATCTGTGTCCTATATATATACATATATACCTATATATATGTATATGTATATAATGGATCCCTTTTCGTTGACAGTAGAAAACATCTATTGTGAATACTTTATACAAGCTTCATAATGATTATTTTTTTTTCAAAAATAATAATTTCTACATTATATTATTGATTAAATTTCATTTCTTAATTTTGCTAAATGATAAAAAATTGTGAGTAAGAAAGTTATTGAGAATTCACATTATTCGCCATTTCGAACGAAACTACATCACTATCTGTGTAAATCTCGTTGTTTGATATATAATTGAAAGGCACTGATGCATGTGATATTTTATCTGCTTCTAAATTCAACGTCACTATTGATTGGTTTTTATTTATTTTTTTTACTCTGAACTAGAAAAAAATAATCGAAATTTACTTTCGTATCATTTTTTTTTTTTTTATCAATAGAATGAATTTGTTGGTTATAGAGTTTCCTTAAAAGGCATCATCATTAATTTATAATTAAAGATAAAACAAAAACTATTTTCGGTTTCTTTAGTTTTATATATATATAAAAAATTTGAATTCGTTTAATTATCATAGAGGGGAGGGGATCAATAATGTAAATATTAAAATAATGAGATTATTTTGAATTATTATTATTAACCTTATAAAGAAGAAACTAATTTTAAATGTATTTTAAAATGTAAAATAATTTTGTTAATTTTTGAAATGAAATTTTCTACTTTGTTTTCTATAATAATTTTTGAACAATATTATGTAACGAATACAAAAAAAAAAACAAAACAAAACAAAAATGCTTCTTACAGAATGTACTATTTTTACTGAAAAATAAAATGGAAGAACAAACAGAAAGGAAGGCGTCAGCAACAGCTGTTGCTGAAGAGCCTATTAAAGCAGAGGGAACAGTAGAAACATCTGATACAAGTGAAAGAAGTGATGGTGCTGCATCACCACCTCCAAATTGTAGTATTTGTCTTGGAAAACTCGTCAATACATCATTCACTGACAGTTGTTTACATCAATTTTGTTTTACATGTTTACTTCAATGGTCAAAAATTAAAACAGAATGTCCACTTTGTAAACAAACATTTAAATCAATTATTCATAATGTTAGATCTGAGGAAGATTATGATCAATATCATGTACCAAGAGAATTGGCATCGCAAGTTGCAACAGCAACATTGGATGTTAATTTTGATTTTGTTAATAATGTCGGACCAGTTAGTGTTGGTAGTTATGCCACTGCAAATTGGGACATTGGAATTCGTCGTTTTATGTATAGGTATGGAATTTTTTCTTTTTTTTAGAAAAAAATAATTGTAAAAGAAAATTGAAATTTTTTACTTTATTTATTTCTTTTTTCAAAAAGATCAACATTGGGCAATCCAAGCCGTCGTGTCAGTATGATATTAAATCCACATGAAGTTGCAAGAAGAGAACAACTTCCTAGTATTGCACCGCAATTGACACGTGATGAATTGAGACGAAGGCAAATTAATCCTTCTGATTTTCGACGAAATGTGTATAGACTTGGTGTTTGGGCAAGTCCATTGCCTGATGTTTTTGGTAGATTTCGAGAATGTAGTGCCGAATTATACAGGTATTTATTAATATTTTTCTGTTTTTTTTTTTTTTTTAATTACAAATTTTCTTTCTTTTTCAACTATTTTACGTAAGAGTTAGGGAACAATTTTTTTTTTCTCATCTATTTCACAAATTTTGATAATTTCTTACCTCTTTTACCTTTCACATTATTTCGATTAATTTGCGAATGTAATATTTAAAAACTAATTAAATTTACAACATTGATTTAAGCTGAGGAATGTTGAAAAATAATTTATTAGTTTAAAAAGGAATTTATTTTTTTAATATTCCTTGGGACTTTTTATTAATTGAGAGAAGATAGATTTTTTCATTTTTTCTATAAATGATTCACAATTGACCCAAGCTTGAATTTAGAAAAAAAAAAATTTACATTAATTTAAAAATTATTTGGGATAAATTTCAAAAAATCTAAATTTAAATATTAATTGAAGCATTTATTGATTAAAATTGTACATAATCTAAATTAAATTTATTTCAATTTGAATTATTTCAAATTTTAAGTCATCTAAATTTCAATTTAATTTTAATTTTATTCAATTCAAATTTTAATTTAATTTTTTTTAAATAAAATTTTATTTATATGCCAAATTCAATAATTGATTGGAACTTAAAATTAACGAAATTTTAATTTAGCTAAATTTTTCCAAATTTTAATTCATTAAAAAATTTTATTTGAATTTCAATTCATCTAAATTGTTATCGATTTAAGTTTAATTTTATTTAAAAAAATTCAATTAAGTAAAATTTTTAAGTTTTATTGGTAAAAACTTGAAATTATTCAAATTTTGATTTATTAAATTTTCAATTTATCCAAATTTTAAATAATTAATGCTTCAATAATTAATAATTTTTATAATTGACTTATAATTTTTAATTTCTTTTGGCAAATTCTCCTTTTATTTGGTGAATTTTCTAAAAGTTTTGTGTTTTTTTATTAGTTTAAAATTTTTCAACTTAATAAATGCTTCTCTTTTTAAATTTCTAAAATTTATTTATTTATTTACTTTTTTAATTCAAATTTTAATTAATCCCATTTTTAATTTAATTGAATTTTATTTGATTCAAAAATTAATACATCCAAATTTCAATTCAATTTAAATTTAAAGTGATTCAATTTTTAATAAATTCTAATTTTTATTGGATAAAACAAATTTATTAAAATTAAAATTTTAATCAATCGCAAATTCATTCGATTGAAATTTGAAATTAACGAAATTTCCATTAATTATCGATTTAAGTTTCAATTATTATACAAATTTTATATTATTTAATTTTCAAATTATCCGATTTTCAATTTATTTAAGCTAAATTTCAATTGATTGATTTAAGTTTTAAATTATGTAAATTACAATTTGTCCAAATTTTTATTGAATTTCAAATTTTATTTTATCAAAAATTCAATTGACACAAATTTTAAGCATATTATTAATTCTTCAAAATCCATTAATGAAGAATTTTAATTAATCAAAACTGTCCGCAAATTTTACTTCAGAAATAGAAAAAATGACTCCTGAAATTTTTTACTATTTCCGAAGCAAAAGTTGACAAAAATGCGCATAAATTTCAAACAGTTTAGGATTTATTTTGAAAGTGCTAAAAGTTACTTTATTTTTATTTTCTATTTTTCTCCATGTATCAGTTTTTTTATCACCTTTTTCTCAGTTTATTTCGTGAAATAATTTTTCCTTTTTAAAAGTGAAAATAATGAAATATAGTAGGAAAAAACATTTTTCTAATTTCAAATTATTTGATTTCTGTTGTTATTCATTAAATTAAAAAAAAAAAAAAAATTGTTATTAGGGATAATTTTTGTAATATCAGAAAAATCTTAGGGAAATTGCAAAAAATTTTTTCTTGTGGCAACTCTGGTAACAAAATTGAAATATTTTTTTCCAGACGACATCCTGCAGAAATAAATCGCCTTATTCCATGGTTAAATCGAGAATTGCAAGTTCTTCTTAATAATAATTCACCTCATGTTGCATATGTATTAAGAATAATCACTGACGCTCTAACAAGGTACTATATAAGAAGTATTGAATTTCGAAATCTTATTCGTCCTTATTTTGGAATTCATACGGAGCATTTTACTCATGAATTGGCAAATTTTGCACGCACCAGTTTTGATATGGTTGGATATGATCAATCAGTAATATATCTTCCTAGTCGAACTGATTATACAGGTGATTATGGAGCAAGAATTTTGTCACCAGGTTCAAGTAGCAGTAGTACAACTTCTGACGATTCAGATGTTCGTGTCGTTGATGACACTGTCGATCGTCGTGGGCTCAATTTGAGATTTTCAACATTAATATCAAATTCCATTATTGATATGCCTGGTGAGTTGACACTTTTCATTTATTTATTCTTTTAATTTTTTTTTTTCGAAAATTTAATATTTTAAAAGATTTTTCGATTAAAAATTCTCTAAAATTCAATTATTGCCTAAAATTCTTTTAAAAAATTTTTCAATTCGAGTTTACAAAATTTTTAATTCAAAATCTCTTGCAATTTGATTAATTCTAAAATTCTAGATTGATTTGAAATTCATTAATTTTTTTTAATTCTATTTAAAATTCTTCGCCAAATCAATTATTTTTAATCATTTTAACTATGTTCTTCTAAAATTCAATTATTTAAAATATTTTTTATTTATTTAATTATAATTTTTTTAAAAATTTAATTATTGTTTTGTAGTTTGTAAAAAAAATATTCATGAATTCAATTTTACAAAAATTTCAATTTAAAAACTCTTGAAATTCAATTATTTCTAAAAAAAAAACTGAAATATATATAACTCTTCCAAAATTCAATTATTTTTAAAATTATCTAGAATTCTTGTTCCAAATTAATAATTTTCAATAATTTTAATCAATTGTTTCAATTCAAATAATTTTTATCAACTTCTTTCAAAAATTCAATAAATTTAAAACATTTTTAGATAAAATTTCTCCTATTTCCCATAAAGTATTTTATTTTTAATAAGTGACTTAAAATTATTTATTAAACATTTTAACTTCAAACTTTGGCAAAATTCTGAATTCATAAATAATTTGCATAAATCAAATTTGAAAAATTAAAAAATAATATCTCATATTTTTTTTGCAAATCTAACATTTTAGAAATTTTTTAAAATTTGTCACAGTTGTTCAATTTTGAAACATTATCTAAATAAAATTTTTTGATAAATTTCTATGCAATTACTCATTTTAAAAAGTTATTAAAATTTATTTTTAATATCTAATGACAATGATTAATAGAAAGAAAAAAAATGACTTTTTCTACTTTTCTTCTAATGTAAATCTACCAAAAGAACTTTTTTTGCACTTTAAAGTGAATATAAGACCTAAAATTTTATTTTAAATTAATTAATTTTGTTTTTTTTTCCAGGTCCTAGTACATTGCCACGTCCTTTTCATAATTACGCTCCTCCCATCACAGTACCTGACATTGTATTAGTATCATCATCGTCGTCTAGTTCTGACGATGAATGTGAAGTAATTGGATATGTGAAACCGCGTCATGAAAGAACGCCAGAAATAATCGATTTGTCAAACTCTGAAACTGAGGAACCAGCTTCGCAAACCATCGAGCTCAACGAGTATGTACAAATTTTTTTAAAATCAAATATAAGTTTCAATTCTTATGAATTTATTTTTTTATTATTTACTTTTACAAAAAGGAACAACATTTCCGATCTTTTACCATTTTTCGTTTTTTTTTTAATTCCCTAAATTTATCATTTTTTCTTTCAATTTCTTCTTTTCTATAAGAGTTTCTATCAAATTCTCATATTTCTTTGGAATTCATAAAATATTTTATATTTATTTATTTTTACAAAACTGATCAAAAAATGAACAATTTGTCCCTAAATTCCCTTTTTGCTTTGAGAATTTTAAAAATTCTTGATTATTCCCACAAAATTTCCTTTTATTTTAAGAATTTCTAATTTTGTTGGAGTTCCTAAAATTCTTTCTTTTTTCTTCAATTTCACTGACTTTTTATTTTTGAAAATTTTAATTAATTTAATTTAATTTTTTAACCATTTTTTCTCTTATATTCTCATTTTTTTGAATTTCTCTTTATTTAATTTTGCAAACTGACCCAAATTTTACGACTTTTTTTTACATTTTTAAAAAAAAATTTTAACAAAATACGTTTTTTTAGTATACAATGAAGATCTTCTTTATTTCAATTATTTATTTTTAATTAAAATTATTCACTAAATTAATTATTAACTATAATAATTTCCGTATTTTTAATAATTTTATTGAAATTCTTCACAAATTCAATTATCTTAAACTATTTTTCAATTAAAATTTTATAATTGTTTATAATTTAAAATAAATTAGCAAATAAAATTACCAAAAGCTTTTAATTCAAAATCCCTTGAAAATTTTTCGATATTTAATAATTTAATAACTCTCCTGAAATTCAATTATTTTTAATGATTTTTATAATATTCTACGAAAATTTAACTATCTGAAACCATTTTTTACTTAAAAAGTTTTCAAATTATTGTATTTTTGTCTATAATTTCTAATAAATTTTTTAGTAACAGAAATTATCAAGAAAATTTTAATTAAAAATCAGTTAAAGTTCAATTAATTTCAAAAATTAAAATTGTAAATTTTTGAAAATTCAATTATTTTTAAAAAATGTTATCTAAAATTATTTGATAAATTATTTTTAATTCTGTAAAATTTAATTATTGTCTGAAAATTAACAAAATCTTTTGAAATTCAATTAGGGTAAGTGTACTAATTACGGCGAGTGCACCAATTACGGCGCGTTCATAAAAAATAACTATTATTACTATTATATTTAATATAACTGTTGCCAAATGATTAAAAAAAATTATTTCAATCTTTTTTTGATACAAATACTTATAAAGATGCACATTTAAACAATTATTAATTTAATTATTTGAGATCAAATTTTTTTCCGCGCCGTAATTGAAACATTTTTAAGATTTCCATTGGCTCCAATTTCGGCGGGCAAAGTATCTTCAAAATACACGTAATTTTGGTCACCGAAATTGATACACCGAAACTGATACAAATGCGCCGCATTAGAAAATTACAGTATTAGTTTTAATTTCTCATTTTTGTTTAAATAATCGATTTTTTTAAAATTAAATTTTTATTTTTAATATCTAAATAACATAAGCTTTTAGTTTAATAAGTCTTCAATTGACTTTATAAAATAGAAATGTCGAATTTTCTATTTCAAAGGTGTTTTGACTCGAATCGCGCCGCAATTAGTGCATTTACCCTATTTCTAAAAATTTCAAATTTAAATCTTTCAAAATTATTATTATTTAAAAAAATTTTTTATTTAAAAATCTGTAAAACTTGATTAATATTAAGTATCGCCTGAAATTTTTTTGAGCATAAAAACTAAAAACTATATGACAAAATTTTAAATTCGAATAAATTGCTTAAATCAGACTTCAAAATTTTGTTAAAATAAAAAAAAATCGACTTTTTCTACTTTTTTTTTTTTAATATAAATTGACTAAAACGACTTTTTTTGTGCGTTAAAGTCGATCCAAGGCCTGTATTATTCATAAATAAAATGCGTACATGTTTTAATTAAGAAAATAAATTTGTTCTTTTTTCAGCACTCTTCCGCCACCGATAGTAATTGATGAAAATCAACCAAGTACCTCGCAAGAGGTTCGTAAAGTTCGAAAAGCAGATAGCGCATTACCAGTTCAAATGATGGAAATTCTATCGACGCCAACTTATAGTGAAATATCAGACTCTGATAGTGATTATAATCCAAGACGAAAACATAAAGCAAATACAAAAAAAACAGTGAAACGACGAAAATTATCGACAGCAAGAAAAAATGTCAAAACAAAACGACAATTGCCATTGAATACATTTTCAAGTTCAAGTGAAAGCGAAACAAAACATACAAAACGAACTACCAAAAAAGAAACTAAACACAGTAGACGTGTTTCCGTATCATCGGGCACAACATCGGAGAAATTAAAGAAAACAAAGAGTAAATCCAAAAAAAGAGATACTTCCGTTACAAATAGTGATACACCATTTTATGCAACAAGTGAAAGTGATAATGATGAAAAAAAATATCAAAATGAATTATTAATACATAACGATATGAGATATCCATCAATCTCAGTACGTATTGATCAACGTGACAGTGATACATTATCAGAATCAGAAAAACCCATTAATTTATCAATATCTTCATACAATTCATATGTGAGTAATGAGAAGGAAAATAATTTACAAGAAAAAATTGACAATTTAAATGAAACAATGGCAACAAATAGTGCAACAATTGAATTTAAAGAAAAACAAGAACAAAATGATGAAGAGGAAGAAGAAGAAGAAGAAGAAGAAGAAGGTACAAGTAGCGATTGTAGTGTTGATGATTTAAAACATCATCATTATTATAGATCGCGTTGTCAATGTAGTGTTTGTTCTGACAATACAAGGACAAGTAAAAAAAAATCAAAGCATAAAGATAAACGCAATCATAAATCGGATAAATCTTCCTCCACAAAATATTATCATCATCATCATCATCATCATCATCATTCAATTGAAGGTAATTCAATGAGTTCATTAAATGATGCGCCATCAAGTTCGAAACATTCCTCCGATTCAAAAAATAGTTCTAGATCAAAATCATCGAAAACAAAGCACAAGTCACATAAAAAAAGTAAAACATCAAAACGCCGACGATCTCGTAGTAATTCAAGATCAAAATCAAAGAAAAGAGCAACAATAGACTTTCAAACGAAATGAATTTTTTTTTTTTATTTTATTACCTTTGAATTTCAATTTTGACTATTCCATTTATTTTGTATTATATATTATCAAATTTTTCTGGTGAAATTGTGAATCGTCAATGATATATATTTATTAAAAAAAAATTGAACAATGAAATTGCTTAAAGAAAATTAATAATTTGTATGTATTTAATTTTTATCATCGCATGACGAAATCATGTAACTCAATTGTTGAAACACATTTGAATAGGAATTCTAATGTAATTAACACGTTTCTCTTTTTACCAATATACATATTATATATAAATATATAAATTTTTTTTTAAAACATTTTTGTTTATGCAGTACCAGAAAAAAAATTGTGTACAGTGTAAATTGAACATTTTGACTTACTGTTTTGTAGAATAAAAATGATAAGTAAGCGTCAAGATTTCATATTGCTGCAATGTTCATTATTCGTGAGGGTGAAAAAAAAGGTTTCTACCTATATATAGATATATATAAATATAAATATATAAAATAGGCAAATTATTGCATTCATTATTCTGTATTATTCCGAATTTACATTTATTTTCAATACTTTCTTCCGCGTTTTAATCATATAATTATGTAATAAATAATTAAAAAAAAAAAACAAAAGAAAAGAAAATTTTCCAATTTTTTTTTATTACATAAACACATTTTATATTTATATAATAAATATATTTCTTTTTGCAATTATCATGGAAATCGTATTTTTGTACAAATTTATATTATATACATTTAAGGATAAACCTAGAAAAATATGAGAATTTTCTATATATATATATATATTAAAAATTCAAGTCTATGCAAAATGAATGCCTTTAAGATTAAATTGATACAGCAATCTGAAACAAATTATAAAATTACATATATATTAATTGTAAATAATTATATTATGTTAAAAGAGTATTATTTGAATAATTTTATTTTAACAATTAGGGTGGTCAAGCAAGGGGGGGAGGAGGGATCGATTCTATACAAATAAATCCTAGAAAAAAAAAATTCTCAAAAAAAAAAAAAACTACACCAAAAATTTTTACACCATTTATTTTTACACGAGAAAAAAATTATACAGTGTTGCCACAAAAATTTTATTTTATTTTTTCCTAATTTTCATAGTCAGAATTACAATTTTTTCCCTGATGAAAATATTTCAAGAGGTTTTCAATGATTAAAAATAAAGACAATAATTTTTAGAAGTAAAATTTTGAATTAAAAAATTTAGAAAAATTCTAATTTTCAGGTCTTGGATCAACTTTAAAAAGCGCAAAAAAAAGTCATTTTAGTCGATTTACATTCTAAATAATGTCGAAAAAGTCGATTTTTTTATTTTATTTTTGATTTAATAATTGAATTTTTAAAGAAATATTAAAATTATTAAAAAGTAATTGAACTTTGGAAATTTTTGGAAATAATTAAATTTCAAAAATTTTTGTTCAATTTCAGACAGTAAAAAAATTTTACACAATTGAAAATAATTTAATTTCCGAGGAGTTGTAATTGAAATTATTAAATTTCAAAATGTTTTAAATGGAAAATTTTTAAAAATAATTAAATTTTAAAAGGTTTCAAATTGAAATTTTTGGTAATTTTATTTTATTTTTTTTTTAATTGTAAACAATTGTTGAATTTCATAAAATTTTTAATTGAAAAATAATTTAAATAAAGAAAATCTGCATGTATTCTAAAAAAGACATATTTCGTTTAAAAATTTTGTAAAAAAAAAGGAAAAAAAAAGTCGAAAAAGTCGCATTTTATTTAAATAAGTTAAAAAAAAAGTCGTATAATCCGAGGCCTGTAAATATTTAACAAAGAAGTACCTATTATAAACTAATGCACTCTAAAATTTAATTTTGATTTTAAAAAAAATTTTAATTTATACATCTTAAAAATTAGATTTAAAATTTTTATGGGATTTTTCTAAAATTTGACCATGAAAAATGTATCTAAATTATTGTAAAATTAGAATTGAATTGAATTAAACATAACAAAATTGGAATTTTAAAAATAAAAAAATCTTATTAATATTAAAATTTCATATTTGATATAATTGTATTTTATAATAATTAAATTTAAAAAATAATGAAACTTGAAATAATATTTTTTTAAAAAAAGGTTTGAAAAATAATAAAATTAATTTAGAAAACATGAAAATTTTGTTCAAACTCGAGAAAAAAGCGTAAAAATCTTTCAATTTTATTCCAAAATTTAAATGGGTATCCTGATAATAATAATAATAATAATAAATAATTAGATTAATTTTAACATGAATAATTAATTTTACGTACTCTTTAAAGTCATCAACATCCATAGTTCTAGCTCGACTTTCTTCAGCTTTCGCTTCTATCAAAACGTTATTTACCAATTCTTTCATATCAAAATTTTCTGGAAGAGTCTGAAATCAATAAAAGTACATTGTTTATTATTAAAATAATGTTTCTTATTTTTTTTTTTTTTAGAAAAATAACGAATAAGAAATTAAAATCTTTATTCATTAATTCAGAGAGATATTTTAATTTTTTATTTCTTGTACCTTATTTTGTAAACTGCAGTGAATTTTATAATTTTTTTCTAGCACTGCTAAAACAGTTGATTGTTTAAAAGCGGCGGCAAGTGTTTTATTTTTACGAACAAAAGCAATTCTCGTGAGACCATCCCATTCTCTATAATCAATGGGAGGTGGTGGATTACGTGGTTCAATTCTAACAACATTTGATTCAACTTTTGGTGGTGGTCGAAAATTATTTTTTCCCACTTTCATTAACATATCAACCCTCGCCAATAATTGTGTATTTATACTCAATCGACAATAAACCTTATCGCCTGGTTTTGCAACTAATCGTTCGGCAAATTCTCTTTGAAACATGAGAACTGCACATCTGTAAAATTAGAAAATTTTAAATAATATTAATTAGAATTTAAATTTCTTAATTACAGGCCTCGGATCGTATTTAAGGCATACAAAAAAAGTCGTTTTAGTCAATATACATTTTAAAAATAGTCGAAAAAGTAGATTTTTTTATTTTGATTAAATTTAATAATTAGTTAATAATAATAATAATAATAATAATAATTCTATAAGAATAGTATCAAAAAAATTTATTTGGAATAAATTTTCAAAATTTTAATTGAGAAGTACTAATTTCTAAAAAAAATTATTAAAGTTCCATTTTTTAAATTTTTTCAAGTCTAATTTAAGCAATTTATTTCAATTTTAAATTTTGTCATACTTTTTATTTTTAATGATCAAAAATAATTGTTGAACCATAATTAAGTTTTAAAGAGTTTTTAATTGAAATTTTTTAAATAATTGAATTGCAGAAAATTTTAAATTTGAAATAAATCTGCAAATTTAAACTGCTGTAGTTTTTTTTTTTTTTTTTTTATTTTTGACAATTCAATTTTAGAGTTTTTGTTTGAAACTTTTTTTTAAACAATAATTGAATTTTTTAAACAAATATTAAAATTATTAATAATAATTGGATTTTTTGAAGAATTTGTTTGTTAAATTACAGGCAATAATTAAATTTTACAGAATTGAAATTTCCAAGACAAGAATATTGTAAATATCATTGAAAGTAATTAAATTTCTGAAGAGTTATAGTTGAAATTATTTTTCAGAAAGTTTTAAATTGGAAAATTATAGAAATAATTATATTTTAGAAAATTTTGAATTGAAATTTTTGAAAATAGTTGCATTTTAAGTGTTTTTGAATTGAAAATTTTGGTAGTTGATTTTTTTATTTTGACAATTATTGAATTGCATAAAATTTTTAATTGAAAAATAATTTAAAATAATATTGAATTCGTGAAGAATTTCATTAAAATTATTAAAAATAATTAATTTAGAGAAGAATTTTTTTTTTAAATTTGTTAAATAATTAAAAGAAAAGAAGATCTGCATTGTATACTAAAAAGATGTATTTTGATTAAAAATGTTTAAAAAAAAAAAAATCGAAAAAGTCGCATCTTATTAAAATTACATAGTCGTAGAAAGTCGTATTTACGAAAAAAAAATTGGGAAAATTAGATAAAATTATATAATCCGAGGCCTGTAATTGACGTTAATAAATTGTCTATAATTTTTTAAAGATTGGAAAAAAATAAACATAATTAAAAATTACTTTTTTTTTAAAAAAATAATTTTTGCGAATTACCTAAAAAATGGCCGATGAAGTAATAATTTAAATACCAATGGCGAGGAAATTTGATAGGGAATATTAGCGACGCATAAATCAAAAAATGGTAATTGAGTTTTTAGAACATCGCCAATCATAATTTGAAGTTTTGATTGTAATGGAGTGCCTTGAACTCTTTTTTGTAATTCGGCAACCATTCGTGGATCAACTTCACATGCTATTACTTTTTTTGCTTTTTCCAACATTTTTACTGTCATATTTCCTGTACCTGGACCAATTTCTAAAACCACATCTGTTGGTCGCATCGCTGCTTTTTCTACCATTGTTTGAATAATCATGGGATTTTTCAATATATGCTGACCAAAATCCTTATTAAACATTATTCCTGAAATATTTATCAAAAATCACTTATTTAAAAAAGTTGAAGTATAAAATTTTTGTTTTTCTTCCTCATGAAGATTTTTTGGGACTAATTTATAGTAACCTATTTAGTATTATAAAAAACTTAAAAAAACGTATTAAGTGTCAATACATTTTTTTAAGTTATGGGCAAAAAACATTTTTTCTAATTTTTAAAAATTCAATAACATTGGATAGAATAATAGTCCATTTTTTAAATATTTGTTTTTTGCATTCCTAAGGTCGTAAAATATACACATCAAAAATGATCAAGTTCGAAAAATTTTGGTATTACAATAATATTTCCTCCATGAGAAAGTAATATTCAATTTTTATGTCAGTAAAATTTATATAATTTTTATTATTTGTTTTCTTAAAATAAATTGAACATTTCAAATATATAATAAAGTAAATTTTAGGTTAAGTTTAATTTATTTTAAAATATAATTAAAAAGAATACGAACCCTGCTTAACGACATCCTTGTGAACACGAGAAACTTTTTCTCTTCGTACTTTAGGCATTTTTAATCAAATTTCTTTTTTTTATTATTATTGTCAAAATTATTTACAATTTTGTCACAAAAGTTACAGACACACGTGGTAAATACGTCTGAAGTTAGACTCAATTTGTAAATAAGACCAACGCACAGTGAAATTGTAAAACGTAAATTTTGTCATGAGATAGAAAAAGATAGAAAAATACTGTTGTCAGGTTGCGCACGAAGCGCACGAAATCTACCCCCACCGTGCCGTCCGTCCGCCTTATAGATTATTATTAACATTGTTGTTATTATTATTATTTTACTATTATTATTTGCTGTCAATTTTCATTATGCGTTTAAATAAATTTATAAACATTTTGTTAATAAAAATAATAATTGACTAATTATTATTTTTGGTAATTAAATCGTATTTATTTCAAATACGAATATTATTGGCTCAAATTCAATTTATGTATTTTATTTAAATAAAAATTATTCAATACAAATAAAGATTTATTTTAAATATCAAGTATTCAATTAATAATATCATTTATTAATAATTTATTATTAATAAATATCTATAAATTCATTATTATTATTAAAAATGTGTTTTTGTTAAAATGAATTCAAAAGTTAGCGCCTGAAAACTAATCAGCTGTCGGTAAAAAAGAGACATAGTTGCTCATGATTTTTTTCTTGTGTTTGTGGCAGTATGGTGGGAGGCGGACGGACGGCATGGTGGGGGTAGATTTCGTGCACTTCGTGCGCAACCTGGCAACAGTATTTTTCTATCTTTTTCTATCTCATGACAAAGTTTACATTTTACGATTTCACTGTGCCTTGGCCTAAAGTTATCGATTTGAAACGATTTTTTTGGCTGCAGCGCCATCTTTTAAGACCAACTTCATCGTCTTCATCGGCTACAATAATAAACACTACAATAATGTTTACAATTGAAATTTGTATAATTTTATTCTCCTTGTAAATTGTTTAAAATTTTAATTTTCTCCTCGATTTGGAAATGTTTAATGTAAAAATTCTACATTAAAATATTGACATTAATTTTGTTTTTTCTTGGTAAGTAACAAAATTTTTTTTTTATAACTAAGTTAATTTGCTTGTAAATAATCATATGATTTAGACCTTGTAAAATGTATAAACTTCTGTAAAAATTAATACATAAGATAACTTAAATATAACAATGCATTTTATTTATAACAGTTTGAATCATTTTTCATAATAAAAAAAAATAAATATATATATATATAAGAAATGAAAGAAGAAGAGGAAGAAGAAAATGTTGTTAAATTGGAAAATGGTTCACAAAATGAGAATAGCAAAATTGCTATTGGTATTCGACCAAGACCATTAATTTGTAAACCAGGACATGTAAATGTTGGATGTAAATCCGAACCTCTTGAAACAAAATGTTATTGGAATCCTGGAGCTTGGCAAGATGCTACTAGAACTAGTGCATTTCAGCCTTATAAGGTTAGTTTATTTCAAAATATATTATTTAAAATAATAATAATAATATTAATTAAGAAATATTAGATACCTAGTATAAAAACACTAAGTTTTTGTCCACATTTTTTTGTCTTTTTATTTATATAAAAAAAAAGCCTCCAACTTTGCTCACAAATTTACAAAGAGGAAATACTCAAACAGAAATACCACAACTTTACGTTGGAAAGGATATAACATTTTTCACTCTTGCTGGTCAAGGTGAACTCACACCGGACGATATTTGTCAGGGTAAGGGCGAAATAATAAATTAATTGGATCAGACCATAATATTTCGTTGCAGCGTAATTTAAAAAAAAATAAGATACTTACAGAAATTATTCTAAGTAGGAAATTTAATAAAAAATTTGCATTTTCTTTTAAATTCAAATTTTTGATGAATTGTCTTAAATTTGTTGTCTACCTTGAAGTAAAATGTTTCTTGAAAAACTAAAAATTTGTTAAAATCTAAAAAAAAAAACTGAAAACATTTTATAACTGACTGATTAAAAAAAATATGGATTCTAAAAATTAAAAATTGTTCTAAACAGAACTAGGAATGCTCTAAAAAATTTCTCCGTGACATTTTTTTGAAATATTAATAATTTCCGAAATAATTCTAATTTTCAAATTAGAATTTTGATAAAGTAAAAATTGTACTAAATAATTTTGCTGAATAATATTTTCCGAAAAATTTATTATAACTGTTTTTTTTTTTTTTTTTTTTTAATAATTCGCTATCTTTAAAATCTTCCCCAATATTTGCTTTCGAAATTTTTGATAAAATTTTGATTTTTTCAAAAAAAAAAATAACTTACGTCACAATAGATTACAAATAACAATGTTAAAAAAGTAATTTTTGTTAAAACTTTCGTTGATAATTTTTGAAATATATATTTATCTTTTAAATTAGACTAAAAACCAACGAAAAAATTTTGGTGCTTGTAGATTTGTATACAATTTAAATGTTGTGAAAATTATTATTATTAAATTATTATTTTTTCTTTTTACGAAGATATTAAATTACAAAGTTCGGAAAAATACAAAAATTGCGTACTTTAAACTCAATATTTCTTGTATATTTAAAGTGAAAATGAAAAGTTTCTGAAAATTCTGAAAGTTCTTTTCATTTACTTCCTTTTTAGTAAGTTGAAATTTAGTTTTTTATTTATTTATTTAAAAAAAAATTTTTACCATTTTAATTATTCCATTTTTTTTTTTACAAAATAATTGTCGAAAATTGTAAAATTGTGTTATTTGAGAGATGAAATTTGAAAATATATTTTATCCATTGTAATTTTTTAACTACTTAAATAATAAATTAATTATGTAATTCTAAACAAGATTCAATATAATTCTCTTTTTACACTTTTAAGAATTATTTTATGTTTTTTTAAAAAATATTTTCTATTTGCAACGAGTTTGATCGAAATATAATGATCTGATCTGTAAAACGAATATAAATTAATTAAAAACTATATAATTATAAGACAAGGGTTCGTACAAAACTTGAAAATCATGGAAAAGGCCTGCAATTTTTTAAAGTTACTAAATTTTTCAAGTTTAAACAATTTTTAGAATTAAAAAAAATTCTTTAAAGATAATTTTCTGAAAACTGTCGAAATCGAAAAACAAAAAATTTGCTCAAACCAAGAGTTTATGTTAATTTTTTCAATTAGATATTAAAAAAAATTGTTTAAAATCACGAGAAAAGCGTAGAAAAAAAGATAGAAATTAGGTATATTTAACATCAACTACTACACTAGAATTTTAAAAATAATTTATACAATTTGAAAATTAAATTAAAAATTTCTTTTTAATATTTGAAAATCCTTGAAAACCTAAGAAAGTTTTAAAATTTCAATGACAGGTTTTTGTATGAACCCTAATATTATAAGAGAAAGAAAATTAATAAATCTTTTAAATTTAGCATCACTAGATGCATTGGATGAAAAAGGTTTATCAGGTTTAATGTGGGCCGCTAGTTACGGTCAATTGGGTAGTGCTCGTCAACTTTTGGAAGCAGGAGCTGATAAAAATTGTCGTGGTCATCAGGGACAAACGCCATTGCATTTAGCGGCTGCTTACGGTCATCATGATTTAGTTAAACTTTTAATAAGTCATGGGGCTGATCCAAATATTTATGAAGAGGTATATATTTATATAATGATAATAATACAATATATATAATTAAAAGTATTTGTAAATTTTCAATTAACAAAATTTATAATTAACTGAATATTTATTTTTTCATTTAATAGAGAAAATTTTCAATTAAAAATTAATTTATTTTTTATTGAATTTAATTATTTAACCATATTCTTGATTTTGAAAATTGTCTTTTCTTGTATTACCTAAAATTGAAAAAAAAAAAATATATTCCACTGTAATCCCTGAATTTTTATAATACATTTTTTCTTCAGTTATTATTGTGTAATTATTAAAAATTAAATTTTTATTATTGTATGATTATTATTTTTCAATACAAAATTTTTATTTTAATTACATCAGGAGGGAAATACGCCATTAATTTATGGAGCGCATGGAGATCATCGTCACGTTTGCTATGAACTTTTATCAAAAGGTGCTGATGTGGCGCATAGAAATATTCACGGCATAAGTGCATATCATGCTGCTATTTTAAACAATTCATTAGCAGGTATTTTATATTAATTTAATTACTCTTAAAACTAAAATTTATTAATCGAAATTATATTGTTTTTTTTTAAGCAAAAGCAGTGATTGAAAATTATTTGGTAGAGAAACTTGTGAACACATCAACTGGAATTCTATCGTAAATGAGAAATACATGCAAAAAAAAAAAAATACAAATAATGTTTAAAACAGAATTTATAGTTTATTCCTAAATTTGACATTCGCAATAATTTTTTTTAGAATGTATTTATGACTTACTTTATCATTCTATGTACAATTCTTAAAGTATTAGTAATTATGTGATTTTTTTTGTATTAGAAAAATAATTTTTCAATAATTTATTTTGCTTAAATTATAAAATGTTAAATTTTATAAAACCATGACTATATTTTATAATTTTAAATGAAATAAACTTTTTATGAGATAAATATAATTGATATTTATTTATATATATATTTATATTATTATAAATAAAACCACTTCAGGGTTTTAAATACTGAAAACAAAATGAATTTTATTTGATTAATTTAAAAGAAGTGCAAATAATTTTTTTTCCACTAATTTCTTTATAACGACTGTCAATAAATTTTAAACAATTTACTAACTATTACTAATATATTGTTAAATTATAATAACTTTAAAAATCTTTGTCTTTGTTAATATAAATATGAATTTTCTTTTCTAGAAACTAATACTGTTTTTAAATAGGAATTTTTTTTAAGCTTAATTTATAGTAAACAATATTCATGATTTTTTTCAGTCCGCTTAAAGGCTAATAAGAGATTTAAAATTTAAAAATAACTTTGTTTTTTTTTTTAATAAATAAAGTATAAAAATTTAAAATTATATTTTTTTCTCCACATTTTTGGAGTAGAAACGATGCAGAAAACTTTTAAAAAAATAAATTGTATTTTTTAAAGAAATAAAGTTAAAAAATTAAAATTTTTTTCCTTAAAGTTCAATAGTTTTTACGTAAAAAAGATAAATAACTTTTTTCGTATAACAAAAAATAATACAATATAAGCATTAATTTGTAATGAAAATAAATCCAAAAATAATAATTTTTAATCAATTCCTCACATTTTAAGAACTGGATCAAATAAATATAATATTGTATTTATAATCTAAAAATAATGCAGTTTATATAAATATGAAAAAAACAAACAATTTCAGTTGTAAATTTATAATTTTTATATTTATTTTGAATCAAAAGTAAGGGCGGCATTTAATGCGCGAGAGCAAAAAAAAAGTAAGGTTATGTTTGACAGCGGTGCTTTTTATTCGCGTTTCGCGACACATCGCGATCAAAACATAATGTTTTGTATTCTGTCTGTAATTTATCGAATTTTGTGATAATAAAGTTTCTAAAATTACTAAAAAAAAAAAAAACTGATTACAAAAATATTAGAAAAAGATTAAAAAGATTAAAATTGTGAATAATATTTATTTATATCCATAGTGCGTGATTTTAGTAGAAATATCAACCATGGATGATCAAGCATGTCCACGTTGTAAAACAACAAAATATCGAAATCCGTCTTTAAAATTGATGGTTAATATTTGTGGACATACTTTATGCGAAAGCTGTGTAGATTTATTGTTCTTAAAAGGTATGACTAATTATAAATATCATAAATTTTCATCCCATTCATTTGGAGGTTATATCCTCGTAAAGTTATTTACTTTATTTACAAAAATAAATATTTTCTGTATAATTTTTTTTTTCGATTTTATATTTAGTTGAAAATTTTTCTCCAGGTTCCGGTTCATGTCCAGAATGTAATATTGTTCTTCGTCGAACAAATTATCGCGTTCAACTATTTGAGGATCCAATGGTGGAAAAAGAAATAGACATAAGAAAACGTGTGCTACGTGATTTTAATAAAAAAGAAGAAGATTTTGCAAGTCTACGTGATTATAATGATTATTTAGAAGAAATTGAGACAATAATATTTAATCTTTCAAATAATATTGATATTATTGAGACAAATAAAAAAATTGAAAATTATAAACGTGAGAATAGAGAGCAAATATTAAAAAATAAATCGAAAATCAATCAAAAAGAAATTGAACTCGATGAACTTATACAAATTGAAAAACAACAGGAGGAAGAAAAAATGATAGAATTAGCGCAACAGGATTTAGAGACAGAGAAAAATAAAATACGCGAAAGAGAAGCACTTATACAGGAGCTTATTTATTCTGAAGGTAATGCTGATAGTATTGTTAAAACATTTGCCTCGGCAATACAAGCATCAAAAGAAGAAAATAAAAAAGTTGTAACAATGCAAAAAGTTACTCAATTTAGTTCGGGAATTAAATTTGGTAATCAAGGTGGACATAATTTTATGCCATTGCCAAAAATTGATGACGGTCCATTATTTAATTATGAGCCAATTATACAGGATATTGATGGACCATCACCGCCCGATTGTCGTCAACTTCAAGTTCGTGGTTATATAAATCATATTAGATTAGAAAATCCATCGGAAAGAGCTGGTGGTTTTAAGGCAAATATTGCTTGTCTCAGAGCACTTCAAGAAGCAATGGTTGGCTTATATCATAATCCATTAATAAAACAAAATGAATCAATGTTCTTCTGACTGTTCGAATCGACGTATAGGTGTTTCTCAAATTGTTATATATCTATATATATTATAAAAAATATAAGTTTCAAATATGAACAAAATAATATTCAATATTGAACTTGTAAAAAAAAAGTCTAGGGGAAAAACGAAATTGAAGTATGCAAATCGTTTATATAAACGATTTTTAAAGAAATAATTCTTTAAAATGAAAAATTCTACCTGAAAAAATATTTTTTTATAATTTGTTGATTAATAAAAACTATACAAGAAATATTGTTTTAGGTAAAAAATTATAGAATTTTTCATTTTAAAAAATTATTTCTTTAAAAATCGTTTATCATAAACATTGCGTACTTCAGCTTCGAAGGGGGGAAAAAAAAGAGTTTATTTTTTAAGAAAGAATCGTACAAACAAAAGTATAAAATCTTTAAATAAAAAAGAAAAAAAATGTAAATTTAATTTTTAACAATTAAAATTTTGCATTTGTATATGAAAAAATACAATTTCTCGTTAAATATGTAGAAAGTAAAAAACAATTTTTTTTCCTTTTATCCAAATGCAAATTATTTTTAATAATAAAAAATAAAATTTCTTATATTATTACTGAAAAAAAATTTTTTTTTTTTTTATTTAAAAATACAAAAATGTAAATTTGTATTAACTTTTTGTTTTCATTGTGTACGTTTGATTCTTTCTTATAATGACGAAAAAAAGACTAAAAAAAAAATATTCTTGTATTATTTATAATTATTTATTTATTTTCTATTTGTATGTTGTGTAAAAGGATAATTAACTATTAAATTTCCTTCTTTATAATAAAGGACGTATTTTTTTTTATAATTATAGAGAACAAAATGTAAAATTCGTTCATTTTCTTTACACTATTGTAATTATTGAAATATTTGTTCTATAACTTTTAACGTCATTAACATATTAATTGTCATCAAACATTTGTGTAAAATATTATGTACATATTTGTAAAGTATAATACATATTATATGAATATCATTTATTAATAAAAAATATATATACGAAATTAACTGTTTTTAGAAAAAATTTGCATTATTTTTTTCGACTTAAAAATTACATAATCTTTCTTAATTATTATTATTATTATTATTATTGTAAAAATAACTTATAAAATTCAATTACAGTCAACTGGGGCTATTTTACTTACTCAGGGGCTATTATACTCAGCGCCAGTTTTTTTTTGAAATAAAAATATTTATATTGAATTGTTTAAACTTGCCGCTTGTTGTAAATATTGTTTGATATTTTTATTACAGAGGGCGCTAAATGTTAACACTTAATATTTTTGACAGAAATAAGCAGAAAAAAAAAATTCATAAAATCGTGAAAGTGAAAAACATTTTTGCAAATTTGCAATAACTTTATATCTATACTGGATTTCGAAGAATTTTCTTGTATTTCAAAAATTATTCCTGGTAAGTGTTGTCAATTTAGTTGTGATAATGTATGTACATGTGATGCGTTACATTTTTATATTTTAATAAAAAAGTGCGAAAAATTTAAAACTAGGATTCTCTAGGGGTAATTATACTCACTTCTTAAAATTAATTAATTTTCAAAATTTTTTTTTGTAAAATGTAAATAAGTGTATAGTGCATATCTTACGTATACATTTTTGACATCCTTTTTGTAAAAAAAAACAGAAATATATAAATTTTATGATTTCACAGGGTATAACATAACCTCAAAAAATTAATTTTCATTAAGGGTTGGGGGGGGGGACCGGTAAAATTTCAATACATTGAAATTAATGTGCTGTCAATTTTTTTTTTTTGATAATATTGAGCAATTAAAAATTATAATATATAATATGAAAAATTAAAAAATAATTTTTTAATATTTTTTTCAAATAAAACGAAAAAATTCTCGTAAATTGAAAAGTTGATCTTCTCTCACAATTTCTCTTATTTTTCATTGCCGATTTTTTTTATGATTTTAAGTAATCAAAAATTTTTTCCGAATTTTTTTTTACGATTTTCTAGTTAATTTGAAAATTTTTTCCCTTAAAATAATTAAATAAGCTTTATTGGGAATTTATTTTATACTGTTTATTCAATTTTTTTTTTTGAGAATAAAGTTCCTGTGTTAAAATGAAGGTATGTACGTTGTAATTTTTTTAAAGACATCCAAAAGTATTTCAGATAATAAATTTATAATAAAATAACTAATAAATATTTAAAAAATAATTTTCTAATATAAATTTTGTTTGTTTATAGATGGTTCGAAATTATGTAAGAAAAACTCCCTTGGAAAAATTAGCATACATGAAGGAAAAACCTCCGGAAGTCGAGATTTGTATTAAAAACGTGAATGAAAAAAAGATGACAATAACTGAAATGTCTTCAAAACTTGGAATAACAAGGAAAACTGCTGCCAATTATATACGGGAATATAATAATAATACTTATGAGACAGTAAAAGTTGGTCATCCCACTGTTTTCACCGTTGAAGAGGAGTCAATTTTTCGGGCTCACATTATTCATTTAGAAGAAAGTGGATTTCCAGTCAGTAAAATGGATCTTAAAATTATTGTTCAAAATTATTTGGAGCAATCAGGACGAGTAGTTAGTACATTTAAAAAAAATATTCCAGGAGAAGGCTGGATAAGTGGATTTTTGAGTCGACACACAGATCTCTCACAACGGTACGACATAATATATTTGTCTTCATATTTTACCGTTTCAACATGTTTTTTTTGCAATTTTATGCAATTTTTTCGAATTTTTGAATATATACCTATAAAATTTTCCTTCTTTTGAAATGTTACTCAAATAACATTTTATTTTTTTAAATCAATAATTTCAATTTTGCAATTTTTAGTAAAAAAAAACATATTTTTAAGCAATTTTTTTTTTGGTAATTTTTTGCAATTTATTTATTGTTTTTTCGACTTATTTAAATAAGATGCGAATATTTCGACTTTTTTTTTTTTACATTTTTTTGACAAAATTTTTAAATAAAACACGTTTTTTTTAGTATACAATGCAAATCTTCTTCAGATCTTCTTTATTTCAATTATTTAACAAGATTTTAACTAAAAATTTTCTCAAAATTAATTTTTTTTAACAATTTTAATGAAATTCTTCACAAATTTAATTAAATTATTTTTCAATTAAAAACTTTATAAAATTCAACAACTATTTACAATTTAACAAAAAAAAATCAAATAAAATTACCAAAAATTTCAATTAGGTAAAAATCTTTTAAAATTTAATTATTTTAAAATTTTCCATTTGAAACTTTTTGAAATTTAATAATTTCAATTATAACTCTTTTGAAATTCAATTATTTTAAATGATTTTTATAAATATTCTTCGAAAATTCATTTATCTGAAAGCATTTGGTAATTAAAAAATTTTTAAGTACAATTTTTGTCTAATTTTTAATCTAAATTCTTCAGCAACAGAAATCACCGAAAAATTTCAATTCAAAATCATTTTTATTTTCAAAAATTTCAATTTAAAACATTCCAAAAATTTAATATTATTATTTATAAAAATGTCAATTGTCGCTCCTCCAAAATTTAATGATTTTAAATGATTTTTATAATATCGTTCAAAAATTCAATTATTTGAAAGCGATTTTCAATTTTAGAAATTCAATTTTTGTCTGTAATTTCTAATAAATTCTTCATCAACAGAATATTACAAAAATATTTTAATTAAAAATCACTTGAAGTTCAATTAATTTCAAAAATCTGAATTGTAAATTTTTGAAAATTCAATTACTTTTAAAAAATGTCATCTAAAATTATTTGATAAATTAGTTTCAGTTCTGTAAAATTTAAGGGGAGGGACCGCTGAAATTTCAACCTTTCAAAATTGAGGCTGTTTCAGGTTGTCAATTTTTTTCCAGTTAATATTGAGTATTTAAAACTGTAATATACTATGGCATAATTGATAAACAATTAATTTATTAATAATTTTTAAAATAAAACTCGAAATTTTCAAAAACTAAAAATTTAAACTTCTGTCACAATTTTTATTATTTTTAATTGCTAATTTTTTTTATACACTTTTCTCAAGATTCTGAACAATCAATCGTGTGGATTTTGAAAAAATTTAATTTTTGAAAAATAAAAAAAATTGCAAAATTTGTTAAAAAAAACTTTTTTTCAATTTTTCATAGTGAAATATGATTTCAGTTTCTAAAAAAATTAAAAAAAAAAATTGTTACCCCTAAACCAAACCAATTATGTTTGGTTTCAATTTGATTAATTATTCCTTAAAAATTCAACTTCTTCTACAATTTATATTATTTTTTATCGGTAATTTTTTTGTAGACTTTTTTCATGATTCTGAACAATCAATCGTATGAATTTTTAAAAATTTTAATATTTTCAAAAAATAAAATTTTGAAAAGAGTCAAAAAATTTTTTTTTTTTAATTCTGATAATTCACAACAATTTTAGATCCAAAATAATGCCAGAAAAAAAATGACACCCTTTAACAATATTAATTTCGATGAGTTCGATGAATTATTGTCTGAAATTTAATAATTCAAAAAAAAAAAAATTTCAAATAAATACTCTAAAATTGAATTGTTGTCAGAATTTTGTCATACTTAATTAAAATTTTAAAAATTCACGTCTGGAATGTTTATGATTCTGAAATTTTCAAAATAAATTTTCTTGGTAATATTCCTGTAGAATTATTCTTATTAAGGAAATAATCAAATGGATTTAATATCTAATAACATTAAAGTAAAATACTTATTAATTAATTAAATTTAATTAAAATTAAAAAATCGACTAAAACAATTACTTTTTTTGCTCCTTAAAATCGTTCCGAGGCATGTAATTAACTTAATTCTTTGAAATAACTCATTATTTTCATTTGAATCAATTTTCGATTTTATTTTTTTATAATATTTATATAAAGTATGAAAAAATATTCTTAACAATCTAACATTTGAAATAGTAACCATTAAAAAAAATTGCAGGTTTGCCAGTAACATATCAAAAGCGCGAACTGCTGTCAACGAAGATGTAATAAATGAATATATAAATAATCTGTCAACAACAATCAACGATGTGCCACCTGAAAATATATTCAATTACGACGAAATCAATTTTACCGATGATCTTGAAAAAAAGAAAATCATTTGTAAAAAAGGTACAAAATACTCCGAGACAATTAACAATTCGAGTAAGTCAAGCACAAGTATAATGTTCTGTGGAAATGCTGCGGGGAAACAAGTATCACCGTACATTGTTTTTAAATCAGAGCACATGTGGAAAAAATGGACCGAGGGTGGACCAATGGATGCCCGTTATAATAGAACATCGCACGGTTGGTTCGATTCATGCTGCTTCGAAGATTGGTTTATTTATCACCTTCATCCAATTTTAAAAAAACTCCACGGAAAGAAGGTCATTATTGGTGACAATCTTTCAAGCCACCTAAGTACAAAAGTAACGGAAATCTGCAAAAAGGAAAACATACATTTCGTCTGCCTTCCTCCAAATTCGATCGATTTTTTTCAACCTTTAGATATTGCCTATTATTGTCCATTAAAAATCGAGTGGAGGAAAACGTTAACTGCATACAAAGAGAGCGAAGAGGGTCGAAAATTTGCCATAATGCCAAATGACAAAATTGCCAGTCTTCTTAAAACCTGCTTAGACGGTTTGAAATTAAAAATTTCAGACAACTTGCAAGAAGGATTTCATGAATGTGGAATTTATCCTTTTGATAGAAACCAAATCCTTGCGAAATTAGTTTCTTCACAATCTGAAACAGACAAAAATCTAATTGGAGAGGCTTTTTTAAAACGCGTGCAAGATATTCGAGATCATATCGTACCAACTGAAACAAAACGTAAACGTAATAGTGAAAACCATTGAGATTCACCTCGTGATAGATATTTTTTAATTATATAATGTTTCATAAAAAGTTATCGTTTAAATAAATCTTGATTTCCTTAAAATTTCAATTTTTTTATTTGGACGACTACATGAGGTGATCGCATTGATTTTTATGAAATTGATAATTTAGGTTTCTTTAAGAGTTAAAATAAGAAATTTTAAGTATTTTTGAAAAATTCAAAATAGTTTTCAAAATATTGCAAATTTCATTTCTTTTTTCTTTGATTTATTATAACTTTCGTAATTTTTAATAAATCAAGATGAATTTTTTTTTAATTATTCGTATTTAGATGCTCTTTTATGAAAAAATATGAAAAAATAAAATTTTTAATTCTTATTTGAAAAAACAATTTTAATTGTTTAAATAAATTGCTAAATCAGAATTGCTATTCCAAAAGCTTTAATTACTGCTTTATTTCTAGTTTCCTTGATGTATTTAAAAAAAAAAATTTTTTCAACAATAATAAATTTAACTTAATTTATATTAAATTACATTTATTATAAAAAAATTTTTTTTATTTTTTTACACAAAAAAAAATAACAAGGAACTTGAAATTTAGAGCTAGTTTGGCTGCTTTAGAGAATTTCTCAGTTTCTTAAGAAATTTTTGATTATTCAAAACTCAACGAATTTAAAAAACATGAATTTTTGGACAGTTTTTAATTCAAAAATTTTAATTTCTTTGATAAAAATATAAATATTTCATGAAGAATATTAAATTTATTAAAAAGCAAAGAACTTAAAAATGAACTTTTGAAAAATGTTATATAAGTAAAAATAAAGATTTAAATTATTATTATTATTAATTATTATTCATTTAACTTTTTTATTTATAAATTATTTTTCTTATATTTTTTAAATTATTAATTTGCTAAATAATTTTTAAAACAAATTAAAAGTAGATTCGTATTTGTTTCAATTTATCAATTTGACATTGTATAAATGTAAAAATAAAAAAGAATTTTTGTAACTATTTTTTTCTGACAACTTTGGCTTCGAAATTTAAATTAAAAAAAAAAAATGTCTGGTCGCAAAAATTCTGGAGGGACTCGTTCATATGGAAGTAGAAATTATAAGAGTCGAGGTTCATCGGCACCTCAAAGACAACCACAAAGAGGGTATTTAAAATAAAAAATAAAAAAAACTTTATTGTTTTCATATTTTTTCTTTCTAACTAAAATTCAAAACTCAACCATAAAAATTCTCATAAAATACAAAGGAATATTTTGAATAATTTTTTTTCATTTTAATTTTTTTTTTTATAATTTATATTAAAATAATGATATTTTTTTTTCAAAAATACAGAGTAAGTATTAAATAAATCCATTCACTAAATGTCACGTGTTTATATAATTATATGTAAGTATTGCAAAAATCGTGCAATCTGAGGATCTTGTGATGTGATTGATCATCAAAGTAACGAAGAAAAACATTTTGGGAATTGCAATTTATTGCATTAAGAATTCCTAAAATTGAACTTAATAAATTTTAATACGTTTTATAAAATTAAAAGTGAAAATGAAAAGTAAATTAATTTTTTAAATTATTTAATTATCGCGCAATATAGTATATATCTATCTACTGATTGGTGGACATAAAGGTTATATGAATATGACACAAATGGCGGTATTTTTGAAAACTCAATTAAATGCGTATTTTAACCTACAATTTAGAAAAAAGATAATTTCATTTTTATATTGTTTAAAAATCTTTTGAATATTATAATAAAATAAGATAGCAAAAAAATTTTATTATTTTACAACTCCCTATAGCAAATAAAAATTAATTTTTGTTTATTTCTATTAGTTTTATTGATTCCGGAAGATATTTATTCTAGAAATCTCTCGACACGTCTGCGCTGAACTTATAAACAAGATGCGTCAAAATCGTCAAAATGTTTCCCCTTCTCTATTTTGTTTTACGTAATATTTCAATTTGATTCTCAGAAACTCCTCTGAAGCTCTTAATAAGAGGCGATCGCCATTTTAGTTGAAGTTTAGAAGGTTCACAACGCAGACGTGTTTTTGCTTTTACAAGTGACTTTGTGATTAAAAGAAAAAAAAAATCATGCCTCGAAGACGTGCTGCAGCTCCTGCTCCCAGGACGTAAGTATATATTTATATTTATTTTTCCTTTATTAAATAATTTTTTATTTTCTAAATTTATTTGTAATAACAGTTAACTATTTCATCAATCGTTGTCATTGCGTGTTACGAAATACAAATTTTAACCTAAAAAAAAAAAATTTTGTCATGACGTCTCATGTTTGCATATAGCAAATCAATACTTAATACGAACAATTTCGTATTCGAATTTTATATTTTCGTTAGATTATTGAAAATAATTACATAAATTCTTGTTAATTATATTTCATTGTCTTGTTCAAAGTCCAAGGACTCCGAAAATATTTCTCTCTATAACACGTGCTTTATTCGTAAAATACGTTGTAAAATTTTAGAAAAGAATTTTCCAATTCGTCGTAGTACTTTTTTTTTTGCAAAATTATTGTAAATATTTGATATATTGAAGATAATAATTCTTCAAATTAAGGCACTTATTCATACATAGAAAATCAATTTATGACGTTTACATTAATTGGTAATTATAAATAGCAGTATAATATACATTGCTCGAATTTATGCAATGCATTTTCCTATTTAATGTATCTTAATGAATAAAAAAAAAATCCTTTTTAATCGAAACGAATCGATTGACTTATATAAAGTATATTAATTAAGAATTATAAAATTAATTGCGATTTTACGCTTTTGAAAAAATTAAAAATTTTTACCATACCTAACTTTAAAAAAAAAATTTTTTTTTAAAATTTAAACTTAATTATATTAAATAATTTTAATCAAAATTCTTTAAAAATTCCATTATTTAAAATATTTTTCAATTCAAAGTCCTTTTAAATTCAATTATCTAAAATATCTATGTAAAAAAAAATTTCATCAATTAAAATTTATGAGTTTTAATTTAAAATTTCCTGAATTTTCAATTATTTTTCTAAATAATTTAACTTAAACTCTCCAAAATTCATTTACTTCTAAAAATTTAAACTAAAACTTTTTCAAATTTCAATTATTTCTTCAATTTTTACTAAATTCATTTTTTTTAATTTTTTCTTGAACTATTTGTCCTTAATATTGTACAGAAGGTTTCTTTTCTTTAAATAAAGTAATTAACGAGAATAAAAAAGGTTTGTTTGAACCCTTTTTTTTAACTGCTTCTAAAGTGTAATACTACCTTAAAGTAATTTTAAATTATTTTTTAAAATTTGTCCTACACTGAATTAAATTCTGGAAAATTTGTCTTAGTTGAATTCTGAAATATTGTAAATAAAATTTCTTGAAAATATCCCTACGAAACATTTTTATTAAGGAATTAATAAAACTTATTTAATTTCTAATAACAATTGTTTGATAATAATAATAATAAAATATTTACTAACTAATTGTATTTATTTAAAAATAAAAGAAGCGACTTTTTTTTTAGTTCTTTTTGTCATGTAAATCGATTTTTTTCTTCTTCTAAATTCGATCCGAGGCCTGAAAATGCCAAAAATTAAATGTATTCATTACTAGTTTACAATAAAAAAAAAAAAGACTTAAAATAATTTAATATATTTTTGTCATTAAAAATTATTAAAATAGTACATACATGTAAAAAAAAATTTACGAAGCTGAAGTACGCAACGTTTATGATGAACGATTTTCAAAGAAATAATTTTTTAAAATGAAAAATTCTACAATTGTTTGGGTAAAAAATTTTTTTTTATAATTTTTTTGATTTATGAAAACTACAAGAAATATTTTTTAGACGAAAAATTATAGAATTTTTCATTTTAAAAAATTTTTTCTTTAAAAATCGTTTATTATAAACGTTGCGTACTTCAGCTTCGTAAAATTTTCACCTCGAAAAGTCCTGGATTTTTATTTGGTAAAAGCGCTAGACACTCTGCATTATTTTAAAATTATTAATGTTCATTTATTTTATTAGCGTAAGGTCAGCAGCTCCTGCAAGGGCAGCAGCAGCTCCCGTCAGAGCTGCTCCACCTCCATCAGTTCCTGCTCGTGTGGCTCCATCAACTCCAATGATGGCACCAGCACAACAACAGGGTCCAGGTCTTATGGGACAAATGGCAGCAACTGCTGGTGGAGTTGCCATTGGATCAGCCGTTGGTCACACAATTGGTCATGCAATGACTGGACTCTTTAGTGGTGGAAGTAATGAAGCCGTAGCTCCCGCTGCTGCTGCTGCACCTCAACAAGTTGCACCAGCTTCTCAACCAGCTGCAGCAGGCGGTGCCTGTTCCTGGGAAGTTAAACAATTCCTCCAATGTGCTGAACAACAGTCAGACATTACCCTTTGTCAAGGATTCAATGAAGCTCTTCGCCAATGCAAGATGGCTAATGGTAATTTTTAATTCTTTATTATTTCATTCTATTGATTATTATATTATTTATTATTTTTCTTTTTAGTTTAGGCTAAATCCATATTTTAAGGAGGATTGTACCGCAAATTGAAGTGAAGCGAGCTTTTACAAAAAAAAAAAAAATATTTTAAAACAATTTTATAAAAATCAGCAAACTAATTTTCAAGTATATTTACGTTACTACGAGTCACAAATGCAAAGAATTTTGGATAAATGTTGTAAAATTAATGAGATATTGGCAAAAGAAAAATTGTTATAGCGGATAACTCAGAATTCATTTAATTCATTTAAACTAAAATTATTATAAATTATAATTATAATAATTATTATAATTATTTGGACGATTTTGTCTATGTTTTACTGTCACGGAGGACATCAGATAAACAAACATGGCGTCAGAAATTAATTTATTTAAAGCTTTTGTATAGCAGTTTTTAAATTTCGCGTCAAATTACGTTTAATTAAAAAAATGCCATGTTTCACGGAATTCTTTGCTGAAATATTTATTTAGTTCACTTTAAAAATCTTTTTCATATATATTAATCGACGGTGAAGTCTCATTTAAAATTTTTTTTTACATTATTTTGAAGGTTTAATTTATTAAAAAATCATATTTCTATAGGACTATATCTTTACTGAAAGTGTTCAAAAAAACTAAATTTATGGGTTTTGTAGAGGCTTTAATTGCAAAATACTTTCAAAACTAGACGATGAAAATTGTTTAAACTTTACAAAATTATGTAAAATTAATTCAACTTTAACATATTTCAAAAGCATTTAAAAATTTTTCCTTTTTGTTATGGCACATTCCTCCTTAAGGCCAGGTCTAAGTCGTGTCAGCTGTTCCATTGAAACTTCAAAGGAACAGCTGACTCGACTTGGACCTGGCCTTAAATCATGCAGGTCGATTTTTATTGACCCTGAAATATTTTATGATTGTTATTAATATTAATAATATAATATAATATAACAATATTTAAATTTTAATATCAATATGTTATTATTTATAAAAAATAAAGATACACGTATTTTCTTATTTTTGATAAAAACTATTATTATATTAACTAAGTTATACACATTTGAATATTAAATCGTAAAATTTTTTGTTTATTTTAAATCAAAAAAACTTAAATTTTAAGACGAGGTACAAGTGAAATTTCATCCTTTGGAAAATTTCGTTGTTTTAGAATGTCAATTTATTTTTCGACTTTTAATCAAAATAATAATAATAATGAGAATAAAATAATGCTGTTTTATGAAAATTTAGAAAGAAATAAATATTAATTAACAAATTTTGTAATTGAAATTTAAAACGTCTTAAAATTGTTTAAAGTTTCAGGGTTGTCACATGTCTGCGAGAATTTTATGAAAAGTAATGGAAAAATATCAAATTTTTAAAAAATTCTACTAAAATTATAATTTTTCAAAATTTACAATTCAAACTGTTGCTTCTAAAAATTATTGTCTTAATTTTTTTTATAATTGAATACCTCTTGCAATGTTTTCATTAAAGTCAGGGAAAAGATTAAAATTCTAATTGGAAATCAGGGAAAAATAAAATAAAATTTTTGTGACAATCCTGCAGTTTCTAAATTTTTTAAACTAAAAATAATTTTTTACACTTTAAAGATAATAATTTTCTGAAAACTGTTGAAAACGAAAAAAAAAATTATGGCTAAACAAAGAAATTAATTTTTTCAGTTACAAATTTAAAAAATGTCCTACTTTCCATGTTTTTCTGAAGTTGTTAATTTATTCGTAAATAATTAATGGTTTTTTTAAAATGTTCTTTAACATTTTTCTAATTAAATTTGTTATATATTCTGAATTTTTTTTTTATTTATATAGAACTTGAAAATTACATTTAAAATTTCTCTGATAATTTTTTTGAAATTTGACCTTAAAAATCTATTCTTTTGAGTTCTACGATTCAAAGTTAAAATGTTCATAAATTCGGTAAAAATAAATAAAAATGTCTTTGTTTTTTTTTATAAATAATAACATACAATTTCAGCTAAAGTTAAATTTCTAACTTAAAGCTAGTCGGCCTGCACAATTTGGAATAATTATAATAATATGATAAAAAAAATTTGTATATTATAATTACTTTGATTCATACAATTATATTATTTTGTATAATATTTTAATGGCAAAACTAATGTGCAATTTTTCTGATTTATTTTCAGGATTGCAAATTTAAATTAGTTACTGGAATTTTAGACATTTACTACTAAGATGGCTACGTTGGGAGTCAATTATTCTTAAATGCAGCCATTTAATTACAAATTAATAGAATATTTTTTTTTGTGACAGTTATGAAATTATCATGTATTAAATGAAAAGTGAAATAAATTTTAGTTGAAATAAACTTTTATCTAATTTATTCAGTTCCTATATTTTGATTTTATTTAATGTCAAAAATTTGAATTATCTGGAAAAAAGACAAAATATTTTCTTGAAATTAGGGAAAAAATAAATTAAATTTTTGTAGCAACACTGCTTTTAAAAAGTCGTGTTTTCAAAAAATTATATTTTTTAAAAGGTAAAAGAAACTTTAGATAAAATGTCAATTGAATATTCGTCAATAGGATAAAAAATGAATTTTGAAGCTTAGAATATAGAAAATTGAATGTAAAAAATATATTTAATTTAGAAAAAAAAATGTTATAAATAAGACATTAAAAATTTTAATGTGGACAAATTTTTTATTTAAATAATTGATAATAATAAATTTGTAAAATTAACAAATCAAAGAAAAATTAATTTGAAATCGTTTTTAAATAAACAAATTTTTTTTGTTTGATTTTACAATTCTAGAGAATTAATATATACAATCTAATTGAGAAAAATTTGATTTTTAGACGATCTTACAGCACCGTTAGTTCAAAAGATTCTTTAAAATCAGCAGACACAAAAAATAGATTAACAGTAACAAAACCTGTGGATAATCAAAATAATATTAAACAACCTTCTTCAATGAAAAATTTTATTGCATCAGCTGCAGGAGTTGCTGCAGGTTCTGCAGTAGTAAGTTATTTCATTTTTCAATAAAAATAAAAACTGCATATCAAATTCATCAAGATTTTTATTTTCATAAAATATATATATATATATAGTTTTTATATATTAAATTAATCACAGGATCTTTATCAGAATCGGGTGAAATCGTTCATTAATTATTTATACAATACAGAAATTTTTCACAAATGCATATTATTATACAATATTTATTTCATTAAAACTTGAAACATTAAAAAAATTATCTTTTCAAATTATATGGTATTTAAACACTTACCAAAAATTAATTTTCAAAATTAGGGACATGCAGTTGGAAATACTATGTCAAAAGCAATAAATTCTCCACAAGCAATTGAATCGACATCATCTAGAGGTGGTATAGGAATATGTTCTACTGAAGTTCTTCAATTTTTTCAATGCGCCTCTCAAAACTCAAATCTAGACACATGCAAAGCTTTTCACAATATGATGCTGGAATGTCATCATCGTCATCAGTTTCATAATTAAATTAACTGCAAAAATAAAATTGCAGAAAAAAAAAGAAAAGAAAAAAGAAGACATTAAATGATTTATGAACATATTTATTAACTTAACAAGGTTTTATAGGAGATGGGATTTGAATAAAATGAACGAGTGTTTCTTAAATCGAGAATGGTAGACTATCTTTTATCTGTATTAAGAACACGCATCACCATAAAGCCAGCGACAGTAGCCATAGCAATTCCAATTCCTGCTTTCCACCAGACGACAGATTCACCCTGAATCAATCCGAAATGTTTCATGTGTCTGGAAATTTCGAGAAAATCATTCATTAATATTCACAATTTGATAAATAAATTTGAAGAAAAAAAAAAACAACAAAACATTGAACTGATTAGGCATTAATATTTTCATTGTTTCAGTGAAATCATTATAAAGATTAATTAAAATAATCAATTTAATGAAAAATTTGAAGAAAAAAAATTCGTACCATGAAAGTGCAAAACAACAATTGTTGAAAGACGGGGCATGATTATCTCGCAAATTACATTTTTAATCAATGTATGAATAATTTTCATAAATCAGACTTCAAATAATTAAAAAAAAAAAAAACTAAAAATTTTTAAAAATTCTTGGTTTTTTAAACGAAATTTATAAAATTTATTTAGATAACATCTCATAACAATAATTAAATTAATTTAATTTATATGAAATATGAATTTTGAAATTATGAAAATAGTATAAAATAATTTTGTTAGATGAAAAATTTTAAATTGTAGAAGAATTTAAATTTTAAAAGGATCATGAGTTAAATTTTAAGCAATTAAAATTTTCGTCCTTTAGGAGCGACAATTTCTTTTTTTTTTACACTTTAGAATCTAAAAACCATATTTTATTATGAAAAATTGAAGAAATATAATTTTCAACCATTTTAGATTTTTTTTTACAAATCTTTTTAGAAAATTAATTTTTTGAAATAATAGAAATTTTTCAAAATCTATACAATTTGATTTGTTCAGAATTATGAAAAAAAAACTTTTTTTAAATCAGCGACGAAAAATAAAAAAAATTATGAGAAAAGTTCGAATTTTAAATTTCTCTATACTTAAAATATTTATTAACTTTTCAAATTTTATTCATAATTTGCAATTACTTTAAAATAATTTTAAATTCTCAATAACGTAAATTTCGATGGTTTAAAATTTCACCAGATTATAAAAATCAAATTGTAGAAATAATTTTTATAAAAAATACAAATTTTCAAAAATTTTATGATGCAAATATTTAACAGTAATACAGTAAGAATATAAATTTGAATAACATTTTTCTTCCATCAATATTTTTCGAAATAATCAATAATTTTTCGCCTGTGATAAATTTTTAATAAATTTTTGAAATTATAATTTCGAAAAATCGAAAGTTATGATACAAAATTGCCAAAAAAATACTTATTGGAATATTTAGCTTAATTTACGGTTACTTTATATCTGTTTTGAATTTTTGGTTAAATTTTTTTTTTTAATTTTTCCTTCAATTTAGATCACAAAAACTGCGCAATGCAGTAAAAGTTAATAAATTTTTATATAAAAATACAAGAGCGTTGCTGTAAAATTTTTTCTCAAACAATTTTTTTCAGGTACGTTCTTTGACTTTTTATTGAAATAAAAAGGTATTTTTAGAACTAAAAAAGTATTTTGAAAATTTTAGGTAAAAATTTGATTATTTTAACACAATTTTTGTGGTAATAATAAATTAAAAGTTTTTTTTTTATTTTTCTTCTAAATTTGACACAATGTATAACAAACTGATTATTTTTTAATTTAAATTTATTTGTCTTTTACAGTAGTCATAATTAAGAAAATTATATGAAATTTTTTTACAAAAGTGAGAAAAAACCGTGAAAAAGTCTTGAATTTAATTTTCAAAAATTATTAACCATTTTTTAAATGATTACAATATATTCATTCAATAATTATTATAAGGAAAACTAATAATTTTGTTGGGAAATAATCATGCGCCCTAAAAATTGTGAAATAGATGAAAAATATCAAGCTGTTTATTCTGTGTTGATTTGTAAAAGCGAAAAAATAAAGCCAATTAAAAAATAAAAAAATGTAAGGTTTTTAATAAAATGAATATTCACATGCGCATGCTAATTTTTTTCAATTTTTGATAAAATAAACGCGATAGTTTAGTGTTGATTTTTTTTTTTTTAAGGTATTTTGAATGTCGAGCACACACCGAAATAAAAGGGTTATGAAAAAAATTATAGAACGAAAAAACCTTGTGAGCGAATTCCACCATTGACTTGGTGAGGGTTTCAGAAGTAACATGTGGACCATACGTCGCAAAGGACTGAAAATAGGCAATAGGAGAATTTTGTTACGAAAATGAGCTCTTGTGCTTAAATATTTTTACAAATCGAGCGCCCGAAATGGGTAATTGAGTATTCATCGTCGAGAATGCTTTGCGCATAACATGCATCTAGATGATTATTTTTTGATTCGTGTTCCCTTGCAAAAAAAAAAAAAAATCTTCCTTTTTTTTCGGAAAATTTTATGCAAAGCGAACTTAAAATTCAAGATTAGTATAAAAATTGAATAAAATTAAAAATAGTAACAATTTTTACAGTTATATATTATAAAAGTTTTTTTTTTCTTTTGATATCTTATGAAACAAATTCAATTTTTATACTTTTTAATTCTCGAACTTTTTACAAATAATTTAGAGTTTTTTTTTTTTTATGAATAATACAACCAACCTGTGTTTGTAAAATAATACCCACGCTGCTTGAAAGCGGCTAAACACGGAAATATTGCTTTTTGTTAGATTCAGAGAAAGTTTCGATATCCCAGTTTAGAATAATTTAAAAATTCAAAAATATGTATAAATAAATATATATATATATATAAAAAAGTGAAAGAAATAGAAAAAAGTTTTTCTTCGGGTCAGACCATTATATATTTTTTAAAATCTACTAGAAGTACTAAAAAACTGAAAATAGTTTTTTAAATTACAAAAAGCATCACTTTTGTATAAACAAGAAAAAGATCCTTATTTATCAGAGGGTGAAAAAAAATTTCAAAAAAAAAACAATCACTTTGATTTTGAATAAAGTCACTTTTTAGACATAATTTCAATTTTCTCAATTATTCCGTTGTAGTTACGTTATTTTTTACTACATATTTAAAAAAAAATATTGAAGAAAAATCGAAAAAATTTCATAAATATTTTTTTTCTGTTTGTATGACGGAGAAAAAAGGATTTTGAATTAAAATTTCACGTGGATTGCCTCTTATATGAAATTTTATTAAATAATTCTCAATGATGAATTATTACGAATTATAAAATTTTTCTAAAAATAGTCAACAAACGACTTTAGGTGAAATATAAAATACATTAATCCATCAAATTTTTCTTAAAATTAGAATCCAACGATTTTTTTTTCTCGAAATATAGTGGTCTGATCCTTTGTCTTTAGTTTTTAAAGTTGACAAAAAAAAAATCTACCCTTTTGATTGCAAGCATTCAAAAAAATTTTGTTCTTGTAGCATATCATTTATACATTCCTGAATTGTATAGATTTAAGGGAATTTTTTTTCTTTTGTTTTTAGAAAATAGAGAGGAGAAAAAAGGGTAACTTACGGAAATGCCGCCATTGTAGCAAGTTTGACGAATATTTCTCGACGCACTGTTCGAGATATACTGTAGGGCTGTGGAGGCATTAATTTATATTTGTTGCAAAAACTCGATGGTTGAAGTAGATATTCTTGTTTTACTTCAGCAAGATCACTTTTGTTGGCTATTATGAGAACAGGAATTTTACTTTCTGCAAAATATTTCTGTAAGAAATTGAATTGTATTAATAATTATAAAATAAAAAAAAGCCAAGAATATTATTAAATGTTGCAAAATTTACCATCAGTAAAGTAATATTTGTTTTTTGTCAATAATAATTATTATTAGTAATTATTTTTTGTTAAAAAAAAAAAAAAATTCGAAACTTACAATATATATTCTGGCGATGTATTCAAAGGATTTTGGATTACTGGTATCGTAAACCAAAGCTGCTACATCGCATTGAATTTGTGAAGGGGATAAGGCATCTTGAACGTTCAGAATGTTAATATCCCTCAGGATTATTGTCTTTTCTTGACCGTAAACATGCACCGTGTTTACGGTAACATGAGAATTCTGAGGTACTTTATCATCTGTCAATTTCTGAAATTAATAAATATCGTCAATATTGATGTTCAATTTAATTAATTTACATAAAAATTTTATCATCTTTTCTTTTATCAATTTTTTACCCATTAAATTATATATAAAATTCCAAATATAATCAAGGAAAAAAAAAATCATTTCTAAAATTTGTTCTTACAAATTCTTCCTCAAATTATTTTAAAAAATTCGAGGTTTAAAAAAATTCAAATGAAGTGATAGTTTTTTCAAGATATAACTAAAATTGAAGTTGTTTTTGTGATTTTCAAAATTTAAAAATTGGATTAAATTAAAAGTAATTACCTCCATTTTAGGATCGACAAATGTCCTGCAAAGTGTTGTTTTTCCACTGCTTTTTGGACCGATCACATGACAACTGTACACATTACGACTGGATTGTTTTTTAGCGAGATCCAATTTTTTCTCTCTTGTAACGGTAACAGCGCTTATTGGAGATTCATTATTATACAAATTGTAACCGAGATAAGCCATATATTCTAAAGTTTTCTTAACATTAGTATAAGTTAATAAAGCCCATTGACACATATAACCTTGAAAAGTAATCCATCCCTGTAAATAAAATTTACTCATTAAAAGTTTCAATTATGAAAAAAATGTCAAGATTTCTTTCTTTCTTTCTTTTTTTTTTTTTTTAAAACTATTTATTAAAAATTTTGAATAAATTTACCTGCTCATTTGTGCATACTGTATGTTTATACTCGTCTTCCCAAGGTGGAGCAATACATTTTGAAAATAATGATTCCATTTCCTCGGGAGACAGAGCTCCGTCATGATCACGATCATGCATTGTGAACAGTAAAGTCAGAAATTCTTGACCCTTGTGCGATAGCTCTGTTGTACATCCTAAGGGAACTTTTAGCCTGATTTGAAAAACAAAATTATAAAATTTCAATTACAATAAATAATTTAAATAAAATAAAAATTTTTTACTTCTATAGTACAATTTAATAAAAATCATTAAAAATTCAATTTTATCCAAAATTTTAATTCAAGTTTTACAGAAATTTAATTTTTTAGAATATTAAATAAATTCTTTGAAAAATGAATTATTTAAAATCTATTAAAATTAAAATAACATCAATATTTTCAATTCTAACTCTTCAAAAATTAAATTATTTCTATATCTAAATAATAATAATAATGTTATTTACACCAAAATTTTAAATAGAACTCAACTCAAATTTTGTCATTTTCAGAAATTTTAATCAACTTTTTCGATAATTATAATAATAATTTAATTATTTAAACAAATTTCAAATTTATATTTAAAAACTTACAAATTAAATTACAATTCAATTTACAAATTAAAAATATTACATTTAGCATATTAATTTTAATTTGTAGAGAATTTATTTAATTTCAAAAAATTAATTTTTATTCAAAACTTTGACTGCAGCTCTTGGAAATATTTTCAAGAATCTAAATTAATTTTTTCTTTTTTAGTAATTCGTACAAAATTCTTCATATTATCAATTATTTTAAAAAATTTACTAAAATTTAATTATTTAAAAATATTTTAACTAAAATTCATCGATAAATTATTATTCTTTTGGGAGTCAAAATTTATTTATTTTAGTATAATATTATTAAAAATTGAATATTATGAATTTGATTAAATTTTGGCAACAAACAATTTTTATATATTCACATTTAATTTCTTAGATTTGAATTTTTCTAGTACATGGTAATATGAAGGTATTCAAAGGTCATCCTAATTTACTAAATCTTAAATATTAATAATCAGAATATTTTCTTTAATGTTAATAAATAAAATTTAAGACATGAAGTAAAAAAATGTTTTATGTTTTCCAAAAAAGGGGATTCTAAATCTAAATTTTCCGTTCTAGTTTGAATATAAAAAAAAAAGAAATTGTTAATAAAATATACATACGGTGGATGAACATAATCTTTCGACATTTGTAGATCATTGTCGTAACCAAATTTCCTAAGAACCGCCCATGTTGTTTCGTTTCGTCCACGTTGAATAAATAAACATTGTAAATACATAAATCCTTTTAAAGTAACGCATCCATTGTAAATGCCATCGTTTATATTTTTTGATAAGACAGCTTTCACATCTTCAAGCACTTGTGGTTGTAGAGGTGTATTAAAGCACCATTGTTGAAATGCATTCAGCTCCATATCACATAATAGACCATCGTTGTCCAAATCGCAAATCTTTAACAATAACAAAAAGGTCAAGTCAAGGAATAATTTATTTTCTTTACGCTTAATAATAAAAGCAAGTACAATACTTACTTTAAATATTCTCTTTAATGCAGTCTGGCATTCTTCTGTGAGCTGTAAATTAAATTTTTTTTTATTCATTCATTCATAAAATCCAAATTATGTAACATTAAATGGTAAAATTATTTCTTTATTAAAAAAAATTGTTTTTATCGATATTTATGTGTTTGGCAAACGTATTTATTTTAAGTTATCTTTAAAAAAAGTATATTTGTTTTAATAAAACAAGTTGTACAAACCTCTTGCGCATCATAATTATACAAAGGAGTTGTAGGGTGCAATACCGCTTTTTGTGCATAATAGAACATTTCTGATATATTTTGTAACGTCTTTGCCGAACACTGTAACACAAATAATGCATTATAGAAGCAAAATTTTTTATTCATTTTATAAAAATTTAATATTAATAATAATAATAATAATAATAATAATAATAATAATAATAATAATAATAGGTCAAGCCATTATATTTCACTATAAGTGGTCTATTTTTAGAAAAATCTGATATCTATAGTAATGATTTTCGATATTCGTACAATGTATTTTTGACAATTGTTTTATAATATAACCACGAAATTATCACTTGGCGATATTTTAATAATTAAAATGACATTTTATCGATCACTTTGAGTCAAATTATTTTATATATTTTTTTTTTTTTTCATTTATCTTGAAATTTTTATTTTTATTTTGAGATACACGAAAAAAAGTTATTTTTCATAGCTGTGGAGATTTAATAATAAAAAGCAAAGAAATAGTAAAGATAAATATCTTCATTAGTAATTATTCAAAATAGTCTAATTTACATGCCTCGTATCGACTATAAGGAATAAAAGAAGTCGTTTTAGTCGATTTATATCCAAAGAAAAGTCAATTTTTCATTTTTAGTGAATATTTTAAGTAACTATTGTTATTAGTTATTAAATTAATTTTTTATTAATTCCTTAATAAAAATAATTTTATAGGAATATTATTGACAAAATATATTTCGATTATTTCAGAAGTGAAATAAGACAAATTTTCAAGATTCTAATTCTTTTCTTTTCAATTTCTGACAATAATTTAAATTTTGAAATTTTTTATTAGAAGCTGTTTTTTAAATAATTAAATTTTAAAGAAATTAATAAAAAAAATTGAATTTTAAAATAGATACAGTTAAAATTTTTAGAAATAATTGAATTTCAAAATGATTTCAATTTTTCGAAAATTTTAATTTTTCAATATTTTTTTTAAATTCAAAACAATAATTAAATTTTTCAGAATTTTGAATTAAAAATATTTTAAATAATTCAATTTTCGAAGAATTTGCTGAAAATTATTGGTAGATAATTATAATTTAAGAATAAATTTAAGATAACATTTTTTTTTTTTAAATAATTGAATCTTGAAAGAGTTGTAATCGAAATTTTTAGAAATAATTAAATTTCCGTAAGTTTTGTATTGAAAATTTTAGAAGTAAATGAACTTTAAAAGATGTGAAATTGAAATTTATCAAAATTTTAATTGCTGGATTTTTTTTTCAATTTCTGTGAATAATTAAATTGTACAGAATTTTTAATTAAAAAATGTTTTTGTTTTGTTTTTTTTGTTTAGAAATGTCAAAGAAGTTTTGAATGTTTTAAAATATTTAACTAAAAAATATTCTCAGATAATTGAATTTTTGAATATTTAATATATATTTAAATTATATTTTTCTAGAATTGTAAATATTTTTTTAATTAAAAATTTTACATTTAGTGTAAATTAGACGATTTTAAATAATTATCTATGAAGAAATTTATATTTTACTAATTATTTTATATTCTGTGCTTTTCATCATTAAATTTTCATATATATGTAAAAATAACTTTTTTTCGTGCATCTCCGAATTAATTTAAATTCCAAGGTAAGTAAATATAGAAAATTTTATATAATTACTGTAAAAATGTATTCTTATTATTCTTTTTCTAAAAATAGACCATAATGACATTAGATGAAGTATAATGGGTTGACCCTAATGTAATTTAATATTTAATAATTTCAGTTCTGCTAGTCATTGAATAAAATATCAATTTAACGTTTCGATTACGATTTCGGTGACTTAAGAAATGAATTTAGAAAAAAAAAAACAATAATCATAATTGTCTAACAAATGGTTTACAAAAAAAAAAATGTTTAACAAACCTCTATACAACTTTCGATTTCCGAAAACTCTTTCATAATCGGATAAACAGCCTGAAAAATAAAAAAAAAATTCAAGGTATTGTTAAGAGAAAATATCAAAAATAAATATAATATAAAATTTAATTGAGCTGAAGTTTACAACGTTAATCCTGACAATTTTCGAAACTAGAAAATTTTTGAGAATTTTTTCTATCGTTTTTGTTAATTTCAGCTTAATTAAAATTAAAAATATTCTATAAATAAATAATAATTCACCTCGATTGTTGAATAATCAACGAGATCAATTTTATTTCCTACAAGCACTACCGGACAACGACTTGTAGTAGAGCATTTTCTGATAAGTGGCAGCCAATAAGAGGATGCTCTGTCTAAAGTATCTTCATCTTCGACAGAGTAAACAACGCATATCACGTGCGCTTTTTGAATTTCTTCACATAATTGGTCCTCCGTTTGCTCCACGGCTATTAAAAATAAATAAAATATATAGTAATTAATTTCACATTTAAGATAAATAAAAATATAAGTAAAAAAATAAACGAAAAAAAATATTAAAACAATTTACCAGAGTAGTCGACGATACGGGTCGGCACTTGCTCTGGTGTGACATCAGCAGGTATTGTGATTTCTTCTGCTTTTCCAGGAACATCTTCAGCGTACTCATCACTTACAAGAGATAATATTAAGGAAGTTTTACCTGCACAAAATTATTTTTTAAAAATTATAATCACATGAGCATGAAGTTCTGCACGTACAAATGAACGAAAAATTTGTTTACTTTTTTTTTTTTAATTTCAAATTTCATTGTCAAATATTGCTTTCTTTACCCAAAAATAAAACGATGCTGAAGTAAGCGTCGTTTATCGATTAGAAATCAATTTTTATTTAACACGGAAAATTATAAAATTATTTACCAAAAAAAAAAAAAAAATGTTATTCATAATTTGTTGATTAATGAAAACTATAAGAAATATTTTTTAGGCAAAAAATTACAGAATTTTTAATTTTAAAAAATTATTTCTGTAAAAATCGTTTATCATAAACGTTGTATACTTCAGTTTCGTAAAATAAATTAAAAATTTATTAAATGTTTAATGTACTTTTTATTTTTCATTGCTGTATAATGTAAGGATTCAAAAATAAATTTTGTTAAAAAAATTTAAAAAATCCAACTTTTTCGATTTAAATATGATTTTTTTTTATTCAAATTAAATTTCTTTTTACTTACGTCACATTTTTCTCAAAAGTTAAAATTTCTAAATTATTTGTTTTTCAATAAATATTCAAACGATAAATTTAATAATAAAAGCGTCAAAGAAATATTTATATTATTTTGATCAAGAAAAAAAAAATTTTTTGAATTAAAAAATTTAATTGTTCAATTAAAATTGTATGAGCCAAAAGTTTTGAACGTTCAAATGAACTCTAAATTTTTTTTGCAACTTCTTTAAGTATGAATTTTATTACAAAATATTGTTTTAAATATCTAAAAAGTAGTTATTAATTTAATAATTGTTTAATTTACTGTTTTATTTTACATTGCCATTATAATTTTTAAAAATTTATAGATTCAAATTGTCGGTAAAGTTCACAACGTTTATATGTAGAAGAAAAAATATTTTTTTATCCAAATTATTAAAATTTTCTATCTTAAATTTTTTTTTTCAAATTTTCTCGATCAACAATTTTTAGGAGAAAAAACTTTGAAGAAAAAAAATTAATTATTATTTTTTTTTGAGTGAAAAATATTTTTTATTTTCAATCGTTGATCATAAACTTCACTCAAATAAGTAATTTTCAAAAATTGTTGATTTCTACAAAGTAAATAATTTTGTAATATTATAATTTAAAAAAATTGAATTACTAGAACTTTCTTTTAGAAAATGGAACCTATATAAAAATTTTGAACTAAAATTAACAAAAAAAAAATTTTTTTTAAATGTTTTTATTTTTGCAAATTTATAATAACTTTGATTTGCCTGAAGTTTTGAATGTTGAAAATGAGTGAAATCATTTTTTTGCTATGTAAATTTTTTAAAAAAAATTTCTATATAGAAATGAAAAATAAAAAATTTAAAATATTTAATAAATTATTAATTTATTTTTGAATACAAAAAATAATTAAGGTAAATGTACACAATTACGGCATGTTAAGGCCCTTCCTGAGAATTTTATTTTTCTTATTTTATCAAGTAACTTAAAGTTTAAGAAAACAATTGTATTGTAAAAATTAATCAATCATTTTCAATTTTTCATTTTATATATCTGTTCAAAAACTAAATTTATATTATTTTTTAACATATTTTAAATCCTTTCAATTGTATGTAATTCCGTTTTAAAAATATTGTCATGTAACTAATTCCGTTCCAACTTGTCCATAATTGCGGCATATTCCAGGTTTTCACACATACTTATATATAAAATATCAATTTGTTTGATAATAATTATTCTTATAAGAATATTAACAACATAATCTTAAAATTAGTTTAAGATTGTGTTTAAAAGGGAATTTTTTACACAGATGTCAAATAAAATAATGTTTATTCAAATGATAATTTTTGTAATATTCAGTCATTATTTTTCTTCTTTGGTTACTCGCTTTGGTCATTAACTTGTTTTGAAATAATATTATAAATCATTAAACATATATACTTTACGGTCATCAAATAATACTAGAGGATTCAGTTTTTTTAAAACATCTTGAGCATCGTAGATGAGGATATCGTCTCTATCAAGCCAGCGCCAGTTTGTCCCACTCATTTGATTAATTTTTAATTGATATTTTTTCACATTTTGCTTGAATTATTTTCGTGACAATACCTAATAATTCTTATAAAAAACGATACTTTTAAAAATTTGCCTCTTGAAATGATAATTAATAAGTTTAAAATTAAAGAATTGTGAACAAACTCTTTTTCCATTTTACTTAAACTTAAATACGGCGTATAGCACGGAATAATGAATGTATGTATAAAATGTTTTGAACCTAATTCCGTTCATATAATTTCTAATAAAATATTTCAAATATGGTTAATAAAATACTAGTACGCAATTACCTCATTTGTTTATTTATAATTCCATTTTTTGTTAAAAAATGTGAACACATTTAATATTCTTATTAGATTCATTAAAATAAGTATAATATAAAACAATGCAATTCCCTATTTACGTGTTTCAAACGGAATAACGTACTTCGTGTGAGAAGAGCGAACATAATTCCGTCTATTTAAAAAAGTATTTTTATATAAAGAAAACTTTTAAAAATAATTCAGCAATAGAAAATATAATTTAAATAGATCATAATTAATCAACAAATTAAAAAATAAATTAAAAAATAAACACACTTCACTTTTAATATCCTTACGAAGATCACCTTCAGTCCTAGCTGTCACTTAAAGTATATTGTATTGCACAAAGCTCAGTCGTCGACTGACAGACAAAAACTTTTATTTTCAATACATAAACAAAATAGATGCAATTAAAACACAGAATATTGATCTAATAAATAGCAAAGTTTGTGTTGCAATTTTTCATTTGTTGAAACATTTTATCAATTTCTTATTTCAATTAGTATAAAGAAATAGCACGTAATAACGTACTAGGCCGTAATTGTGTACGTTTACCTTATTTTAGAATAACATTTTTGAAGTTAAAAAAAAAGTAAATAAATTTTTCATTCATTTGAACAATCAGAAATTTAGATACATTAAACTTTGGAATAATAGTAACTGATAGTAAAATTTCTCAAATTATTCAAATTTGAATTTAATTAAAAAATTTTTAAATTCTTTTAACTAATTATAATAATTATGAAATAATATAAAGATTTTTAAACAAATATTTTAAAAAGTTGTGTTTTCAAAATTTCATATTTTCAAAAGGTAAATAACTTTGAATAAAATGTCAATTAAATATTCGCCAATTGGTTAAAAAATAAATTTTGAACCCTAGAATATACAAAATTAAATGTAAAAAATATAAACTTAAAAAAAATGTTCAAAACATTTTAATGTAGACAAATTTTTGATTTAAATAATTGCAGCCCTGACATGGAAAATAAATTAATATATATATATATATACAGACAATTAAATAATAAAAATAAACAAATTTTGTAATTTGTTTTTTTTTTTTTGCAAATTATTTTTCTCATAAAATTATAAATGTACTATTTGTATGTGTGTATACATTACATAACTTATGTTGTGAACGTAAAATAAAACCGACAAAATTATAAATCACCTTATTGTTACAAGGTTTATTTCATTAGCTGATGGAGGAAAAATTAGAGGGTATTAAAAACCAATACAGTTGATTAGTTAATTTTTTTTTTCAATAAAAATTCATATCTATATAATAAAAAAAAATGTATAATTGTTTCAAAGTTTTTTTTTATGAAATTTTGTATCTCAAATTAATTGTTTTAGAAGCAAGAAAAAAAAATAGATAAAATGTTGAGAAATATATTGTATATATAGGTACTAAATTTTTGAATATATATATATATATTATGTATGCAGAGTCCATTAATGGGCCAATAGCGTATTTTGATGACTAAAACTTGAACTAAATAACATTCAATAATATTGCCCTTGTAATATTTATATATTAAAAAACAAGAGATGCAAAATAGAAAAGTATATACACACACACAATAGATATCATGTAATATATAAGTAGATAATATATAGACAACCTTGATGTACTCACCTACTCCACGATCGCCGACGAGGAGAATTCTAACGTTACGACGAGGAAGTACTTGACGATGTTGCACCATACTTTTTAGTCACTAGGACTTAAGTGCAAACAGTGTTTTTGATCCCGTAGGATCTCAATTTAAAAATGATAACATTTTTCATGCACTTTTAAAAAGTGTTTCACAAAAGCCAAAACACACACACACACACCTAACCTATAATTGTATGTTTTCACTTGAACTTTCTTCCTGGAGGAAGTTTTTTTTTTTTTTTTTATCGGAGAAATTATTAATGTTTATTCTCTATGTTTTTGTCAGCACACACATTATAATGTCAGTGAATTGTCAGAACGTTTCATAAATATATCCTTTTAGCGCGCACCAGTTGTGCAAAAAAGCAAAACGAGAAAAAACAACCTTTTTACACCCACGACGAACGCTGTCGGGGGGCGCTTCATCGAATTCAGCAGCAGAAGCAGCTGGGGGAACTTGGGAGGAGGGCTTTGGGGTGGCCTTTTCAAGGTTACGTCCAGCACACGATCGTTGTGTCAGAATATAAACACGTGGTCAATATATAATAAACTCTTAAATCCACCTCCTCTGATATAGAAGAGGATCAATTTGATCTCAATGATAAGAGCGATAAGATTAAATTTTATCAACACTTGCCGCAGAGTTTGTTTTGAGGTTAGGTTTTTACCGGAGATGTACAAATAATAATGAAACAAATTTCGATTTTCTTTTTTTTTTTTTATTTCAGAATTTGAAATTTAATAAACAGTACAATGTAATTTTTAAATTGTTTCATTTTTAAAATTGGCTATTGATCGGAAAAATGGAACTAAATGTTTATTTAGCGTATTTTATGAATAAGAAAGTATGAAGTAAGCTGTAAAGAGATATAAATAATCTTCTTTTAATTCGTTGATGATTGATTTCTCTATTACCTCAATTGTCTCGATCAATTTATTAACATATTTAATGACAAGAATTTTATTAAAAAATATATGTTACATTTATATTTGTTGATTGTAAGTATTTTTATTTTTTAATATTTGAATTTTCAGAGCGCCTGTAGAATACCGCCCTTCATACAGGTGTAAAAGCCGGATAGTCTAATCTTTTAAATGAAATACAAATATATTTATTAAATTAAATTAAATAATGAAATAAATAAAAAAAAAGACAATAATAATAGGAAAAATACGTAAAAACAATATAAATTTTATGAAAAATTGAAAAAAACCATATATTTCTAAAAAATAAATCATAATTTGATTATTAAATAGAAAAAAAGTTATAATGAATAATATTAAAAATTAAAATTACAATAAATATTAAATTAACAACAACGTATGAAAATATGAAAAAATCATATAAATTATCATTTTTAAAACAATAATTATTAATAAATTTAATATCTATAAATTTATTAATAAAAAATTTTATAACCTACGAAGGTGTAAAAATAAATTGTAAAAAAATAATACTAAAGAAAAATAATAAAATTTTAATAAAAAAATATTTTTTTGATTTATGAATACCATTAAAAAAAAATTATTTTATATTATTATTATTATTATTATTTTATTTTTTTAAAATACAATGTATTTTTAATAATGATTAAATAAAATTTATCAGTAGCCATAACAGTGTGTTTTTAGCATTTATTCTTACTTTGTATATAACTCGTAAAAGTAAGATTAATTATTGTTTCAATCCTTATTTGATAACACACATTTGATTATAAGTGCGTGAATTTTTTAAGTGTACGCATATAAGTAAATATATATCTTTTTTACATAGATATATACATACATTTACTAATTGATTCAAATTTATAAATATGCAATTAAAATTATAATTATAATTGTAACCAGCATTTAATTATAATGATGGTAATTTTTTTCAAATACAATTTTTTTAAATAAATGAATGAATTTTAAATTAAATTATGCTTACAAATTTTATTTGTTATTTTTCAATTATTTATAATTATTTATTATTTTAATTTATTATTATTTATTTTAGTTATTTATTTATTTATATATTTATATGTTTTACGAGCTTACAAAAAGAAAAAATTTATAATAAAAAGAAGAAATTATTTTTTTTTTCAATAAATATAATTGTTATTAAATATTTATTATTGTAATATAGAAAATTTGAATTTTTCTCTTTGCATATATTATAAATATTTATAAATAAATTAATAAATAAATTTTGTTTATTAGTTATGAATTTAAAATATTACATCATCAACAGACTCACTGAAATGACTTAATAAACATGATACAAAAATATTCCAAATCATTTTGAGCTTTTAAATTAAAACATTATCCAAAAGATAAATTTTTTATTAATTAAACAAATACAAATGTAATTTTTTTTTTTTGATAAATGTAATACATTTATACATTTACAATATAATTGTTTATATTGACAATATTATAATTCTTTAATTATATCTGGAGATTAAATCCTTTCTGTTATTATTAACATTGCTGTTATTACTTATTATTATTATTAAAATTATTACTATTGTTATTATTTTCACTTATTTATACTCGTTAAAAAATGGTTAGAATTTATACAAAATCATAAAATTAGATTTTAATTCAGTTTCATTTCTGTTATAATTGTAATTTATTAATTAAAAATGAAGAAAATTAACTTTAAATACAAGAAAATTTATTTATAATTAATTATTTATATTTATCGCTGATTCAAATTATTAATTTTCATTTATATACTTAAAAAGTGATTCTTCACGAATTCAACGTTACAAAAAATTCAATTTCGATTAAAATTGCACTTACCTGTGTATTTTTTTTCACGGTTATTAATTCCTATAATCAGAAAAAAAAAATTTCAGACTCTACATTAAGAAAAATGATTCAAATAATCGGTTACTTAATTATTTTCAAATTTTAATAATAAATAAATAAAATAAAAGTATAAAAAAAATGAAAAATTTTTTTTCATTCAAAAAAATTATTAATTATTATTTCAATTATTATACATATATAGTTTATTCAAAAAATATTTGTTTCAAATAAATATTTATTTGATAATAATCAAGTAATCGTTTATTTTGAATAAAATAATTTTTTTTTTCAATATACTATTGTAAATATTTTAAATTTAATGAGAATTTTTTTTTTGAATCAAAAAAATTGCGCGTGCATAAGGATGAAATATAAAATAGAAATGAAAATACCATAAATCAATTTCATCAGGACGAAAAGTCTTGACTGATGATGATTCAATACCTCAAAAAATTACAAATACACGCATCCCTCTTACCCTCATAATAACACGTAACCTTCGATCACCAATCAGCAACAATTATGAGATGATGATAGGTCACCAGGTCGGTAGCTTTGCGATAGCTACTGAGTATAAAAGAACAAACTGTAGCAACGGTAAGCATAAACGATCATTGCTTCACAATGATCTTCAGTGCAGTGTTTTTAGCCCTTGTGGCTCTTGGAGCCGCTGTTCCAATACCAACAACTCAACAACCTGGTAAAAAAAATTTTTTTTCTATAAACTTTTGATATAAACAATTTAAATTAAATTCTAAATTTACAAAATTATAAATAGTTTTCAGTTTCAAATTTTTAATTGTCTATATGTATTTCTAGTAGGAATTACACAAATAAAAAATTATATTACAAACGTAAATGTAAGATAATGAGTTAGAGAAGGATATCATATATATCTTTTTCCTTCTCTAGCTCATTCTTAGGGTACGGTCACACTTCAACGAAATCTAGTGAATGTTTAGTGATGTCTAGTAATTTTCTAAACATTTTGGTAGTATCACTGAATTTCATTGGTTCTGACAAATATTACATTTTAACCTGTGAAAATTGAATTTTGTTAGAGCCAATCAAATTCAGTGATTCTCCCGTGAAAATTCTAGCCGCAGCCGATTGCTTGACAAAAATACTGGAGGTATAAAAGCACCTTTATACTAAACATTCACGAGATTTCGTTGAAGTGTGACCGGCCAAATGTTCCAACCCGATTGCTTTTCGTTTAAGGTTCTTCTGCAATAACTTGCACCTTTAAAAAGGTTGATTTCCATTGTCCCCACTCACCAAAATCCCCACTGGTCATTTATTATAATTCTCATCAACTACCGCACCCTGCTCTAGTGAAAATTTAGTGACTTTATTGTTAAAATTAAAATTTACTATAAAGTTACTAAATTTTCACTAGAGCAGGGTGCGGTAGTTGACGATAGCTATGACAAATGACGAGTGGGGACAATGGAAACCAACCCTTTAAAAAGGTTCAAGTTCATCACTGAATTTGATTAGCTCCAATAGTATTACATTTTCACGGTGGAAATGGAATATTTGTGATAGTCGCAATCAAATTCAGTGATTCTCTGTGAAAATGCATCGCTCGCCAAAAACGAAAAAAGTATGTAGGGTACAACGGTCACACGACTTTTGGAAAAAGCATTCTTGTCTTTCTCTCTCCTATTACAGACAATCTTATGCCTCTGTCTTAGGGGAGAGAAAGACAAGAATGGTTTTTCCAAAAGTTGTGTGACCGTACCTTTAAAAATATATTGGAAAAATACCAATATCCCCACTAAAGGCTCTGTCACATGGAGCAGATTAGCAGAATAGATTTTAACCAATCAAAATTTAGTCTCTTGGGGCAAGGTAATATTTGCCGAAAGAGACTCCATTTTGATTGGTTGAAATATATTCTGCTAATCTGCTCCATGAGACAGAGTCCTAACCAAAGTTCCCATTTGCTATTTATCATAATTCTCAATCAACAACTGCACCCTGCTCTAGTGAAAATTTAGTGACATTCTAGTTAAAATTAAAAGTTACTATAAAGTCACTAAATTTTCACTAGAGCAGGGTGCGGCAGTTAACCGAGAATCAAAATTAAGTTCCTAGCGGAAAACGTTACTTATCGCTAGAAACTGCTTTTGATTTTGGGATATACTTTATTAGAAATACTGTTTTTTGCAGCCAATCAGAATGTACTACAAAAACAAAATGAAGTAATTCACCTTCTGGAGAATATAATGGGAGAAATCCCCCTTGAACATTTGAGAACCATTGGTCACACTTATGATATCGAAGGAAATCTTCAATCTTATGAAAATCCCAATTTGGTGAAATATCTTGCAATGGCTGTGAGGACAAATAATGTTCAGCCAAAGGGAACTGTCTTTTCAACAACCGTCAGTGAACTTCGTCAAGAAGCTGTTCTCCTAATGAGGATCTTGATTGGTGCTCGTGATTGGCAAACATTCATCAACACTGCCGCATGGGCTCGTGTTCACTTAAATGAAGCACAATTCATCACTGTTAGTACTTTTAACTCTCTCATTAAAGAATTTAATTTTCTTTATTTCAAAATATTTATAAAGAATTAATAATTAAAATTTATAATCATTTTAATTAGGCTTTCGTAGCAGCCATTGTTCAACGTCCAGACACACAGGGTGTTAATCTGCCACCTGTGTATGAAATTTTACCTCAATATTTCTTTGACACACGAGTGATTCAAGAAGTGCAAAACATCAAATCCAAAGGAACTAGACAAGTTGAGGGTAAAACGATCGTTATACCAATCAATTACACTTCTCATTTGCCTGCTGGCGAACATCGCATTGCATACTTCACTGAAGACATTGGTCTCAACTACTACTATACTTTCGTGCAACTTATTGGATCTATGATTCAAGGACAAAAGCAAAAGGAAACAACAGTCAATCAACAACCAACTGGTCATGGAGCACAGTGGCTTTATGTTCAACAACAACTTTTGGCCCGCTACAATCTTGAACGTCATGGCAATAATCTTGGTCCCATTCCTGAATTAGATTTACAACGTGTTAATATTCCATTCAAATCTCACATGAGTTTTATAAACGGTCTCGAATTACCCGGTCGTTCTGAGGGTCCTTTGAATTTAGCTACAATTCGTCCAAGACTCTACAATTTGGTTCGCACTTTGGAAAGAAGATTAATAAGCGCCATTGACGCTGGACATGTTATAACACCAAGTGGTGCATTCTTGTCACTTTATCAGCCACAGGGTTTGAATATTCTTGGTAATTTGATTGAAGGTTCTGGACGAAGTGTTAATCCTCGTTACTATGGCAGTTTACTTCAGGCATCAAAGGTTCTTCTCGCAGGAACTCCTGAGTTTGACAATATTTGGGAATACACACCAGAGGCACTTGAACTTTCAACTGTTGCCACACGTGATCCAGCACTCTATGTTCTTTTGAGAGAAATCACAAGACTTATTCACAGATATCAAGAATCTCTTCCTGCACATCAATGGAATGATATTGTTTTGCCAGGTGTTCAGATTGAAAAAGTTGGCGTCAGTCAACTTATGACATATTTCGAGGACTATTTGGTGAATCTTAATAATGCTGGAATACAGGGTATGCAAGAGACTTTGGTTAAATCTCAACAGAAACAGAAGGAACAAGAGACAGTCAAACAAACTGGTTTGAATATCAAGGGTCTGCTCAAGAGGCTCAATCATATGCCATATGAAATTGAAATTGTTGCTCAGAGTCAGCAGAATATTCCCAATGCTATTGTTCGTGTATTCATTGGACCTAAATTCACTCATGAAGGTCTACCAATTGACATTAATGCTAATCGTGCTGATTTTGTCGAATTAGATCAATGGGTCGTTGATCGTAAGTTAATTTCTTGTTTTATAATTATTCAGAATCTTACTGAGTAAATATTTATTAATTATTTCTGTATAGTTACTGCTGGACAAAACGTTATTACAAGAAAGTCTCGTCACTCTTCTATTCAGAGTTTGGATCATCCATCAGTCGATGAAATGAAGCGAAAGGTTGAAGAAGGTTTACAATCCCAGCAGCCGTTGTACCCCATTAAGGTATAACTTCTTTCCTCTTTTCTAAATATTTTCAATTAAAAATATATTAATCCAACTTATTAATTTTTTTTTCAGCCTCAGCAACTTCTGACTTTCCCAGCTAGGCTCTCACTGCCAAAGGGTACCTACGGAGGTAATCAATTACAACTTTTGGTTGTTATTACCGCTGGACAGAAGCCACTTCACTATGGACCAGTTACTCCTAATACTGTCAACTCCTTCCATAGCAATCAATGGCAGGCTGTGAATGTCGATCAGTACGAACAATTGATTGAACAACCAACAAAAGATCAAAGAATAGTGGACGTTATTCCTGATTGGACAACATTAGGAGCTGGTATCAATCAAGGTAAGTTTTTGGATTTAAATTTTGTTTTACTACACGAAGATAGGTGTAACCTAAATCAAATTTTTTAATTATATTGAGATGTCCGCTTAGGGGCGTGGATTAGCATTTTAGGATGCAGTCATTTGGAGCAGATTAGCGAAGTAGGCGTCGATCAATCAAATTCATTCTCTTGCGGGAAAGTTATATTTGCCGTGGGTAGACTAAATTTTGATTTATTGAAGTCTACTATGCTAATCTGACCCTTGTGACTGAATCCTTATCGTACGTTCAGTAATACCATTTTTCGCCACTGTGTCTAAAAGTTACTCTGATTGGTGGAGACTGGATACAAAGCTTATGGGTTGGTTTACATTGTCTCCAATTGCCATTTGTCATAATTCTCGTTAACTACCGCACCCTGCTCTAGTAAAAATTTAGTGAAAGCTACTATAAAGTTACTACATTTTTACTAGAGCAGGGTGCGGTTGTTGACAAGAATTATCACAAATGGCGAGTAGGGACAATGTCAACCTTCCAATTTTCAAAATTAACGATGTAAAGAAAGTATTGTAGAACAGCCTTAACAAATTTTAGCTGAGTCTAACAGCTATATATGAATCCGAGTGCATCTTAAATATAAATAACCACACCTTATGATAAATGGATTTTATATAAATTATTACTGATTTCTTTCTGAATGGAAAAATGATTTTTAAAGCGTGCAGAAGGAATAGCGGAAAAATCAATTAAGGAAGCGTGATGGTCTCATAACCTAAAATCAATGGTTGATAATTTGAGGAAAATTTGCCACATTCTTTAATACCATCGGAATACAGGTATTAATTTCGAAAATAAATATTCGGCCTTGCTGATTTATATTTTGGAGTTTGCTGCTTTTTGGATTTGTGCTAATTTAGTTTATGCTTTCCTTCAATTTATTCTCTCCTAATAAATTCTTCATTTGCTTGGCTTTATCCCTGCTTAAAAATTAATGGTTTAAACCATAATCCTCAACTTGCCTGAGTGAGTACATTATTATTTTTTTTTTAATTTTTCTTGCTGATTTTGTTTAAAAAAGAAAAAGGAATAAGGAGAGGAAAAGGAGGTTAAAGAGGGAAAGAAGAAAAAGAAAAAAAGAAAAAAAAAAGATAAGAGTTGATTTTGTTAATAAATAAGCGTGTTAAGTTTGGAAATGCTTTTCCTCCTTTTTTTTCCTTATGCTGGGTAAATAGGGGATTTGAGCAGTCAGTCTCCTGTAATTATTAATCACTGAGACATTGTGCGTTTTTAAATCTTGGGGATTATTAGCAAATTAAGATTTGCTTAAAAAAAAAAAAATAAAAAAAAAAAAAGAAAAAAAAAAAAAAAAAAAAAAAAAAAGAAAGGGAAAGGGGAAAAAGAAAAAAAAAAAAAAAAAAAAAAAAAAATTCTCTCTTTCTTTGCTTAATTAGTTAGATTACTGATTGATTATAGATGTCTTGGTACTGGATGTGAAAATAGGGCTAAATTGTTTCTCTCTATTGTGGTTGCTTTACTTACTTGAATTTTTTTTCAGCTTGATCCGGTTTAATACGAATGAGATGGAGTCCTTGAGGGAAGAGTCTGCTGAGGAGGGTGTGCCGTCTGGAGGTTTGGAACGACCTGGTCACAGTGTAAATGAAATCCCTAATCCTGCGGTCATGAGTTGCGTTATGGATGCGGATATAGATCTTTTGACGGGGAATAATATTCAATCAGCGGAGAATGACACTAATTCTTTCCTTCCTTCCCCAATTAGACCCTCAATTAATCCTAAGAAAAGGAACATATCCGTTAGGAATAACAATGAATCAGTGGCAACGGGCTCTTCAGATGGTTCATTTGGTCATATTACAAAAAAACTCCTAATTCCTGAAAAAAATTCTTATCGAGAAATACGGGCCGATCGACAACCACATTCCGCGGATATTGGTCCCGAAAATGCAAGCAATCAATCTCAGTTTGAGGATGTAATTTGGGATCAACACGATCTTGAATGGAATAATAGTATTCTTCCTCCACTCTATTCCGCTTCTAGCCCTCCCCCATTTATTGTTTTAATGGAGAGCACCATTAGAGGCAAAAATATTGGAAAACTGGACCCGATATGTGTAATTGATCTAATATCGCCTATTATTGAGGGGGGAAAACAAATAACACGTAATGGGAAAAATCAAATAAAAATTGATTGCGCAAAATGGCAAGATGCTAACACCTTAGTTGGTGCCAAAGAACTAATATTGGCGGGATATGTTCTCTTCATCCCAGATTCCTTTTTGAGAAAAAAGGGATTCACAAGATGGTTCCCCACTAACAGATCAGTCAGGGATATAGTCAGGGTATGTCGTGAAGGAGACTTGGATAATATAGCTAGTATTCGTCGTATTATTGATGATAGGAACACAATTCTAGAAAAGATAGAATTTACTTTCAATTCACCTATCGTTCCACGTAACATTGTACTAGGTGATTTTGTTATCCCAATAACTCCTTCCTTACAGAGACCTCGGAGATGCTTCCGTTGTCAGCGTTACTGCCATGTGGCTAATCAATGTCGTTCGACTTACCCGACGTGTGAATTTTGTTCTGGAAGGCATTTGACAGACCTTTGTCCGAATGGTCACTTGCAACCAAAATGTAAAAATTGCAAGGGTTCCCATGTGGCCTCTTCATCGGAGTGCCCTGTATTTAAATTTGAATTTGGCATTTTAAAATATCGTTATATCCATAATTGTAATAGAGAGGAGGCTAAACTTCTGTTTTATGCGGAAAATCCTGATTTATTAAATAACATTGAAACTAGGGGTGAAACACCTCTGCCTTTGCCGGTGATTCGTCAGGGTATGACATCAACCCAACCAACTAGGTCTTCCACACCTATTGACCTTCAAGATAAGGTAAATAATCCCATTCCTGATCCGGTTTTGGAAATTTCGAATGCGCTGAATCAGCATCAACTGTCTGAAAAAATATCGGCTGTAAACACACTTATAAATATCAATCAGTCTCGCTCAAACTTGATTAACTCAATAAATGAGAATCTCTCTACAAAATGAACACTTAGAAGAGTTCAATTTTTTTATTTACTAAGAGATTTAATAGTTCTATTTTTGTTAGTTTTAAGTCGTTATAGTTATTGGTATTGATTGGGCTTAGAGGTTGGCTAAGGGAAAAGAAAGAAAGAAGAAAAAAGGGAAGGGAAGGGGGGAAAAAAAAAAAAAAAAAAAGAGAAAAGGAATAATGAGGGGTAAGGGATGGCCCTGTTTTAATATTTCTATATTTTAATTCTCACTGTGTTTCATAATTTGAGTCTGACTGCTCAAATATAAAATCGATTAAAATAATTGGAGTGTTATTGTTTTGTGTACTATAAATGGTTACGGGTTGTAAAACACCTCCTACTAAATTTGATAGATGTTTAGGAGGATTTGGCAAAATTAATCGTATTATCTTCCTTGAAGGATTATTAAACTACTATATATTCAATTGGTTATACTAAGGATAATTAATTTTGTTGGTAATTAATCCACATTAAATAATCCTCAAAAAGGGGAGATAAGGAATAGTTTTCTACAAATTGTTTGAGGTTTTTTTTGTTTTGTTTTGATTTTATATACTACTTGTTTTTTGCTATGGCTATTTAGGTATTTGGATACTCGGGAGTTATTTGAGGAGTTTTGTTGGTTAAACTTTGAGGAGGTAATTGATATTTGGATTGGATAGAAGTGAGAAAATAGTTTGCCCGTTGTTCTACTGGTAATATAACTTATAACAGTAATCTGTAATTGGATTGTTGTTCGTAATGATGTCTTCAACCAATCAAACTATTAAATATGGAATTTGGAACGCTCACAGTGTGCTAAATAAACGTGCTGAAATAGAGTCGATGTTACATATTTATGGGCTGGATGTCTTGGCCATTGCGGAAACTTGGCTCACTGCTGGAACTAAAGTTTGGCAAATCCCTGGCTATTCCACCTATCGCTGCGATCGGCTTGATCAGCGACATGGGGGTGGGGTGTTGATCTTGGTCCGTAGCAGGTTTATGGTTGCGCCTATTAAAGTCAAACACTCAATATTAGAATACATTGATTGTGTAGGGGTAACCATTGCTTCTGACATAGGGAAAATCCAGTTTTTCTCGGTCTACGCCCCTCCTAACGTTAAGATTCCCTCTCGAATTTGGAAACAGCTGACTAGCTGTGGTACTAAAGAAAATCCCTATATTCTATGCGGTGACTTTAATGCCCACGCATGGATGTGGGGGGCAATTAATTGCAATTTGAGGGGAATCCAACTGAGCGAGGCTGTGGAAGAGGCAAACCTGGTCCCGCTGAACGATTGCGATCCTACATATGTTAGTGGTAGGGGTAAGGTTGGGGGGAACATTGACCTAATATTTGTCTCTGCTGACCTGTGTAGACTTACGTCGGCTGATGTTACCTCTGACACCTTTAGTTCGGATCACTTCCTGGTTGTGGCTTGTACGGATGTCTCCGCTAAATATCAAAAGGCCTCAGTCAATAGACTGAACACTAATAAAGTTGATTGGGCGAGATTTTCCTCTGGAATTAATTCCTGTGTTAAGATTCTGTCACAACGTCTTGAGGTTGAGGATTCCCCGGAGGTGATCTACGATCAGTTGTTGACTGACATAAAAGATCAGTTGGTTATTGCGGGAGCCTATTACCCCTCAGGACTTCCTGGTCTAAGAAAAGCCAAACCACTCTGGTGGGACCAATCTTGTGAGGAGGCTCTTGAAAGGCGTAGAGAGGCCAGAAAGAACTTCCTAAAGTCTCAGTCCCAGGAAATGCGAGTTATATTTGATCAAGTTGATAGCGAGGTTAAGTGGTTTTTGAGAAACAAGAAAAAGACTTCTTTCGTTGATTTCTGTAACTCGGTTAGTCCGGCGATGGGTTCTAAAGAGATTTGGAAGAAGGTTAGGGCTTTCTCGTCTTCAACGCAACCCTTACGTACAGGGATTTGCAATGACCCCGACTCTGAAATTTTTAGCAAACTACAAAGGGATTTGGTGAAAGAAGATGTTCTTCCTGTAGATCTTCCCCTGATTCATGGAGTTAATAATGACTCCCTACTTAATGGTCCATTCTCGAGAGCGGAATTTAAATCAGCAATGTGTTGTGGTAAGAGGGATTCTGCTCCAGGTCTAGATGTTATTTCCAATTTAATCTTGCGTCAACTACCAATGGATGCCCACAACTTGCTTTTGTCTCTTTTTAATGAGTTCTTCTTAAAGTCATCCTTTCCAACGTCATGGAGAAACACGAGAGTAGTTTTCATTCCCAAACCGGAGGGCAAGGGCTATCGTCCGATTTCATTGACATCTGCGGTTAGTAAACTGTTTGAGCGGATGATTCAAAAGCGACTAGAACACTACCTAGAAATGAAAAACAGTATTCCGATAGGTCAGTTTGGATTCCGCAAGGGGAGATCGACGATCGACTGTGTTTCCACCTTTACTACGGACATTCAGCAGGGCTTTGTCGGGGGGCACCATACTGTGGCCTTGGCCTTGGATCTCAAGGGTGCATTTAGCAACATCCTTCCCAGTGCAATTTATAGTCACCTTGTCAAACTGCGAGTTCCTGACAGATTGGTGAATTTCGTCTCGTTTATTGTTTCGTCGAAGAACTTGTTTTTTTCAGCAGATTCGTGTGATTTTAAGGTTTCGCATGTAGGTGTTCCACAGGGAGGGGTGTTATCGCCCCTGCTTTTTAACTTAGCTTTAAGTGGAATAGCCTCTGTCATTCCCTATAGAGTCAAATGGCTAATGTTTGCTGATGATCTTCTCCTATATGTGAGGTCGAAAGATGTTAAGGATGCGATAGACTTGATCGAGGAAACTGTAGGGGTATTAACACCTTGGCTAGCAGAGATTGGTCTTGACATCGCTCCGGGCAAGTCACAATTAACCATTTTTTCCAAAACACGAGATAAGCTTAATGATATATATTTAAAAATAGGGAACAATAGAATTAAAAATCAGGATGACTTGATCTATCTGGGGATTCACTTGGACCGCAGATTGACTTGGTCACTGCATATAAGGAGTATAGCTCAAAAAGCTTCTAGAGCCATCAACATCCTGAGAGCTATGTCAAAGATATCATGGGGAGCAAATCCTTCCTCAATGATCCTAATTTATAAGGGTTTAATCAGGGCTCACCTGGAGTGGGGTTGTCAACTCTTCGCAAATGCTAGTCGATCTAACTTGGACCTTCTAGATAAAATACAACTGGCTGCGTTGCGTGCCATTTTAGGATGCATGAAATCAACCCCTGTCGGCATCTTGTTATCTGAGGTGAATGAGTCACCACTGGCCTTGAGACGCTCGATCATTGGCAAACGGCACATGCTCCGAAATCTTGCTTGGTCTCTGAACCCTCTCGTTCCAAAGTTGCAATTGTTGTCTGAGAAATGCCTAATAGATAAGAGATATAGACGGGACACAGGTTCGATGAAGTTTTCATTGCTGGATACATATCGAGATATGACATGTATTACTAGGAAGGCTTTTAAATCCAGGAAACCCTCAACTTTTGATATGACTTGGGAGGAGCTATCTAGTTCCCTTGACATTGACGTTCATTCTGGTCTTGAACTGAAGAATGATGCTCAACCCGATAGAGCCTTTAATCAGTTGATGCAGCGGGATTTTTCAGAATTTATTCAATTTTTTACTGATGCTTCTCATAATCCAGTTAAGGGTCTTTCTGGCGCTAGTTTTGTTGCTCCTTCTATTAATTTGGAATTTGGTGTTCGTTTGAGCGGATTGATGTCGGTAGATTCATGTGAGGCATATGCAATCTATTCGGCATTGAGGCACTCTTTACAGATGAAAAACGATAATACACTTATCATATCTGATTCACGGAAAATTTTACAAGAACTTGACCAAAGAATATGGATTAGGGATCCTCATCCTTTTATTGTAAAGATTCTCAGAGTGATTTTCGAGTTGAAGAACCTGGGTGGAAGGGTACGATTTTTATGGATTCCGGCGCATATAGGGATCAAGGGGAATGAAATGGCAGATTTGGTAGCTAAAAAATCATTGTACTTACCTTTTGGGAACTACTCAGGTACCCCCCTGCGTGACTTTATTTCTCTGTTAGAGCGAGATTTTGAGTCATGGAAATCCTTAAATTGGCCATACGCCGATATACGGTACTCGAGTAATAGATATTATACAAGGGTTAATTGCAAAACCAAAAGACCTTGGTTTAAAGGAATCCAAGCTCCACGCCGATACATTAATACTGTGACCAGGTTGCGGACCTCGCATATATGTACGGGAGAGCACTTTGAAAGAATGCAGTGGACTCTTCCTTTAGGATGTGAGTGTGGTGCGGAATATAAAGACCTCAAACACCTACTTAGCTACTGTCCTATTCTTTCCACGGGTAGACCGGCTTTCTTTTCATATCTAAATACCAAGATAACTGATTTTAATCCTGATAATTTTGATTTGGACAATTTGATTTTTAATCCAAATGCTGATATAGTTGTAGAAATCGGTAAATTTTTTGCTAGTGGCGATGTGGTTATTTGAGCAGAATGAATTGAGATTTTATTACTAAATGTTTAATTTATAAGTTAATTATATATTTTTTTTTTTTTTTTTTTGTTTTTTTGTTTTTTTTGTTTTTTTTTTTTTTTTTTTTTTTTTTTTTCTCTTTACACGCTCTTCTTATTGAGTGTATTAATTATTCTTAATTTTAAGATTGTAATGGAATAAATAATAAATAGAGGAAAAAGAAGGAAGGAGAACGGTTGAAGGAAGAAGGAAGAGATTAATAAAGAAATTTATCATAAGCATTTTATTATTTTCACTTAAACTTTCTTAGTCTCACTTGGGTAGAGAGAACTTGGTTTTGAATTATTCAAATTTTCCCGCTCTCCCTCTCCCTCTAGCATACTGCACTGTGGGATCTATTAAAGGCTATGTACATAGCTGTATCTGACTTACATACACATACCTGGATTTACATACATCTAACTGGAAATAAAATTTAGTACTGGCTACCTGTATATACAAGAGGCCATTTAAACAAAAAGAAGAAGAGAAGGAATCGTAATCGTAAACTCAACCAGAAAAATAAGTTAGAGAAGGGCAAACAATCTATCTATCCTTCTCTAACTCATTCTTCCGATTGCGTTTGCGATTACGATTCCGGTTACGTTTCTATTCTGTTCAGGCCTTCAGATAGAAGACTTAGAGGAATAGTAGATTCACTTATTTCGATTTGCACGGCATATTTGGACAGTTACCAATTAATCCTTATTTTTTTTTTTTAGGCAAATGGCACTGGACCAATCTTTACAATCGTTACCAAGGATACTACTCACAACCCCAATGGCACCACACACTTCG